GTGACGTCATTTATGGACGGCCCCCCAAGGTGCACGGGTGGGTGGGGGGTGACCAACAGGGTCTGAATCGATCTGTAGTACGGTAGGTGGGGGGGGTGCAGCTGCGAGTTTTCTATTCAAACAACAACAACAACGTGGTGCTAACGTTTAACAAGAACGCCACTTTTTTTTTCAAAAATTTCTTGCTGTGGTTTTCACACCTGATGATGATTGCTTCTTGTGTTGCAGTCGAAACGTCGCGAGAATTTTATTATTTTATATATGCATATTTTATTTTTTTATTGTGTCCCCTTCTACGTGGTGACTTTACCGAAAGAACCGAGAATATAACAACAACGCACTTGTCCCCCGGCAGCGCGTTGAGGCTTTCCGGGGCACTTTCACCTTTAGCTGTGTGGAGCAGGGGGAGGGAAGGGGGGGTCGCTTAGAGGCCTAGCGGGCGATCGAGTGGCAGTCGACGTCCTCCGCAATCACCACAACAACAGCAACAACAACAAGCAACAACAAACTCCGTACGTGTTTATTAATTAGTCGTCGTTTATAAATGATTATTGTTATTATTGTTAAACGATATCAAATCGAGAGCTTGTTCCACCCACCCCCACCCCCTCTACGGGCCTTGCCGTGCTAGACTAGCTGAGGCCTACACCTTCGGGCCCAGATTATCGCGAGAACTAATCGCTGGGGTTATCGATAACAAATCGATCTTGTACGCGTGTGTGTGTGTCTGTGTGTGTGTCTGTGTGTGTGTGTCTGTCAGTGTGTTGCCAAGTTAGTGGGAAGCGGTGGTGGAGTAGCGGTTAGCGCTACGCTGCGAACCCGGCGACCCGGGTTCGATCCCCGCTCGCGGCCAACACCCAGTTGACGTTCCTGGGCACTCCCCTAGGTCGACTCGGCCTCAAATGGTAAACATCGCCACTGGGGGGGAGACAAAGGCGGCCGGGCCTGGTGGTTGCTGGCCACCCACCCCCTCGTGCGCCACAGTGCCGGTAGCCTTCATAGGCGCTGCTACTCGCTAACAGCACTTGCCCCCTACAGCCTGCTACAGGCTGCACGGGGGGGGGGGGGATCTTTACGTGTTTATTTCTACGTCTTTGTTACCAAGTTTCAGCGTTTTGTAGCGGGTAATCATTCCTCTTATTTTGTTTTAAGTGACACCTCTGGCAACGGCGGCGGGGGGAGGGAGGGAGGATCGCGAACGCGGTGTGGTGTGGGCCCTCAAACACTTGTACGAACGCGTTGCGTGGCTGTTGTTGTGGTTGTGGTTGTTTGTTTGTTTGTTTTCGGTTGTTGTTGTTGCTGCAGCAAGCGTACACATTGTATACAGTTCGATTTAAATGCGGGGAGTGCTCTCGCACGGGTGCGCTAATTAACGCGGCCATCGCGATGATGATGATGGTGGTGGCGGTTGTTGTCGGATTTGCATTGCGTACACGGTAGCAATGATCCACGTTCATCGTTAGTTTACTATAAACACGCTTCTGTGAGCCGGTAACAATTACTAACATTTTGTTTGTGGATTCATTAAGTACATACGCGTTGCTATAATAAACACGTCACAATGACAAACTACGGCTTGTTAAGATACGTTTCGGGCAATGGCCCTGCTCCAGAGCAGGAAGTCGTTTATCAGCCTTTTGAAGAGTTCTGTTTTAACTAAATAAGTGTCAACAAACGCGATACGTTGTTCGTCGTGCTCGCACAAACACTGGAAACGCCGTCTCGTACCTTTAAAACAATTGGGTTGATGTAAAAAACACACAATGTGTACAGTACACACAATAGTAAGATATCACAACGTGAGACTTGCTCATGATTATTGTTACCAAGTGAGTTTATGTCGCCCGATGTGTTTTGAGTACAGATTTATCGTTGTGTTTTATTATCCGGCCCTTCTTGGAGATGTTAACTACCTCGCGTGGTGTAAAGGAGGTCGTGGTTTGATCTCGACCCTAATGCTTGCAGTATATTTGTAGTTTGCGTGTCTCTCTCCGTTTTGAGATGTTAACTACCTCGCCTGGTGTAAAGGAGGTCGTGGTTTGATCCCGACCCTAATGCTGCAGTATATTTGTAGTTTGCGTGTCTCTCTCCGTTTTGAGATGTTAACTACCTCGCCTGGTGTAAAGGAGGTCGTGGTTTGATCCCGACCCTAATGCTGCAGTATATTTGTAGTTTGCGTGTCTCTCTCCGTTTTGAGATGTTAACTACCTCGCCTGGTGTAAAGGAGGTCGTGGTTTGATCCCGACCCTAATGCTGCAGTATATTTGTAGTTTGCGTGTCTCTCTCCGTTTTGAGATGTTAACTACCTCGCCTGGTGTAAAGGAGGTCGTGGTTTGATCCCGACCCTAATGCTGCAGTATATTTGTAGTTTGCGTGTCTCTCTCCGTTTTGAGATGTTAACTACCTCGCCTGGTGTAAAGGAGGTCATGGTTTGATCCCGACCCTAATGCTTGCTGCTGTATATTTGTAGTTTGCGTGTCTCTCTCTGTGGTGAGATGTTAACTACCTCGCCAGGTATGCAGGAGTTCGTGGTTTGATCCCGACCCTAATGCTTGCAGTATATTTGTAGTTTGCGTGTCTTTCTCCATGGTGATATGTTAACTACCTCGCCTGGTGTAAAGGAGGTCATGGTTTGATCCCGACCCTAATGCTTGCTGCTGTATATTTGTAGTTTGCGTGTCTCTCTCTCTCCGTGGTGAGATGTTAATTACCTCGCCTGGTATGCAGGAGGTCGTGGTTTGATCTCGACCCTAATGCTTGCAGTATAGTTTGAGTTTGCATGTTCCCTCTCTCTCTCTCTCTCCTCATGTGGTCGCGTGGATTTTTCTCCGGGTCCTCCGGTTTTTCCTTCCACATTTAGAATGAACATCCACGCGTTTAGAGTATTTGGCCAGCAAGGAATATTCACGTGGTAAGCCCCTTTGTTGAGATATCAATTTTGGCCAGTTCGCTTCTGAAAAAAGAGCTGTTATAGCTCAGTGGGCCTTACCTGGTAAAATAAAACGTAGTTTCATTTTTAGTTTTGTTATGAAGCATTGTTCGCGGATTTGAATTGGGCAATTTTTGTCTGAATATTGTGTTGACAATTTTATTCTTGCATATGATAAAAATATTAAGTGGCTATATGCCAGTTTAGAGGTCTGCTGGGCACGTTGAGAGGGCTTCAGGGGGGAGAGAGTTTGTGTATTTTTTTACTATTCCTGGATTACGACATGGTCCAAAGTTTGGGTTGCATAGCCACAATGCACGCCTGTAGATTGTCTTTCCTTTTACATTGATGAGCGAGACGTGAGCATTTGCCTGTTAGTGTTCTGATGGGGTTGATGGTTACACTAGAGTTTGAGATGTTTGAGTCTGGAATGAGGTGTTCATTTTACCCATCCGCCTTGTTCCTCTGTTCTGATTATGGGCGAGCTTCTAGGATGCTTACATTATGCTTCTACAATGTATGTGTGTATGTTGTAGCTAACCGTACTAATTCAGAATCAGAATATTTATGCTGCAGGAGGAATCCGATGAGCTATGAAGCTCTTTTTTCACATTTCCAGTAGGGACATGGGTTAAGAATGTTACAACAACAATCGATAACTAAGTAATTGGAGGTTCGGCTGGATTGACAACAAACGAGACAGAGAAAGAGGAGGTGAGCGTGACTTGAGTCGATGGAGAAGTTTACATTTTTTTGATGTCTTGGTCGATGGGTAGGTCTGTCGTCGTTTGCAGTTTTTGCGTGTCTGCAGATATTTGATGGCAGAATGTTCGCTTGCGAGCCAAGAGATTGGTGTTGGGTTTCGGGGTTTCCGGTTAAGAGAATTAATCGCCTTATTTAATGATACAGGGACTTCCTTTACCTACGAACGAATTAGGTTCCAGAAGTTTGTTCGTAAGTCCAATTTTCTCCTGTCGGTTCCAAACACGTTGTACGGCATGTGCACTAAAACACGGGGAATGGCTTTAAAAGTTGTATAATCTCCTGTAGACGTATATGCCACTGGTTATTCACGTCCTGCAGATCTATTGCCTGAAATCGAAGTCGGGATGTGTCAGATTCGTAGCGGAGTGTGCGAACTCGCTGCGCCGCCATTCTCGCGTCTTGATTACGAGAGGTTATCTGCAGATGCAGTTGGGTGAGTTGGTGCCCGTTCACAGGCGACCAGTGTGGCTTCATCTCACCTTTAGTGCGCAAGCTGAACCGGCTTCAGATTACTGCTATAGCCCTGGTCCCGTATCTAACTAAGACTCCCAGCCTGGTGTTGGAAATGCATGCGACCTGACCACCTCCACTGGCGTCGGCTGCGATAACCCAACGATCCCCGTTGCGGCCTACGGACACACCGCATTGTGAGCGCACCGCACGTGTGCTGCTGTTGCTATTGCCAAGTAAATACTTGCGAGTGCGATGCAAGTTGGAACCATTGCAGAACACGTGCATATTAATTTAACCCTTTGCGGGGACATCTGCAAGTTGCAGGGTGGGTCCCGTTCGTTCACCGACGAATCTCGGAACGCACAAGCGGCTCGGCCCTAATTTTATTTAGGGAGGCATCGCACCGCAGAGAACCGTAGCGACACAACTGCACTCCATGTTAGATACCTGTCAAGCCATAGGGTCTACCCGTGTTCTTGTACAGGGAAATTGAGTTTTAAGGTCCGGACGGCGTACAGCCATTTCGATCCGAGAAAGCACCATTTTTTGTCTGTTTGTGTATCTCCCTTGTGATGGGACTTTGTAGGATGAACGTTGAGATTTATGAGTGCACGGGGTGACCAATAAGGTCTGAATTGGTCTATAATAAGGTAGGACACTGATAAGGGGTTGACAGGTATGATGATAGCTGGCTCCAAACTGTGCCACACGCCCTCCCGCATGGCCTTGTGGGAGCCTCTGCATCGACAAAGCTATTTAAAAGTTATTTTATTACAGGTTTTCTTCCGGTAAAGGGTCGATGATTTCATTTGCTTTAATTGTTCACGTGTTTGCATTTGTCCGGTCAAAATAGGCGGTGCCGCCGCCGCCGCCGCCGCCGCCGGCCAGCCCGTAACGTCGCAATGGACAGGAAGGGCCACGCGTTGGCCGTCACGGCCTTCCCACTGGACGCCGAGGGGAACCTGATGGAGGACGCCCCCAGGCCGCCGGTGCCCGGTAAGGAAGACCGCCCCCGCACCGGCTGCCGCATCGCCGCCTTCAAACCCCCGGCGGGCAACGGGGCGGCCGCGGCCGCGGTCGAGCGCGCCGCCGCCGCCGCCGCCGCCGCCGCCGCCGGCGGCAAGTGGTGCACGCCGCGGCGGCACGACTACGACCTGGGCTTCGAGCCTGAGGGCAGCGCCTGCGCCGCGGCGCCGTACGCCCGCTGCGGCGAGACGCTGCCGGCGCTGCTGAACGACCCGGACGGCGCGCACCTCCTGCGCGCGTTCCTGCGCGGGCGCGGCCTCGTCGACCTGGTCGACTTCTGGTTCGCGTGCAAGGGCCTGCGCAAGCAGCCGCACGCCCGCGCCGCCCGCGCCGCCCGCGCCATTTACAAGCGCTACGTGGCGGACGTGGGCGGCGTGGTGGCGTCCCGCCTCAAGCCGTCGACGCGCTCCGCCGTGCGGGAGGCCGTGCTGGCGCAAGCGGTGGGCGGCGGCGGCGGCGCCGGCGCCGGCGATTGCGGAGTAGGTGGCGGGGAGGGAGCGTTCGACCGGGCGCAGGGCGAGGTGCAGCGCTGCCTGGAGGAGGCGGCGTACCCGGCGTTCCTGCGCTCGGACGCGTACCTGCGCCACGTGCTTGCGGAGAGCGCCAGCGGCAAGGATCACGGGAAGGTGGTGGTGCTGGTTCGGCTGCCAAACGATGCTGCCGAGGAGGAGGAGCAGCAGCAGGAGGAGGAGGAGGAGGAGGCAGCGCCGGTTCGGACAGAGTGGACGGAACGCGGTTTTGGTGGGCTGGTGCAGTCGGAGCCGTAAGTCTTACCCAGCGATCAGAATCACAATCTTTATTTAGACTGCGGGAGGAATCCGATGAGCTGTGAAGCTCTTTTTCACAGATGTCCAGTGTGGACGGTGATTTGGTGGTGGAGATTTCGACTGGCACTTCTCACGATGCAGATTATGAAATCATAGTCCTGCTCCTCGTCTTCATCATCGGCCACCTCCCTCAGCCATCTCCATCTTTCAAGGTCTTGGGATGTAACAATCCATGCAGTTCCTGTACACGAGCAGATTTTAACGCTGCGGTGGACGTAGTCACGCCAGCGTTTTCCTCCTTTGGTGGTCATTACGTCATTAGTCTCAACCACCATCCATCATCATCATCATCCCTTCTACCAATGGGTCCTGCGCAAGCTGAATGTTTTTATTTTTATTTCACATTCAATGTCATGTTTATAACTTGCGTATGATTTCCCACACTTGTGGCTCTCGAATAAAATGCAATTGCTCTGAGCAAGTTGAATTTTACCGCTGGTGGAATGCCCATTGGGCGTTTTGGTGGATATGGTTCGTATACTCCTCGAATGACATGTATTTGTGATTGAGAACTTCGCGATGAATAATGAGTTTTGGACATGTTTTGCATGGACCTCCAGTAGGTTAACTCGGCCTAAAACGAGCGTTTTCTGCACACTTGCGCTGGGGAGACCTCGGTAGCTTTATGTGGCGACACTTCCTCACCTAGCATGCCGGGTTTAATAGGTTTTCCACGAACACCACTTTCCGCGACAGCCTATGTACAGGGGGATCTTTGTCTCATGTATCCGTGCGTTTGCAGACTGTCCGAGGCGACGTCGTGCCGGTACGACCCGGCAAACAGCGTCAACGACAGCGAGTACGCCGCGTCGAGCGGCGGCACCGCCACGGACGACGGCGCCTCCGTGGCCGATAGCGCCAGGTGAGCGCCGGCCGAGCCCACGTGATGATCGCTCCGACCCACCGGTTCCTCACTCCGGCACGGTCACAATCGCCCCGATTCGCCGGGTTCCTGCCTCTGGCGGTCTGGTTATAATCTCCCCGATCAGCCAGGTCCTTCCGCTTGGCACGGTTATGAACTTGCAGATCGACTGGGCGTCACGGTGGCGAGATGTTAACTCCCTCGCCTGGTATGCATGAGGTTGGGGGTTCGATCCCGACCCTGACGCCTGTTGTATATTTAGAGTTTGCATTTTCTGCCCGTGGTGGTGTGGATTTTTCTGTGGGTCCCCTTCACATTTAGAAACAAACGTGCGTTTCGAGTATTTGGCGGCTATACATTTCCACACTATAAGCCACTTCTTTGAGCTATCATTGGTGGCCAGGTCGCTTCTGGAAAAGAGCTACGTAGCTCGGTGGGTTCCTGCCTGGTAAAATTAAAAAAAAATTGTTTCGTTTTAGGCTGGTTCGTCGCTCTTACACGACTACGATTGCACAGACACGCCAGTTGCTCACAATGGCACGGTGTCTATTTGCGACCGTTCGCTGGCTCCTCCGGGGGTGGCTGTGCTGCTCGGAGTTTGACGGTGCAGCGAAACGGACGCAATGAGGCGGGCCCTGAGCCAAGGCTCGGCTGTGATGCGTGGCTTTGAGGTGGCGATCGGGTTGGTGGCAGCGTTTGTGTATGGGTTTGTGTATGGGTTTGTGTATGGGTTTGTGTTATGTTGTGGGGAGCGGTGGTGTTGTAGCGGTTAGCGCGCTGCGCTACGAACCCGGCAACCCGAGTTCGATTCCCGCTCGCGGCCAACGCCAGTGACGATTATCTAAACCGGTTTTGGGCCTCCCCTAGGTCGGGCGTGGTGCTGGCCACCCACCCCCTCTTGTGCCGTGTCGGCCTTCATAGGTGCTCGTTAAACAGTCTGTTAAGGCTATATATGGGGGATCTTTGTATTTTTCTGTTGAACTTCTTTCGCACCGTACGTAGCCAACCGCGCTAATTGGAGGTGCGGGGTAAGGACAACAAACCAAACACAAAGAGCGGTTCTGAAAGAAATTTGTTTTCAATTTAGATTTTCGAAGTGCACAGCTGCAGTGGCTTGCTAAAATTGTTGCCACCTATGCGTGGATTTTCTCTGGGTACACACGTCAAGAGGATGGGAGTGTTCGTTTCTAACTTTCACAGAACGTTGCGTTGCTCCAATAGCAGGTGTCCGATCGGATGGCCATTATAGCAGTTGGATTGAATCCATCTGTGCGGAGCTCTGCCACCCGTATCTTAGTTTACCGCGGAACGTATTTTGCGTTCGCCGGGAAATTTATTTGCGTTCACCGCGGAACGGATTTTCTTTCACCGCGGAACGCATTTGCCTCTCCGAAACATTGGCCCAAGTTTCAGCGGACGACCGAGGAGGTGGGGTCGGGGGGGGGGGGCGAATTGTTACGTTTAGCAGTGAGCTCCTCCGGCCACGCGGCGTGGGCTAAATGGGTCGGCGAGCGTGACGTGGGAGCGACGAGGAAGACGCCCTTCTGCGAATAACAGCGAGGGGAATCTTGAACCAGAGCGGGGAAGGCCAGGCGCAGGAGCAGCCGACAAGAAAACCCGTGCATATATTTACCGCGGAGGGAAATGAAACGTCTTCACAATGCAGCCCGCGTTGGCTTGGCCAGGTTAAGCAACAGATGTGGAACAATAGCACGGCTGTGCGGTGAATGGACCGTTGTGTGTGGGACAAGATGATTGTGGTGTGCGAACGATCGGGAACAATCATGCCTGGAAGTACAGCAGCTTTGGCAGCTCACTATAGAATGCCCCAAAAACGCAGTCGTGATTGTCCCGTGGTCGTGCGTGCAGATGCTCGTGGGCATGTGGTTAGACGCCCGTGTGATGTGTGGTTAACGGACGCATCGTTGTTGTTGTTAGCAGACACTGATGGGATCGGGTTGTTGAGATGCGCTTACGGCGCGCGGTTATCAGAAGCTTGTGCACAGCGGCAGCGGCACTGCCTGCCTGCCGCCGCGCGGCGTGTTTACACGCGGGATTAGATAGCTCCTCCGTGTGCCCGGCCGTAACCGTGACCCCGGCAGCCACGCGAGGGAGGGAGGGAGCGCCGCTCTCCCTCCCTCCCTCGCGCCACCGCCGCCGCACCGTTTCCCCCCCCCCCCCGCCTTCCGCTGGACGAGCACCGGCTCACTCGTCAGCGCTGCAGGGCACAACCAGTTGCCACGGAGCCGGCGCTCGTGTAGGGGCCTGTCCCCAATGGGAAGACCCCCCCTCCAGGGGCCTCCCCCCCCCCACCCCCGCCTCCGGCTGCTGCGTGCGGGAAGCGAGCGTCCGGCGTCCGCGGCGTCGTCGTCGTCGTCGTCGTCCCGCGCATGCCGCCCGGGAGATGCGGCGGTAACGTGGACCGTGTGTGGGTTCGACTTGGCGCCCTCTCCCTTTAAGATGCGCATAGTGCTGGGGGGGGGGGGCGGTTAGCAGTGGATCTTCTCCGTGGCCTCTCGGCGTTGCTGCTGAGGTTGATTGTCCAGTTGAAGCGATTCTAGGTTGCGCGTTTAAGGCTGCCGTGTCATTTCACTGTTTGAATGCTTGGGAAATTGTCAAGTGACGCGATTCCAAAGGGGGAATATAAATTAGATTTCGAATGCTCCGTTGAACAATGGATCTCAGAGTGCCGTTGCTGACATTTTTGAGGACTTTCGGACGATGTACGTAGCCAACCGTGCTAATCGTAGTGGTGTACAGCGGTGTAGCATATAGTAGTGTAATGTCTAGTAGTGTAGCGTATAGTGGTGTAGCGTATAGTAGTGTAGCGTATAGTAGTGTAGCGTATAGTAGTGTAGCGTATAGTAGTGTAGCGTATAGTAGTGTAATGTGTAGTGTGTTGTGTATAGTAGTGTAGTAGTATGTATTTTGAACTTCTTTCGCACCGTAAGTAGCCAACCGTGCTAATCGGAGGTGCGGCTGTGTCTCGTGTCTGTTTGGGGTTCGTTTGTCCAAGGGAGTTGACAACACTGCTCTTCGGCTCTCTCTCACGGCACAGTGTCAGCCAAGGGGCTGTTCGTGGCCGGTCAGCCCACCGTGGTGGCTGACGGCGGTGACCGTGTACCGTGCTTGCGTGTGTTTTTCAGCGTCCGGTACGGAGCGCCGGACTTTAGCCACAGGGCACCGCCACACGCCGAGAGGACGCGCCCGGCTTCTGGCGGTGCCGGGGAGCCGCTCCACCCGCCGGTAAGTCAAACGCTGTCCACAACTCTGCAGCCGGTCCCGCCTGTTGATGCCGGTCAGGAGTTGCCGGCGGAACTTCGCTGTGCTCGAATAGGTAAATGTTGCGGTGGGTTAACTCGCCAACACGCGACCGGTGTGATGCACTGGTGACGAATTGGCACGTTGCGTTTACGTGACGAACCTTACGAATAGGCCTCGTCGGGTGGTGGCGGGTGTGACGACACATTTATATTTACGCAATCCAACACCCAAGAAACATCTATTATGGACCCACAGGATCATTCTTGGAGAAAATAATCAAGGGGTATTAATTTCTCCGGACGCACATCGATGCGCGTGTCACAAGTATAATGTAACTCCATCCTTGTTGAGGACTCGGCCTATCAAGCGAACTGTTTGATCTCATCCCTACCTGCACCAGGTGCAAACAAAGAACAACAAATATCCCCCGTATAGCCTTAAGAGACTGTTGGGGCAAGTGCTGTTAGCGAGTAGCACCTAGGGTTTTGATTCACACACCCACCTACTCACCCACCCACCTACTCACCCACCCACCTACTCACCCACCCACCTACTCACCCACCTACTCACCCACCCACCTACCCACCCACTCACCCACCCACCTACTCACCCAACCACCTACTCACCCACCCACCTACTCACCCAACCATCTACTCACCCACCCACCTACTCACCCACTCACCTACTCACCCACCCACCTACTCACCCACCTACCCACCTACTCACCCACCCACCTACTCACCCACCCACCCACTCACCCACCCACCCACTCACCCACCCACCTACTCACCCACTCACGCAGTCATGCAGGCCACCTCACTTCTCTGTCTGCCTCTTCCCTCGCACTGCTCCACTTTGAAATTCCCTCTTGTTGCCTCCCACCCCTCCCCAAGTTCTTAAACACATTGCTCAATTCAAGAAACGCATTATAACCCTTTTGTGGTTTTCACCCTTACTATTTGGTGTTTGTTGCTGTGCCCCTTGCCGTATTGGGCCTCCTAGGCCATGCTCGCCAACGATGAGTTAAAAACAAGTAACTGTTCACTCTCACGGGGTCTTTTGCTCTGATTGTGACAATAAGAAGAGCATTTTGAATCAACGTGCCAAACGCCATGTGTGTAAATAACCACCCCCCCCCCTCCACTCCCGCCGTTTGACGCGTTTCGCCCGACTGCATTGTGGGACCGGTGGTACGTGTGCCTCACTGTCGAGGCGCGCTGGCCCCCGTAACCTAGCGGGGGGGACAGGATGGAGCATTTGTACGAAGCCTCGGCGGCTTCGCGGACGTCTTGAAATAGTTAAAGCGGGGACGCCTGCGAGAAAAAAAAGAGAGAGAGTGGGTGGGGAGGAGAGAGCCACCCTGACCTCTGCTAAGCCCCCCCCCCCCCCCCCCCCACAGCGAGTCCCTTTGATGTGCCGCGCGGCTTCAGGCTTTGCGTTTAATCAGGGGACGCGTGGCCCCCTAGGCCAGCCGTGTTTGTTTAGCGTCGGGCGCAGGCGCCTGCACGCGAAAACAGTGGCGTGTTTGCAACCCCCACGTCGCTCGCTCAATCCCGTCTCCCGGTCTTGCCGGTCTCCTTCCCAGTCTCTCGCTGCTCCGTCCCGTAATGGAGCGCGCAGCCCGTGGGCCGGTTTGATGTTGCGAGTGTCGTGCGCGCGAGCCCTTTGAAGCGCTGAGCTGCGAGCGTTGGTGGCGGTGCGGCGGCGGGGTGGTGGGGTGGGGGGGGGTGGGTGAGCAGGAGCGGCGGCGATGCGGCGTGGACTCGCGGGGGTGGTGGCCGAGCGGCGGTGAGACCCGCCAACCATTGACCGAGTTCGGGGAGCGTTGGCTGGGATCACGCGTGAAATGTTATGTCGTCTTCGGACCAGTGGGAACATTTCAAGCGACGCTATTGCCGTACGTTCTCCCGATTTATATAACGCTGCACAGGCTTTCGAGTCGTGTTGAACAGAAATAAAAAAATGAAATGTTTTTTTTCATATATATTCACGTGGAATACGGTACAGTGTTGTAGAGAGCCGTCTTCCAGGAGACCACTATGAACACGCCGCTCTAAAATGGGAATAGATGGTCTTCTGTAAGATGATTCTGAGCGGCTGGTGGCGGGCGGTTCCTGTCCTCGGGGTGGTCGTGCATCGCTACGGAGAATCGTCTTCCAGAAGATGAGTATGAACAACCAAGCTAAACGATCTTCTCGTTTGCAAATGCGTTCTCCGCATCGTAAGAGGTAACCTTTAACCTACAGCGGGGGGGAATAAGTGCACCTCGGGGAGGACGCGTTAATGCTCCTAACCTTCAAACATTTTCCGTGTATTTAATAGCACAGTGGTGCATTTGGAAAATAAGAGGCGAAAAAGTGATGAGGGTTTGTGTTGTTGTCGTCGAGCCTGGTTCATCACTCAGACTTTATTCTGACACGTAGCCCGATGTTGATTCTGTTTAAGACTTCGGCAAAGTTTGCGTTTTGCTTCGCCCATTGCCATGGATCGTCTGCGCGGCAAATCGAGCTGAACGGCAGCTCCGTGGCGTCCGCGTGCACCGCGAACGTGGTTTAGCGGCCGCGTACGAGGTGACGCTGGTGTTGTCGAGATGTTGGCCACCTCGCTTGGTATGCAGACGGTCGTGGGCTCGATCCCGACCCTGACGCCTGCTGCTGTATATTTGGAGTTTGCGTCTCTCTCTCTCTGCCCGTGGTCGCGTTCATTTTTCTCCGGGGTCCTCCGTTTGTTTCCCTCCATATTTAGAATCAACATCGCCAAGGCGTTTTAGAGTAATTTAGCTGGCTGCTATAAATTTCCACACCATGACGCTGATGATGATACGCTGCTTCCGGTGAGCTATCATTTGCAATAGCCATGTCGCTTCTGGAAAAGAGCTGTACATCTCGTTGGGCCTTAGCTGGTAAAATAAAAATTAGTTTTTAGTTCACATGCCTCTGCGACATCAAGCGGCGGATGCACACCCCACCTGTCGGAGCTGCATGCAGGAGGTCATGGCTAATAGCCTGATGAAACGGGTTGCTGTAATCACCAGCGAAACATCAAAGTAGTCGAATGGTAAATGTTGTGAGTTTACTCTCCAACACGCCGGTGTTCTGAACTAGTAACGAATTGGCACGTTTTGTTTACGCGACAAACCCTTACTAATTGGCTGTGTCGGGTCGTGGCCGGTTTAACGACGCATTTCTATTTACGCGATTTAACCCCAAAAACCTCCATTGTTGATAATATTGGTCGCCAAAGCCTACGTGTTAAACTGTATATTTGGATATTCTTAGTTTTTTTTGGTAAAGTCACGTTGAAGGGAAACAACAAAATAATAAAATATATATAATGTATATTTTATATAAATATATAATATATAAATATATATAGACATATATTATGTATATTTTTTATTATTTTGTTGTTTCCCTTCAACGTGACTTTACCGAAAAAACTAAGAATATGAATTACTGCAGTCACGAAAGCTTTAAATCAAAATGTATATTTGGAGTTTGCATGTTCTCTCCGTGGTCGCGTGGATTGTTTCTCCTCCGGTTTTTACCTCCACATTTCAAATCGACGTGCGTTTAGAGTTATTTGGGCCGCTATAAATTTCCGCGTGATAAGCCGCTTCGGCGGAGCTATCATTCGTGGCCAGGTCGCTTGTGAAAAAAAGAGCTACGCGGCTCAGTGGGGGCCTTACCTTGGCAGAATATAAATAGTTTAGTTTAGACAGGCAGACGCGATATAGGTACCCTTAAGTAAACGTGACAACTGGCAGCACCGGGCAACTGCTGGGAGCAAAGTGTGACTGATAACGGGGAAGTGAGTTCTTATCGCGCCCGCTTGTGTTTGAATTCCCTCCGAACCGTGCGCGGTTTTGGTAGCACGTGTGTGCGTGTATGTCGCAGGCCTGTGTGTGCACGCGTGTGCCCATGTGTACATGGGGAGCGGTGGTGTGGCGGTTCGCGCGCTACGCTACGAACACATGGCGACCCAAATTCGATTCCCGTTCACGGCACAACACCAGTCGCGAGTATCCGAACCGGTCCTGGGCCTCCCTTAGGTTGACTCAGTCTAAAATTAGTACCTGTTGTGTTGTGTAACCATTACCAATAGGGAGACCAAGGCGGCTAGGCATGGTGCTGTCCAACCACATCGTTGTGTGTCATGTGAGCCTTCATAGGTGCTCGCTAACAGAACTTACCCCATCTGTCTGTTAAGGCTATACGGGGGTTTTTTGTCTTTGTGTCGTGTGTGTAACTATGTGTGCGAGCAGTAGTGCTGTGGGTATCATGCTGCGGTACAAAGCTATCGATCCAAGTTCAATTCCTGCTCACGGCCAACACCAGTGACGAATATCTGAACCGGTCCTGGGCCTCCCCCAGGTCGAATCGGCCTCAAATAGGTACATATCGCGATGTTTAAACATCGCCACTAGGGAGACAAAGGCGGTCGGGTGTGGTGTTGGCCACCCACCCCCTCGTGTACCGTTCCGGCCTTCATAGGTGCTCGCTAACAGCACTTACCCCCTACAGTCTGTTAAGGCTATATGGGGGATCCTTATCTTTGTCTGTACCTGTGTGTGTACCTGTGTGTGTGTACCTGTGTGTACCTGTGTGTGTGTGCAGTGGGCGGTGCGAGTGCCGCGGGTGGCCAGGCGCTCGGAGCCGGCAGTGTTTGCGGCAGAGCTGATCCGGCGCCTGAACTCGGTGCAGATGGAGCGGCACTGTCAGCACCAGCCGCTGCTGTACAGCCAGCAGCAGGTGAGGTTCGACCCCAGCAGGGCATTGGAATGGTTGAGATGTGTGGTGTAAGGTGCTCTTGCGTTGCCGAGGTATTTGAGCAAGCAACCCCTTACACAGTGCAACCTTGGATTGCGAGTAACTTGGTCTGCGAGCGTTTTGCAAGACGAGCAGAAATGTTTAAATAAATATTGATTTGATAAACGAGCGAGGTCTTGCGATACGCGTAGTACGTGTACACGCTTTGTCTGCCGAGCGTCACGTGATCATAACTGATATATATATGAGTGCTTTGATATACGAGTGCTTTGGATTACAAACACGTTTCCGGAACGAATTATGCTCGCAATCCAAGGTTTTACTGTACGTGCAAATCCTCATCTCCCGACACTGTGAGAGACGGTAGCTCTGTGCACAGTGCACGTACGTATGTTGAACTTCTTCCGCACCGTACGTAGCCAACCGTGCTAATCGGAGGTAAGGGGGAAGGACAACAAACTCAACAAAAAAAATCGGCTCTAAAGAAATTAGTTTTCAATCTAGATTTAAAAGTGCAGAGGACCAGTGGCTTCCTCATATCGGAAGGAAGAGCGTTCCAGACGGACGCATTAGCGTCACCACCATCGCCATCCCCCACTTCCGTATCATGCAGGTACCTCTTCAACATCACCACCATCAACATTATCACCACCACCATCGCCACCATCATGTATGTACGCATGTAGAATTTTTTCCGCGCCATACGTAGCCAACCGCGCTATTCGGAGGTACGGCGGGAAGGACAACAAACTAAAACGCAGAAAGCAGTTGTAAAGAAATGAGTTTTCATTCTAGAAAAGTGCAAAGACTGTTACAAGCCATCGCGGAAGTCGGGAGGAAATTGAATTGGTAACTTCACGGCAGCAGCAGCAGCAGCAGCATCAGGAGGAGGAGGAGCGGCAAGAGGAGGAGGAGGAAGAGGAGGAGACGGTGACGATGGCGACACTGGGACTGCCGGGCGCGTCCGTGCTGCCGGCACTGCACCCGTTTGCGCTGCTCTTGCGTGCCGGCGCCGATGCCGACGACGACCCCGAGCGAATCCTGGACCAGCACGTGTCGCGAGTCCTGCGCACCCCCGTGGTGTGCCGCTCGCCCACCAGCCGCCCCCACCAGCACGGCCACCAGCACGGCCACCAGCACGGCCACCAGCACCACCACCACGCGGCCGGCGGCCAGCAAGCCGCAGCGGTGGGCGGACGGGCGCTACCGCTGGACAGGAGCCAGCACGGGGCGACGGCCGCCCCCTTCAGGTGGGGTGTGCATCCGCCGCTTGATGTCGCGTGGCATGTGAACTAGAAACTGTTAAACTTTTTATTTTATTTTACCAGGTAAGGCCCAGTGAGATGTACAGCTCTTTTCCAGAAGCGACCTGTCTATCGCAAATGATAGCTCAACGAAGTGGCTTATAATCAACGTGGTTTTTCGCCTTTTTTCTGGCAACAAAACTGAAACCTTTTCACAAGGATTCATGTCTGCATTAACCACAATACTTGCAGTCAAAATGCAAACAAAAAACATACTATGATAATATATGCGTTGTCCTTGAAACTGACTGGTCCACACCAAGGGACGGCTTTCTTTTGAGCCTCGACCCAATTGGTGCTCGACCAGATGACGCCAAAAGGCGTCACACAGCTCAAAGACAATGCACTATCAAAGTAATGAGGGCTCGGGGTGAGAATCTACATCATTAGATCTCCTTTGCCAGTACCAAAATATATCATCATAGTATGTTTTTTGTTTGCATTTTGACTGCAGGTATTGGGGTTAATGCAGACATGAATCCTCGTAAAAAGGTTTCAGTTTTGTTGCCAGAAAAAAGGGGAAAAACTCTATTTTATTTTGGTACTGGCAAAGGAGGTCTAATGACGAAGTGGCTTTTCATCGTGTGGAAATTCACAGCAGTAGCCAACTCCTCTAAACGCGTGACGTTGATTCTAAATATGGAGGGAAAAACCGGAGGACCTGGAGAAAAATCCACGCGACCAAGGGGAGAGAGAGAGATGCAAATGACAGGTGTCGTTCGGATCGAACCCACGACCTCTTCTATACCCAGGCGAGGTAGTGACACCATGTGGCCAGCTGTCCGGGCCAGTTCAGCATTGGTGTTCATTTAGTTGGCGTAATGAGTGGCAAAAAAAGATTCGTCAGTGCCATGTTTTATTGTTTTCGTATTTTAGTCAACGGTGACTTAAGAGTGATGACTACCATCTCCCAGCGGAGAGGTGGAAGCGTGACGGACTATGATGGGCAGAAAATAACGTGTCCCAATGACGAAACGGACCGAGATTATTGAGTAATCTTGCTAGAGAATGCAGTGCACGGAGCAAGGCCAGGCATAGGTAATTGGCTCCGTGGGTATTTCTTCCTGTAATTATAACAAGTATAATTCTAACAAGTAATAGTAGCAGTTAATAGTAACAATGAATCGTTAACAATTAGCAATTCAGTGAGTGGCCGACCTGACATTGCATGCCCCTCACACTAACATTTAATCAGCAATAGCGGACAAATGTTGACACTGCTCTGAACCGGAGTTGTGGATGCGGTGAGGACACGAGAGTGGGTGGTCACGTGACGCGCTGGTGCCATTTGGGAGAGGTGGGGTATTGACACCTATTGATGTGTGCGGTGGCGGTGGTGTGGGTGTGGTGAGTACGGGAGGGTGGGTGGGTGTTCGCTAGTATTGGGGTGCCGCGGTGGCGAGATGTTTACTACCTCACCTGGTATGCAGGAGGCCGTGCAGGGGCGGAGCCAGGGGGGGGTGACAGGGGTGACATTCTGCGTATAAGTGTACGACACTCGGTCTGGCGGACTCCGTGCAACTGCACTGTCAGAGCGTGTCGCCAACCGATGGCGTCTAGTTCAACAGCCTGACTCTCTAATCATTCTTGAAATTTAAATTTGTTGCATGTCACCCCGGCCTGAAATCCTGGCTCCGCCCCTGAGGCCGTGAGTTCGATCCCGACCCTGACGCCTGCTGTATATTTGGAGTTTGCGTGTCTCGCTCCCCGTGGTCGCGTGGATTTTTCTCCGGGTCCTCCGGTTTTTCCCTGCCACATTCAGAATCAACGTGACCACGCGTTTTAGAGTATTTGGGTTCTGCTAGAAATTCCCGCGTGATGGGTGACAAGCCACTCAGTTGAGCGACCATTATGTGTGATAGCTAGGTTGCTCTCTGAAAAAGAGCTATACAGCTCAGTGGGGCCCCTCACCTGGTTAAAATAAAAAGCTTGGTTGAGTTTTTAGGTGTGCGTGATGGCGTGGCCGTGTTCCGTGCGGGTATTTTGCCGTGCAGCGGCGGCGGCGGTGTGTGTGTGCGTGTGGCAGTGCCGTAAGAGTGTGTGGTGCTGTTGGTGCGGCAGGAAGGCCATCCCGGCGGAGGAGGTGGACAGGGCGAGGCAGATCTGGAAGTGGCTGGTGGAGGGAGAGAGGGATGGGCTCGGGCACGTGCACAGGTGTGTGAATGTTAGAAGGGGTGGGGGGGGGCGCGCGGGGAGTGTTAACGAGGGGGGGGGGGGGTTGTCGTTCACAGTTACGTCTCTGAGTGTGCACGAGCGAGTCGGGCGATTTCGGTTGACGATGAGTGAATAAGCCGTCCGTGAATTAAGTAACGACGCGGGTAAGTGTTATTAAAAGTGCGGTGCCTGCGTAAGCGGTTGAGTTGGTGATGCTAATAACTCTGTGAGCATCGCCGTGGTGTCGGTAACTGCGAGCGTAGTTGGCGAATCGACGATAGTGACAATATAACCGGTCTTCAGCATTTGCGTCGCGAGCAAGAGGGTTGAACCCGGTTGTCTGTGCCCCCACCCCCCCCCCCCCCCCGCCAGCGAGCTGGTGGTGGAACGGCCCTGGGGCCCCCCTCCCAGGCGCCGGGTGGTGCAGCCCAACCACCCGTTCCTGCAGGACCCGTCCATGCCACCCCCGCCCCCCCCCAACACCACCGTGCAGCTGGAGGAGGCCAAGCGGCGTCTGGAGGAGGAGCAGCTGGTGCCCTTGAGCCGGAGCGCCCAGCCCGGCAAGCACAAGTGAGCGCCCGGCGACTTTTCCCGACGGCGTGAGGCGTTGTTGCTCGGCAAACGGTCGACTTTCACGCAGCAGTCGTCGCCGTTTGCCGAGCAGCCAGGGTGAGCGCGACGGCCTCAAAATGCCGAGTGGCCAGCAGCGAGCAGCACTGTCGAATTCGTAATAATCATAATTTAAAAAAAAATCCAAGTCAAAGGTGATTTCCTGCTCAAAATGAGCATTGGCGTGGTGCTTAACCTCCTGGATCCAGTTGTGGAAATTCTACTTTCCTATGGCGGCGGGGGGCGACTCCATAAGATAACCTGACCCTGGAGCGACGATGGGCCTAGTCAAACTCTCCAACTTCTTCTTCCGCGTGGATTTATTATAGCAGCAGATTTTAAGATGTAACTTGAGACTCGTCCACTCATAATGAAGGTTTTTGGGGTTAGATCGCGTTAGTTATAAATGTGTCACAACCCTCAACCACCCGACACGGCCAATCGGTAAAAAATGTGTCACGTTGACAAAAGACAAAATAGTTGACTACTTTATCCCACCGGTGTGTTGAAGAGTGGATCCACAACATTTACAATTTGAGTAGTGCGACGTTTCGCTGGAAATCGCATCCAGCATCTTCGGGCGATTTGCCAGAATAGTGAAGCCATCGTGCAGGATCACGTCATCGTTGGTGAACCCTATCACGTTTCGAGATCATAGGCGGAGGTGGGGGTGTATGCAATTACGTAATAGATCAGTAATGAGCCACTTAGCATGTGACTCATCTTTCAGGAATTGCAATGTGTGTTGTGTGTTACTTAATAATACGCTACCAGGCTGCGCCGAGTCGAGTTGTGGAGGGTTGCCACACATTTCTAAAATAACGCGATCTATCCCAAAATCCTTTATTCTGAATAATACTGGTCGCGAAAGGCCTACGTGTTCAACTGACTCGTCCACTCGATTGTTCGTTCAGAAGCAGAGTGGCAGTGAAGGCGGCGGCGGCGTGTTTACGATGGTGGTCGACGGTTTGGGATTCTTGGCCGCACCACCACGCACGCCGCTGAATCTTTGATGCGCCATTTGTGGCATTAACTAGGATTTGAACTCAAAATTATTCATCGAATCACGAGGGGGGTGGGGGGGGGGATAAACGTTTACTTAGTCAATCGGCAGTTGCCAAGCACAGGCGAGAGCGGTGCAAAGCCCTGAGCGGCCAGCAACAATCGGCACCCTTGAAGGCGTTATAGATAAAGAGTCGCATGGAACAAGGTTGTCATCAGGACACTTGGCAAAAAAGAGAGCCGTGGGATGGAATTCCAGAGTTGAGCAGTGGGAAGGGAAGAGGCAGAAAGTTAAGTGTTTTAACCAGCAGTGTGGTGGGTGGGTGAGCGAGCGAGTGAGTGGGAGAGTGAGCGAGCGAGCGTGTTGTTGTGGCTTGCAGTGTGGGTGGTTGAACACAGGATGGATGAGACCGTACGGTCAGCCTGGTAGGCTCGGATCCTAGACATGGGGTCGCCTCGCGGAGTCGTGCCGAGTCAATGTGTCTGCCAAAGTGTCCCCGTGCTCAGTCGAGCATCTCCGTTAGAAACGCCACATTCCAATTTGCCTGGCTCACCATCCCTATGGGCAGATGAATATAGCGGGAGGTATTATTAGCGTGAGATGTAATGGTTGTGGTGTAATGGTTGGCTTACTGAACTTTGCAAGCCAGAAGTCACTGGTCCAATTTGATCTCCCGGCGTGGGGAGATCCCAACTTTATAATTGCGAGTCAACACTCTGGCCAACATCAGTGGCAAACGGCATCAGTGGCAAACGGCGTCTTAACCTCTTCTCTGAGCCTTGCCGTAGTGTGTACACCACCACTACCACCACCACCACCCCATCCGCCGTTCTGGCCTTCATCGGTGATCGCAAACAGCACTTGCCTCCATCAGTCTATGGCGGCTACACGGGGCATCTTTGTGTTTGTGTTGCCGTGCAGGTACGTCCAGGAGGTGATTGAGAGGGGCCGCAGTCTGGCCAGGGGCGTCGCCGCGCCCATCGCGAGCGCCGTTTCCACCGTCCCGGACGCACACGCTGCGGAGTACGGGTGAGCCGCACCGAACCGTGCCGATCCACACCTTAGACATCCACGTTGCCATGGTGGCGAGATGTTATCTTCCTCGCCTGGGTTTCAGCAGGTCGGGCGTTCGATCCCGACCCTGACCCCCTGCTGTATACTTGAAGTCTGCGTGTCTCTCTCCCTGTTGTCGCGTGGATGTTTTCTCCGGGCCCTCCGGTTTTTCCCTCCACATTTAGGAACATGCGTTTTAGAGTATTTATATTTTGACGTAAAGCTTTTTCGCGACTGCAGGAATTCATATTCTTTGGGTCTTTCGGTAAAGTCACGTAGATGGGTTCATAGAAAATAACAAAAAAACTACGACGTTTCGCTCGCAAAGCAAGCGCTTGCGTTGCTATCGAAGCTATGCACTTTTAAATCTAGATTGAAAAGTAATTTCTTTAGAACAGCTTTTTGTGTTTTGTTTGTTTTCTTTCCCCCACACCTCCGATTAACGCGGATGGCTACGTACGGTGCGAAAGAAGTTCAACACGCATAAATACAGCCGACAGCGGTTAAACAGAGACAACTGCCGACCGGTTTCATCCTCGTTAGGACTCGTCGATACAGCGCTTTTGCCAATCCAGAATTCTATCAGTTTGCTGGTGTCGGGGGTGTGGGGATGCATGGTCACGTGACTGCCGGGCTGCCGTGGCGGCCTTGCGCTGGGCTAAGGCGACGCACCTGGTGGTTGCGGTAGAGGCACGTTGACAGGTGTGCGTGCGTGCGTGAGCCCGGGAAAGCAATCCTAATTCCATTGCGTGGCGGACTTTGAAGTCGAATCCTCGCCTCGACATGGGGAGCTTTGTTGGCCTGCGCCGCTCGTTTCGGGAGGGGTTTGAGGTTTTTTTCAGGAGCCGACTGATGAAATGCACTTGACGCCTTTTTTTTGGTTTGTATTTCAAAGCTCGAAAAAAAAAACTCCGTCTCTCTCCGCGTGCGTGTGGGTTTGGCCACCAGATGAGGATTTGTGCATATTTGTATTATTTTGTAAGCTTCGTCCTTTTCTTTGTATTTCTCTCTCTCTCGCTTCGTTTGCGTGACACCCGACTTCTTTTTGGAATGACAATTCGTTTTGGATTTCGTGGAAAGTTCGCACCCCCCCCCCACCCCCCGTACCTCCGTGACTCCACAATAACGTGCACGCGGGCACAGGCCTGCCGAAATTCTTTTGATGTCGGCCGCCGCACACTTTGCGGAAGCGCTGACGGAAATTTTGGAAATTGAATTAATAGAAAAGAGCTGCCCATGAAGTCACGGGGCAGTGCAAGCAGCCAACAACAAGCACGCAGGTGAAGAGACCTAATCGCACGGTACCAACGGGGAATTAAGGGTCGCCCGCGGTATGACTGGGGACGCCAATAATACTAATGAAGCCCCTGATCATTTTGTGGCAACATTTCAGAACATTGGATCATCAGGCCCGTCCCTCCGCGCTTGATTGAGTGAATTCGGCGGTCATGATTTGATTCAATAATCACCGTCTCGTTTTCTCTTTCACCGCCTGGATTGTGCTGTTTCTCGTGTTTTCTCACGGTGACATTTTTTGTCCCCCCCCCACTTTTTAGAACAAACACAGTAAGCATATTATTCGCTTATATTCTGCATGAATCTCAAATGACCTCACGGAATGTACAATGTGCGTGCCACGAGCTTAAGAATAATGTTGAATCGACGAGTCGTTGCTTCGTCACACCTCTGGTACAAACATAAACATCCCCTGTATAACCTTAACAGACTGTTGGGGCAGGTACTTTTAGCCAGCACCTATTAAGGCCGGAAGGGCGGGTGGCCAGCACCTTTGTCTCCCTAGTGATGATGTTTGCACACTGTACCAGGTACTCATTTGAGACTGAGATGACCAAGGGGAGTCCCAGGACCGGTTCAGACAATCGTCGCCGGTGTTGACCGTGAGCGGGAATCGAACTCGGGTCCATAGCGCAGCGTAGCGCTAACCGCTGCACACCTCTGGTACACTCACTGCCTCGCTCTCACACGCGTGCACCAGTGGCACTCCCGTCGTGCAGCTGACTCTGCCCACCGGCCAGGCTGCTTTTTCTTGCATGCGACCGGTGCGGGGCTGCCGCTCGCTATCTTGATTCGCACGCCGGTTCCGGTGAGCCGCCGCCACCGCCGCCACCGGCTGTAATTGCTGTTAAATTGAGCTCTCGCGTTTGAAGTGCGGTCGCTCGGCTTTGAAGTGAGTGAGGAGCTGAGGGGCTAAGCCCGTGGCCCCCCGTGCATGCGATTGTGGGACATCGCCCCCCCCCCCTCCCCTTCCCATCCTCCCTTTCCCTCCCATCCCCACCCCCGCCTCCACTCCCGTCCCCCCAAACCCCAGTGCCCCCTGAGCCACGGCCGCGTGGGTTTTTTGGTATTTTTAATCTGAAGAGGAAGTCCTCCGTTTTTATCCCAAGGCTCGCTGTCCTCCCTTGGCTAGCGCGGTGATTCGCAAACATAAAAGCGCTGCCTTCGTGTTGCGTTTGAAGCGGCAGCTTGTTTAATTCTGCGTGCGATGGGGTTTTTATATATATAAATACTTTTTTTTAAAAATCGCATTATTTTTTATTAATCTAACGCCGCCACTGCTTCCGTCATGGTCCACGGCTTTAGAGCGAAAGTTGAGCGCGCCCGTTCGTTGGTGCAGGCCGCCGCTGCCTCTCCGCCCTCCCGGAGCTCGCTTGTCATCGCCGCTTTTGAGCAACAGATCTCTCGCTTGCGTGAAGTGCGCTCGCGACACCGGGTCCCGAGCACCCCCCCCCCTCCCCCCCCTTCCCCCCCCTCCCCGGTAGGCTTGGGCCGTGTGCGGGCGCACGAGTTGGCGCCGCCACACCCTGCCGTCCCGAGTTCGGTTTTCCGCTCGGCGGCCAACATCGGTGACGTATGTCTGAGCCGCTCCTGGGCCTCTCCCCCGCTCGGTTCGACCCGGCCTTAGATGATGTGACCGTGTAAACATTATCACCGGGGAGATGATGGCGGTCGGCCGCGGTGCAGGCAACTATCCCGCCTTCGTGTGCATTACTGGCCCTAAGTGGTGCTCACAAACATCGCTTGCCCCAACAGTTATTTGAAAATTTGAAAGGTTATACGGGGTATCCTGGTCATTGTGTCCGCGCATACTAATTGTATTAAAATAGGAGTGAAACGATTTTGTCGGTTCGTAATCGGTTTAATATGTCGATTTTTTTTTTTTACATCCTGGATCTTGTCCTGATGATGTTTAAAGTAGTATCAAAGGAAACGTCAACATCTGGTGACTGCCGACCAGGCTACAACAAATGCTAGCACAACGACATGGCTCATCGCGTGGGAATTTATAGCAGCCGAATAACTCCATAGACTGGCGACGTTGATTCTAAGTGTGGAGGGAAAAACCGGAGGACCCGGAGAAAAATCCACGTGACCACGGCGAGAGCGAGAGAGAGAGAGAGAGACGCGCAAACCTCCACACATACAGGTGAAGAGGAGTTGATGAATGATTAAAGCACTTTATTGCACCAACGCACAGCAACACTCGTTCCAAGACCAACCCCGAACACACAGTCCCACGGCCCCTTTTAACACCCTCAATATCCGCTCCCAATACGCATCCGCGTCGAGCACGCCTGGTCCGGGTGATGTCACTGCCCTTTAACCCCTGACCCCCGTCCAGCGCAATCCCGCGCGTGTGATTGGTGCGTGTTGTCGTGAGAGCGGCGATGTCGTGTCTGCATGGCGCGTGTGCGTGAGGGTTTGCTCGCAGATCCCTTACACAGGCGTCGGGGTCAGGATCGAACCCACGACCTCCTGTATACTGGCTCAATTACTTGTCAGTGAGCTCGACCGGGTGACCCAAAAAAGGGCCAGCACTCTTTCAGAATAAATGTGTGGCGTGGCCATAATGTTAGAGTTTGCGGTGCGAGGAAAGGAGCGGAAAGAGAAATGTTACGAACTGCAGTGTGGTGACGTTTGAACTTGGGTGCGGATGAGATAAAACAGTTCTGTAGAAAAAGTTTAGAGTATTTGGCTGCCATCAATGTTCACATGATAAGCCACTTCTTTGGCCTATCATTTGTGATAGGTCGTTTCTGAAATAGAGATACGCAGCTCAGTCGGCCTTACCTGGTAAAATAAAAAAAATATCATCATCATCATTATTATTATTAAAAAAATTGTTTTTAGTTTTTTACTTGACTTGGTCTATCAGGGTCCAAGGTCCTTCCCCCGAACCTCCGATTAGCACGGCCGGCTACATGCAGTGCGAAATAAGTTCAACGTACACACACATAAGACCCCCGTTGAGTTCAGGAAACGGGGCTGAATATCCTGCTGCCCCCCTCCTCCCCCTGCCCCCCCCGCTTCCAATCGTGACAGTCGGAGAACGGGACGGCGCCTGGGAGCTCGTGGCCCCGGCGGGGAGGAGGAGGAGGAGGAGGGGGAGGGTGGGCCAGCGGGGGGCGGCGTGGTGGTGGCGTACTACTTCTGCGGGGAGCCCATCCCGTACCGTTCCAGGGTGAGGGGGGATTCCCTCACCCTCGCCCACTTCAAGGAGCTGCTCACCAAGAAGGGCAACTACAGGTGATTGTGTGAGCACGCAGAGGCGTGTGCGCGTGTGCGTATGTGCGTGTGTGTGTGTGCACAGTAGGGGGCACAGGTGGTGCATCAGCCAGTCATCTCAGTGAGTCGACCCGTGGCACCTGGGTCTGCCCCGTGACCTCCTGCCAGCGGGCGTTCGACACTTCACGTGGCCTCAGGGTGCACATAGCCTGGCACAAGCGTCGTGGTGACGTCACCGCCACTTAGTGGCGAATGGCGGTTGTTGTTGTTGTTGTGTGTGTGTGCGCACACGCCCTACCTCCTTCCTATCGCTCGGGCACACACGCTTACGTCACCTTCCCTGTGTTGCAAAGACAAAAGATCTCCCCCTCCCCCGTGTAGCCTGTAACGGACTGTAGGGGCAATTGCGGTTAGCGAGTAGCCACCTATGAAGGCGGGGGTGGGTGACTAGCACCACGCCCGACCGCCTTTGTCTCCCCAGTGGCGATGTTTTCACATCGGTACTCATTTGAGGCTGAATCGGCCTAGGGGAGGCCCAGGACCGGTTCAGATAATCGTCGGTGGTGTTGGCCGTGAGCGGGAATCGTTCTTGGGTCGCCGGGTTCATAGCGCCGGGTTCATAGCGCAGTGCACTAACCTCTACACCACCGCTCGCACGTTACATCGCACAGACAAAGATACTCAAGTCGCCCTTCCCTGTTACAAAGACAGAGATCCCCCATATAGCCTTAACAGGCTGTTGGGGAAAGTGCTGTCAGCGAGCGCCTGTAAAGGCCCGGCACGGCACACAAAGGGGGTGGTTGGCCAGCACCTCGCCCGGCCGCTTTTCTCTCCAGAGTGACTTAGGGGAGGCCCGGGCCCGGTACGGATATTCACCACCGATGTTGGCCACGAGCGGAAATCAAGACACAGTCACGCTCGCGCGATTGTGTCTTGCGTCACGCGCACACACGCGCATACAAGGGCACCGCGGTGGCTAGGAGATGTTAACTACCTCGCCTGATATGTAGGAGGTCATGAGTTTGATCCCGACCCCAACAACGTCTGCTGTATATTTGGAGTTTGCGGTGTCTCTCTCCACGTGGTCACGTAGATGTTTTTCCGTCCACATTTAGAATCCACATCACGCGTTTAGAGTATTTGTCTGTTAAAACATTTCCACGTGATATCAGGCGCTTTGTCGAGCTAGCATTTGTGATTGCCAGGTCGCTTCTGAACAAGAGCTACGGAGCTCAGTGGGGGCCTTACCTGGTAAAATAAAAAGTAGTTTAGTTTTTGCACGGCTGTGGTTGCTGAGCGAGTGGTGACATCTGGAGGTTTGTGTTCAGCTGCGCACGTTCAGCACGTTCACATTCCACTTCTGGACCGATGGAGCTTCTGAATACAGTCGGATTTAAAGTGCTTTGTGGTCGTGGAGACCGATTAGATCAGCGGGTGGGTCATAAGGAAGGGAGAGGATAAAGGTGAGCAGATTAGCGCTATGCAATCAGGAGGTAGCGTTTGGTCAGTTTAAGGTTCTATTATGGGACCTTTTTGCCAGTATCAAAGTACGAAAAATAAATAATAGATTTTACCCTTTCTGTTTCCTAGTTGAAGGTTCTACGTACATCATACTAGTTAATCTGCCCCTCTCACTGCTCTGCTATTGCCCAAAATGTTCGCCTATTTTAAATGTGGTTGTTTGCACGGGATGCTTATCGTGAATATTCAACGGGGCACCGTGAGAACGCTTATTGCTACGCGTGAGACACATTGTACGTCCGGCCAAGGCCACTGCCAACAAACCTGTTGAAGTTTTGGAACAAGATGGGCTACGAATTGCTTTTGCGGAAGCATTTTTAGAAGAGAAAATAAATTAAAACCCCCGCAACGTTGTGCTGCGTTGCAAGCGCGATCGACGCGCTTGCGTTTGACGAGCGTGTCGGTGTTTGAACCGCGGATGCCTGTTCCTGTACGTGCGCCACACTTCTTCGTGCATTGCAGTCAAATAGCTGGGGCTCAATTAATAGACTGACCTGCCAGCTTGCGTCCCAACGTGCGGTGCAGCAGTTCCACTGAACATTAAAGAAAGATGTCGGAGACTCTGTGCGGCAAAGTATTCCACTTTCATTTTTTTTATCTTGGCGTTTGCGAAACCTGTCGGCCTCGTGCGCGGCCAGATTTGAATCCAGCTCTTGAACGTCGGTCATCCGTTGCACTTTGTGCCGGGACAATTGGGACGCATGTATGTGTGGGCGTTGACCTTCTTTCGTAGCCAATTGTGCTAATCGGAGATGCGGGGGGGGGGGGAAGGACGACAAACTAAACACAAAAAGCAGTTCTAAAGAAATGAGTTTTCAATCTAGATGATTAAAAAATGCACAGCTCCAGTGGCTTCCTAATATCGGAAGGAAGAACGTTCCAGACGGCCGCAGAAGCGCGTCTGAAAGCGCCGTGCGGTGCTGTGACCGTTTTTGTCCGGCCGTTTGCCTAAAGCCGCCGCTCCTGCTGTGAGGATGAACGGAGCTCGCGTGACGATGGTTTATGCTCCTTGAAGAGATGAGCGAGGTGTATTGATTGGTTCGTTTGTGTCGAGCACGATGCGTGTCCTCCTCCTCCTCCTCACCACTACCCCCACCCCCTCCTCCCGTGCCTCGATGCCCGTGCCGCCGCCGCAGGTTCTACTTCAAGAAGGCGAGTGAGGAGTTTGAGTGCGGGGTCGTGTTCGAGGAGGTGCGCGACGACAAGGCCCTGCTGCCCCTCTACCAGGGCAAGGTCGTGGGCAAGGTGGAGAAGGTGGAGGGAGGAAGTCCCCCCCTCAGGTCCTGAGGTCGCCCGCCCCGAGGTCGAGCGGCCTCCTGCAGGGGAGCCCCTCGCCCCCGCGGGCGTGGAGCGTGGTGGGAGGGCCGAGCGTGGGCGGCCCGAGGGCACCGGTCGTCGTGCCGGGGATGCGCGAGGGTCGAGCGGGCCTCGGCGTCCACCTCCGATGAGCCGCGGCTGGCCACGTGCGGTGCGAAAGGAGTCCGACGTATGGACGTGCGTACGCCGGAACGTTCGGCTGGAGACGGAAGAGGAGGCTCGCGCGAGCGACGTCACGTCGCGTCACGAACGCGCCATGCGCGCTGGGGAGAGGAGCTCCGCTTTGGTGAAGGATGCCGTGGCGTGACGTACAATGCCACTTGGTGTGTGTGGGGGGCGGGGCGGGGCGTGGTGCTGGTCACCCACCCCCTCGTGTGCCGCGCTGGCTTTCGTAGGTGCTGCTACTCGCTCAAAGCACTTGCCCCGACGGTCTGTTGAGGCTATACGGGGGGGATCTTTGTCTTTGTGTGGGGGGCACGGGTGTGGATAGGGTCACAGAGAACTATGGGTAGAAGATGCACGCAGCTTTGGGATTGTGGTGTGGTGCTGTATACAAGATAACGGCGATGTGGCACGGTGTGATGCGGTGTGGTGGTGTAAGATACACTGGGGGTGTGACGGGTGTTTATATTGTTTTGAGAACAGGGATACGGTAGAGCAAATGGGCCAGACTAAAATTTGTTAACATTTGGTTTAAAATACCTTGGATTTTTCTCGCTTGTCAACATTTACATCGGCGCCACGGTGGCAACACGTTATTTACTTTGCCCGGTATACAAGAGGTCGTGGGTTTGATCCCGACCCTGATGGCTGCTGCATATGTTGGAGTCTGCATGTCTCTCTCTCCCCATGGTCACAGGTGTGAGCCACCAGCCTCCTGTGACCAGGCTGAGACCCATCGACTCGTCGCACGGACGTTAACCCCCCCCCCCCACCCTTGGCTAACAAACTAAGTGGAGGCATAGCAGTGCATTTGACTTACCACTCGCAAAGCCGTTTAGCCGCTCCTCGCACCTCACATTAATGCACACACTCCCTGGCAACGTGCGTAAGGGTCACATGTAGATATTGCACGTGGGTCATGTAAGTATTTGCTATCTTTTTTTAATTTATTATGGTATGCATTTGTAATATGTAAATATATTTTAAAGAGAGAACCCCCACCTCCTTTGATTAGTGACGGTCCCTGGGGCTAATCTGCGTGCGTGCGGGCGGGCGTGGGGGGAGGGGTAACGATGACGACAGAAATGGGGGGGGCGCGCGCGGGTGTCGGTCATGTGACTGCAACCGCGAGGGCGCGACGGGCACGGGTTTACTTTGTCTCAACACGGTGAGAGAGTCGACGCCGAGATCGAGTCCTCGCGGTTACTCGAGCTCGCGGGATAAGTTCGGTGGAGGGGGGGGTGGAGGGGGGGGCGTCCAAACGAAAAAATTAACGAGAGCAGCCATCCTTTTCGAATGCGGTAAAGAAACTCGATGATTATTCAAGAGCCGCAGTCGGTGCACGCGGCGAAGGCGAGACGGCGGTTCCTTAATAAATCGCTTTCACTGAGCAGTCCCTTGAAGAGCCGCAGGCTTGCCAACCCCTGGGCGCCAAGGTGGCTATGAGATGTTAACGACCTCGCCTGGTGTGCAGGAGGTCATGGGTTCGATCTCGACCCTGACGCCTGCTGCTGTATGTTTGGAGTTTGCGTGTCTCTCTCTCTCCCCGTGGTCACACGTGGATTTTTCTCCGGGTCCTCCGGTTTTTCCCTCCACATTTGGTATTAACGTGAGTTTGGAGTATTTGGCCGCTATAAATTTCCACATGATAAGCCATGTTCGTTGAACTATCATTTGTGATAGCCAGATCGCTTATGAAAAAAGAGCTATATAGCTCAGTGGGCCTTACCTTGGTAAAATGAAAAATAGTTCGAGCTAGTTGGGCCACCGGTCAACGACTTTGCCACTTTGCGCCCGCAAGGCCATGATGCACCAGCTCACGCTTTGGGCACTTCTGTAGTTGCTGCCACCGCCGCCGCTGCTGCGGTTTCCGTTGCGGAAAAAAGAATTCGGTCGTCCAATCGGGACCAATGTTATCGCATCTCCCTCTTAGTGGGCAGCCAGGCGGGCAAGTTTCGATCGGATTAGTACAGACAGGTTGCGTGGCCAGCCGAGGTTGTGGTTGCAGACCAATCCCTGTTCAGCAAACACTCTTTGCAACAAACTTTTTTCATTGGCTGGACAGAGCTATTTCCTTTGCCGTGCAGGTATTTATTTAAACAAGGCCGACTTTGCCGATGGTGGAGGTTAACCGATCCAGAGTTTGCTCTTGTAAACAAAATGCTGCCGGATAATATATGTTTTGGGAAGCCCGTGGAGTGATGAACTAAAAGCATTGTATTCTACGTGAATTCAATTAGGCCATACGGTGATACCCCGATGACGGACTTCGAAACGACGTCAATCGAAGCGACGTCCAGGGGTAGTGGTGGGTTGGTGGGTGGTGGGGGCGATGGCTCGGAGGCGACGGGATAACGAGGAAGAACATTCGACGATGCTGTCGGCGACGTGCGAGTGGTGTGTGGGTTGAGGCGACGCAAATCGGCTCGCGGGTGTTAACAACGCAGCGACGCGACGTATTTACGAAACGACGTGAGATGCGCGAGACGTAAATCGGGCTGTTACTGTCTTGCCATATTGATTGTTTACCTGCGTGGAATAGGTGCGGCGGTGTGGAATGCGACGTTAAACTTCTTATTTCTGAATAAAGTCGATCGCTTTCCTTGCCGGTAACTTTTTGCGGCTCCGTGGGCCGCTGAGTCGCGAAACGTCCCGTAGAGTGAGGCACAGCCAGTGATGAAACCACCGTGCCTGTAAACAGGGTGGCCCCAAAAAGTCGAGACGCGGGGTTATTATTTGTTTAAACAAATCGCAACTCATCATTTTATTTATTTTATTTTGTTCAGTCTGGCTTCTGTTAATATTAATGCGTGCACGAATTATCTTTTGAAATAAATTTAGGACTCAAAAAATTTATTATAGGTGTAATCTTTTAACAGTCACCAATTGTGTTTCGTGTCAATCCAGTCAATTGTATTTTCCATGTTTAAATGCCATATGAAAATGAAGAGACACAGATATTAACTATAATAGATACATTTTACTTAAAGAATAAAATATTAAAACGTTTCAATGTCAGTGTTGAAATAAATATAACCCTACGCGTCCTAACTTTTAGGTCACCCTGTATATCCCTATAGATAGATCTCACAAGCACGGTTAATCTGCCACCTGGATAAGTAGGCGCCGTGGTGGTTATGAGATGTTTACTACCTCGCCTGGTATACAGGAGGTCGTGGGTTCGATCCCGACCCTGACATCTGCTGCATATGTGGAGTTTGCGTGTCTCTCTCGCCGTGGTCGCGTGGATTTTTCTCCGGGTCCTCCGCTTTTGCCCTCCACATTTAGAATCGACGTGTGTTCAAGAGTGTCTGGCTGCTCTAAATGTCCACGTGATAAGCCGCCAACTTCATTGAGCCATCATTTGTTGTCGGGGCGCTTCTGAACAAGAGCTCCACAGCTCAGTGGGGCCTTGCCTGGGTAAAATGAAAAAAAATGTTTATAGTTTATTTTTATAATTCAGACTGATGCTCTCCACATCAGCATGGGTTGCCATCGTTGCTTGTACTAAATTTGTTGCTGGTGACAGCTGCGCTCAGATTGCCCTCGTGCACCACGACTCCCCCCCCCACTCCCGTAGCTGCGACGGGGGACAGAAAGGGCTACATGGGGCGCGGTTGTCGCGCAAGGCGGCGGTACACACGCGGACGAGCGCAAAGAGAACGGGGGAAATGCGCAGCAACTGGCTCGTCACTGGGAGGCGGTCGCTGTGAAGAGGAGGCCGGGGAGACAACTGGATTCCAGACTCTCCGACTACTCGCTTACAGAGCCGCCTGCAGATATGCCGACCGACTCGCTGTTGAGCCTCGTGCGTCGGCGAGTCCTGAAGGGTCCTGCTGCACGCCAACCATCCTGCAACTCGTCAGTCCAGCGTGACCATCAAGACGGCAGGTTTCTAATTTGAAGGCAACGCATTCTGCCGGTTTGATCAACCCGGCAACCACACTTCCGATATTAGGAAGCCATTGGAGCTATGCACTTTTAAATCATCTAAATTGAAAACTAATTTCTTTATAACTGCTTTTTTTTGTTTAGTGTTGTTGTCCTCCCCCCCACACCTCCGATTAGCGCGGTTGGCTACGTACGGTGCGAAAGAAGTTGCCGATGGCCGGGTTGGCCGTCTGCGCTGGTTGCACCTGGCTTTGTTTGCGCCGAGCTGCGTCCGCTCTTGTGCCCGAAGACCGGGGGGCTTGAGGGCCGTGCTGCCGTGCTCCCGTGCTCCGCGCGACCCTCCTGGCTCTGACAGTCTCCCTCGAAGACACTGGCGCGGCGGTTAACCCACAACGGGACATCAACAAACAGGCCGACTGATGCGCACACCTCCGAAATTAGGCACGGTTGGCTACGTACGGTGCAAAAGAAGTTCAACGGACAATATGGACGCAGACACGCGGGCTGTTTTTTTTTGGGGGGTACGAAAAGCGTTTCCAGTTATTTCGCGACTTATTCCGGGCCGGGGGGCGGGGGGGGAGTTGGGGGGCCTTGCCGTGCCGAGTTGGCCGAGCTGGTGTGGCCCCGCGCCCATAGCGGCGAGCGGAGAGCGCCGCGATCAAAGTTTTTCCCGCTCGCCGCCGATGGTTCTCGACGGTGGTTTTTGTTGCAGGGTGCGTGGTGTGGGAGTTGTTGTTTTTGTTCCTCCCCCCCCCCCCATCGCTGGGATGCGCGCGAGTCGGACATTGTACGTGGATCGCCGCTTCGGAAGAGTGCTAACTTAATGATTAAAAACAAGTGCGGAATCTTAACCACCCTCTCGGCGTGCCGTTTCCGTCTTACATTTTCTTCTGCCATCGTCGCTCCGATTTATTGCTGCTGTGAGACGGGGTGGGTGGGGGGGGGGCGTCTGCCGGATCGGTGGCGTCCGCTAACGGTTCGCCGTTAAGTGCCCCTCAGATCGACGATACATCCATCCCCCATTTGCTGTTGGTACAACTTAAAATAAGAATTGTGGTGGCCGATATATATATTGCGCTCCTTAAGAGCCACCAATAACCGTTGCGTAAAGTAGCCTTGCGTCACAATCATCGTCGCTTCTTGAATTTGAAACAAAAAAAACAAAGAAAATCTTGAAAGTATGAAAGCATCTACTCGACCATGGGAGTTCTAATTTAATGATATCTGGACAACCCAATCAAGCTTGTAATCATTCACTCCCCACCGCAATTCAATTCACGAACTTTTTTTTTGATGATTTGTATGACTGCACCTTGTTTATACCGTCGCACGAGTCTTTGTATTCTCCGTCCGCCTCTGGTTTAGTTCCAACTTGCAGCTCCGGAGAAGCATCCGGCTCTTTGTCAGGGGCTGCTTCGTGACGGCGATTTGTTAAGGAACCGTGTTTACTCTTTGATTTGAATGCACGTTAAATTTAGATTTAAAGCTTTCGTGACTGCAGGGATTCATATTCTTGGTTCTTTCGGTAAAGTCACCACGTAGAAGGGAAACAATCAAATAATAGAAATATAAAACAATAAAAATATGAAACAATAAAAACCACAGCAAGAACATTTTCTTGCTGTGGTTTTCACACCTGATGATGATTGCTTGTGTTGCAGTCGAAACGTCGTGGGAATTTTATAGTTTTATATTTTTATTATTGTATTGTTTCTCTTCTACGTGACTTTACCGAAAGAACCAAAAATTTTAATGCACGTGTTTACCACGTGTTTACCACGTGGTAAACACGCGTTTACCACGTGTTTACCACGTGCCTTCTTGCCTCCTTTTGTCTTAAGCCATCCTCGGATCCGAGGCTTGGCCGCACCGCGGGCAATCCTTCGCCGCTGACTTGAGTCTTCTGCTGCTGTCCTCGCCGTTCTCGTCCGTGCCTCGACGTTATCCATCCATTGCCATCCTTGGGTCTCTTCCTGGCGCACGCGAACCTCGTGTTCGTTCCAGCGTGAGCCTTCGTCCAGTCGGGGAGGAGCAGAGCGTTACAACAACAAACAATACAAACACACCATAGGAGTTCAAAAGTGTATTGGAAAGGGCAACAAATCACTTAAAAAATATATATATACAAATACAACTAAACTTTTATTTTAGGTAAAGCCCACTGAGCTCTCAACTTATATTTTTCAGAAGCGACACAAACGATAGCCCAACGAAGCGGCTTATCGTCGTCGTGCGGATATTTAGAGCCGCAGACACATACTGTGGCGTTGAAGCTAAATGTGGAGGGGCAGATTAACTACCGTCATGTGCATAGAACCTTAAACTGGGAAACAGAAAGGGTAAAATCTATTATTTATTTTTTCGTACTTTGATACTGGCAAAAAGGTCCCATAATAGAACCTTAAACTGACCACACGCTACCTCCTTATTGCATAGCGCTAATCTGCTCACCTTTATCCTCTCCCTTCCTTATGACCCACCCGCTGATCTAATCGGTCTCCACGACCACAAAGCACTTGAAATCCGACTGCATTCAGAAGCTCCATCGGTCCAGAAGTGGAATGTGAACGTGCCGAACGTGCGCAGCTGAACACAAACCTCCAGATGTGTTCAACTATAGCCGTGCAAAAACTAAACTATACTATTTTTATTTTACCAGGTAAGGCCCCACTGAGCTATGTAGCTCTTGTTCAGAAGCGACCTGGCCATCACAAATGCTAGCTCGACAAAGGCGCCTAATATCACGTGGAAATGTATAACACCTAAATACTCTAAACGCGTGACGTTGATTCTAAATGTGGAGGGGGGAGAGAGAGACACGCAAACTCCAACTATACAGCAGCAGGCGCCAGGGTTGGAATCGAACCCATGCCCTCCTGCATACCGGGCGAGGTCCTTAACTCATCAACGTGTCGCCCATGAATTTTATCGCTCCATTCTTGACCACGTGTGAATGAGTGAGTGAATTAATGGGAGGGTCATATGCATGAATAATGCTACCCATCAGTTTGTGAACACGCGTGGAAGAGTGAGTGAATGATTTTATTGATCAATTCGTGAACACGTGTGTGCGAGTGAGTGAATGAAATGATTTAATGACATGAATGACTAATACTATTGATCAATTCGTGAACACGCGTGAAAGAGTGAATGACTAATCTTATTGATCAATTCGTGAACATGTAAATGAGTTAATTAATGGATGGGACGTATAAATGAATAATGGTATTGATTAATTTGTGACCACGTGTGTGAGTGAATGAGTGAGGCATGAATTCATATTATTGATTGATTTGTGATCACGCGTGTATGAATGAATGGGTGGTGCGCATACATGCATGACCAATGTTACTCTTCAATTCTTGACCACGTGTGAATGAGTGGATGGGACAGATGCATGAAAAACGTTCCTCGTCAATTTGTGAACAACGCGTGAAAGTGAGTGGATGAATTAAGAAATATAGGTTTTATATTTTCTGTCTGCATTAACGTGCAAATAAACACGTGGCGCTGATCATATTTGATGCATTGTCTTTGAAACTGATTGGCCTACACCAGAGACGGCAGCCTTATTCATGGCCTCGTCTCACCACCGGTGTCAGACCAGAGAACAACGCCAAAAGGCGAACAGTACAAAGACAATGCCACGTATCGGAGAGCATTTATAGCTGGAGTGAGCAGCGATCATGGGCTAGCTTTTTGCCAGTCGCAAAGTATGGAAATGAGCTTGAAAAAATAAGAATGAAAAATTAGAATGGGGAAAAAATAAGGATGGACGAATGAGAACGAGAAAAAATAAGAATGAAAAAGAATAATGAAAAAAATAAGAATGAAAAATAACAATGAAAACATACATTTTGATTTAAAGCTTTCGTGACTGCAGGGATTAATATTCTTGGTTCTTTCGGTAAAGTCACCACGTAGAAGGCAAACAATAAAATAATAAAACCAAGAATAAAAATGAAAAAAATAATAAAAATGTTTATTCTTAGCTCTTTCGGTAAAGTCACGTTGACCTTCAATGTGACTTTACCGAAATAGCTAAGAATATGAATTACTGCAGTCACGAAATCTTTAAATCAAAATTTAATGAATTTTTTCATGGGAGACCACGCCTTCAGATAGACGTCATCACTCACCCGGAAGTGGCGTGACGTCACCGCGAGGCCGTTTTGTCTCTGCGAATGCTCAAGGAATCGCCGCCGCCGCCACCACAACAACAACAAACAACAACAACAATAAACAACAACAATAAACAACAGCAGGCATGGGCAACACCGACACCAAATTGAATTTCCGCAAAGCCGTGATACAGCTGACGACCAAGACGCAGGTGCGTTGTGTTGAATGTACGTGGTCGGTCTTGCGTGCGTGCGTGCGTGCACCTAGCCTGGCACAAGCGACGTGTGTTTTGGATGGTGGTGGTTGGTGGTGGTGGTTGTTGGTGGTGTGTGGGGCTCTGCGTGTTGTGTGCGCCTTTGATTGGCGCTCGCGAACAGCAGCACTTGTCCCCTCGGCAGTGTGTGTGTAGTATGTACTGTACCTACGTGTCTGTGTGTGTGTCTGTCTGTGTGTAGTATGTACTGTAACTACGTGTCTGTGTGTGTGTCTGTGTGTAGTATGTACTGTAACTACGTGTTTGTGTGTAGTATGTACTGTAACTACGTGTACGTGTGTGTGTAGTATGTACTGTACCTACGTGTACGTGTGTCTGTGTGTAGTATGTACTGTAACTACGTGTACGTGTGTGTCTGTGTGTCTGTGTTGGGGAGCGGTGGCGCAGTGGTTAGCGCGCTGCTCTACGAACCCGGCGACCCGAGTTGGATTCCCGCTCACGGAAAACACCAGTGACGATTATCTGAACCGGTTATGGGCCTCCCCTAGGTCGACTCAGCCTCAAATGAGTACCTGGTGTGGTGTGTAAACATCACCACTAGGGAGACAAAGGCGGTCGGGCGTGGTGCTGGCCACCCACCCCCTCGTGAGCCGTTCCGGCCTTCATAGGTGGTGCTCGCTAACAGCACTTGCCCCTACAGTCTTTGTAGTATGTACTGTACCTACGTGTACGGCTGTGTCTGTGTGTGTCAGTGTGTCTGTGTGTGTGGGGAGCGGTAGTGTAGTGACGCTGTTACCGGGCAGTGCCAGGCTAGGTGCACAGTGAGGCTGCAGGGCACGAAGTGTAAACGTCAACACTGGGGAGACAAAGGCGGTCGGGCGTGTTACTGACTGTGTGTGACGTGTGTATGTTGAACTTCTTTCGCACCGTACGTATGCCAACCGTGGAGGTGGCGTGCCATCACCTTAATAGGTGCTCGCTAACAGTCTGTTAAGGGCTTATGAGAGCGGGGGGGGGGTCTTTGTCTTTGTAAATTGCAAGGGATGAGGAATGGGGGGGCGGGGTAGTTTTAAAGGGGAGGCCTTTAGCCAGCAGTGGATTGATCATGGCTGGTGGTGGTGAACGCGTTGGTGGTTCAGAGCCTCCGTGCTCGCACTCGATGTGGCAATCGGCCACGTGGAAGCGTGGGGCCCGAGGGAGTGGCTCTGACGTCGGCACTTGCCAACACGTGCACGTGTGTGTGTGTTGTACGTGTGTGTGTTGTACGTGTGTGTGTTGTACATGTGTGTGTGTACGTGTGTGTATGCGCGTGTGTGTACGTGTGTGTGTGTATGCGCGTGTGTGTGTACACACGTGTGGGGAGCGGTAGTGTAGCGGTTAGCGCTACGCTGCGCTATGAACCTGGCGACCCGGGTTCGATTCCCGCTCACGGCCAACACCAGTGGCGATTATCTGAACCGGTCCCGGGCCTCCCGTAGGTCGACTCAGCCTCAAATGAGTACCTGGTGCGGTGTGTTAACATCGCTACTGGGGAGACAAAGGCGGTCGGGCGTGGTGTTGGCCACCCACCCCCTCGTGTACCGTTCCGGCCTTAATAGGTGCTCGCTAACAGCACTTGCCCCTACAGTCTGTTAAGTCTATATGGGGATCTTTGATCTTTGTGTGTGTCCATGCGTGTGTACGTATCTTTGTACGTGTGTGTGTGCGTGCGTGCGCGTGCGTACGTGTCTGTCTGTGTAGTAGGGAGCGGTAGTGGAGCGTTTAGCGCACTGCTTCGATTCTCCGCTCACGGCCAACACCGGTGACGATTATCTGAACCTCCCCTAGGTCGACTCAGACACAAATGAGTACCTGGTACGGTGTGTAAACATCACTGGGCGAGACAAAGGCCTGCAGTGAATGGTGGTGGCCACCCACCCCCTCGTGTGCCGTGACGGCCTTTAAACGTGCTGCTCGCTAACAGCACTTGCCCCAACAGTCTGTTGGAGGCTATACGGGCCAGCTTTATCTGTACGTGCTGATGATGCAGTGCTCGGTGATTGTTTGCTGCCTTTTTCAGGCAGCTGATTAGTTTTGGGAAGCTATCATCTTCAAAGTGCCACGTTGTGGCTGTCGCTAACTTACGTACGGTGCGAAAGAAGTTCAACGTACACGCATACAAAGATCCCCCGTCTAGCCTGTAACAGACTGTTGGGGCAAGTGCTGTTAGCGAGCAGCACCTATGAAGGCCGGCATGGCACTCAATGGGTTGGGTTGTCAGAGATGTTAACTACCTCGCTGGGTATACAGGAGGTCGTGGGTTCCATCCCGACCCTGACGCCTGCTGTATGCATTTGGAGTTTGCGTGTCTCTCTCTCTCGTTATCATCACGGTGGCTATGAGATGTTAACTACCTCGCTTGGTTTACAGGAGGTCGTGGGTTTGGTCCCGCCCCTGACGCCTGTATATATTTGGAGTTTGTGTGTCTCTCGTTATCATCACGGTGGCTATGAGATGTTAACTACCTCGCTTGGTTTACAGGAGGTCGTGGGTTTGGTCCCGACCCTGACGCCTGTATATATTTGGAGTTTGCGTGTCTCTCTCTCGTTATCATCACGATGGCTATGAGTTGTTAACTACCTCGCTTGGTTTACAGGAGGTCGTGGGTTTGGTCCCGACCCTGACGTCTGTATATATTTGGAGTTTGCGTGTGTCTCTCTCTTCTCTCCGTGGTCGCATGGATTTTTCTCCAGGCCCTCCGGTTTTTCCCTCCTGCTGCTATAAATTTCCACGTGTTGAGCCACTTCGTTGAGCTATCATTTGTGGCCTGGTCAGAAGAAAGCTATGTAGATCAGTGGGCCTGACCTGGTGAAATAAGAACCTGGTTTAACCTCGTCATTGAGGTGTATGTGGGTCTCTGTGTGTGGCTATGGGTCTCTGTGGCTCTCTCTGTGAGTCGTTGTGTCTCTGTGTGAGTCTATGACTCAGTCTATGGGTCTCTGTGCGAGTCTGCGGCTCTCCGTGTGAGTCTGTGGGTAACTGTGAGCTTTTGCCTCTCTATGTGAGTCCTTTTGGTCTCTGATTAGTTTTGGGAAGCTATCATCTTCAAAGTGCCACGTTGTGGTTGTGGCTAACTTACGTACGGTGCGAAAGAAGTTCAACGTACACACATACAAAGATCCCCCGTCTAGCCTGTAACAGACTGTTGGGGCAAGTGCTTGTTGGCGAACAGAGTGTTAGTGCCCGGGAAAGTGTTAGTGGCGGGGAGAGTGTTAGTCTCTGGCTCTCTGTGTGAGTCACTGGTGACCGGGCTGAGACCATCAATTCGCTGCACCTGAGACCCCAGTGCACTCACTGTAGTTGAGCAGCTGAGACCCGGAGCGGAACCCAGGATCCCAGCAGTGCCGCTTCCGCGTCTCTGACCCATGAGCCACCTGGCCTCCTCCTAATATCTTCAAATCCTTTATAAGATCATCATCATGAGTGAAACGCGACCGAGCCCCTGGCAAGTGTTCACATTAAAGCTGCTGCCCTGCCCGGACGTCGATGGAACCCTCCCGCTCTCCTGTCCGGCGGAGCCACGTCGTCACCAACGCCGCTGACGCTGATGGCTGGGGGAACTGGGCTGCGAGGAGTGGAGGGGGGGTGGGGGGGGAGTCGGAGCGTTCCCTGTTAAAACTCCCCGCTAGAGGTACCCTCGCCGCCACTTTTGCATGCCCGCCCCCCTTCGCCAAGCCGGCACAGTTCCGGAGGGGTCCGGGTTGTTTTTCCACCTCGCGCTAAAGACGAGCGGAGGCGCGAGCTGGACCCACCAGCACCTCCGATCAGCGTGGTTGTTGCTACGTACGGCGCCGGAAGAAGTTCAACGTAGAGTCGTGTTCAGGGGCGGAGCCGGGGGGGGGGTGACAGGGGTGACATTCTGAGTGTAAGTGTACGACACTCGGTCTGGTGAACTCCGTGCCAACTGCATTGTCAGAGCGTGTCGCCAACCGATGGCGTCTAGTTCAACAGCCTGACTCTCTAGTCATTCTTGAAATTAAAATTTGTTGAATGTCACCCCGGCCTGAAATCCTGGCTCCGCCCCTGGTCGTGTTCTCCTGTAATGCCGCGGTAGTAGTTGCGTTCCTGAAGAACACCGCGTTATGGAAAAATCCCGTTGTAATGGATATTATATAACGTCGGAGTAAAGCACGGTCCGCGATAACGCGTGAGACGCGTACGCAGGCCGAACAAAGACTTGAGGCGCGTGGGTAGCGTCTAGAAGCATCCAGCAGCATCCCAATGCCTTGCGTGATGGTGCTTAGCCGAGGCAGTTGTTACACGACCGCTTATTCCTGCTCGCGCCGCGACGTCGTTCCGTTCACTCGATCGCGATTTATCAAATTCGCATCCGCGTCATAACAAAAATGTGCTTTCCAGTACATTCATCGCGTTCAATTCGCGTTACGAAAACAACACGCGGCGTTATAGAACAGCCCGTACGTACGTACGAGCGATGGACGTCGCAGGGGCAGGGAACGCGTCTCCGTGGTGAGATGTTAACTACCTCTCCTGTATGCAGGAGGTCGTGGGTTCGATCCGTACCCTGATGCCTGCTGCTGTATATTTGGCGTTTGCGTGTCTCTCTCTCTCTCTCTGTGGTGAGATGTTAACTACCTCGCCTCGTATGCAGGAGGTCGTGGGTTCGATCCGAACCCTGACGCCTGCTGCTGTATATTTGGCGTTTGCGTGTCTCTCTCCGTGGTGAGATGTTAACTACCTCGCCTCGTATGCAGGAGGTCGTGGGTTCGATCCAAACCCTGACGCCTGCTGCTGTGTATTTGGCGTTTGCGTGTCTCTCTCTCTCATCATCATCATCACGGTGGCTAGGAGATGTTAACTACCTCACCTGGTATGCAGGAGGTCGTGGGTTCGATCCGAACCCTGACGCCTGCTGCTGTATATTTGGCGTTTGCGTATCTTTCCACGTGGTCGCGTGGACAGTTTTTCTCTCCGCATTTAAAATGTACATCACGCGTTTAGACTATTTCGCCGCTGTAAATTTCCACGTGATAAGCCATATCGTTGAGCTATCATTTGTGGTGGCCGGGTCTCTTCTGACAGGGAGCTGCTGATATCAGTGGGCCTTACCTGGTAAAATAAAAAAAATAGTTTAGAGTTTTTAATAGCTTTTAAGTCGCTGCGGCTGAGAACCTGGTTTAATGACATGTGAGTCTGTATGTAGGCCTCTGTGTGAGGCTATTGGGTTTCTGTCTGTGTGTGAGCCTATGGGTTTCTGTATGAGGTCATTGGTCCCAGTGTGTGAGTCTGTGTGTGAGTCTGTGGGTTTGTGTGTGAGTCTATGGGTCTGTGTGTGAGTCTATGGGTCTGTGTGTGAGTCTGTGGGTCTGTGTGTGAGTCTATGGGTCTGTGTGCGAGTCTGTGGGTCTTTGTGTCTGTGGTTCTTTGTGTGAGCCGATGGATCCCAGTGTCAGTCTATGGGCATATGTGTGAGTCTACGGGTGTCTGTGTCAGTCTATGGGTCTCAGTGGGCCTTACCTGTTAAATAAAAATAGTTTTTTTAGTTTATTTAACTCAACCCCCCCCACCACCACCCCCGCTCCCCTCGCCCCCCCCCCCCGCCCCCACCAGCCCGTGGAGGCAACGGACGACGCGTTCTGGGACCAGTTCTGGGCAGAGACGGCGACGTCGGTGCAGGACGTCTTCACGCTCGTGCCGGGAGCCGAGATCCGCGCCGTGCGCGAGGAGTCGCCCTCGAACCTCGCCACGCTCTGCTACAAGGTCTGATTCTCGTCGTCATCGTCGTCTTCGTCATCTTCCACATCGTCGTGAGAATTTTATTGTGTTATTTTATTTTATCAATGTATTATTTTATTCTCATTTCTACGTGACTTTACCGAAAGAACCAAAGAAAAGAACATCTTCCACATGTTCGTCATCATTGTCATCATCGTCGTCATCGTCGTCATCGTCGTCATAATCTTCATCGTCGTCATCATCGTCGTCATCATCGTCGTAATCTTCTTTCCTACGGCTGATGTCGATGCAGAGCAACAGCTACGATTTCACATTCGGGTGGTTAAGCCAGGTAACCACGTCGGGAGCACCGGAGTGTATCGCCGTGACGTCTGCTTGGTATTTGTGGATCGGGCGTTTACATCGTCGTAATCGCCAGCATCAGCAGCATCAGCAGCATCAGCAGCATCAGCAGGATCGACAGCAGCAGGATCGACAGCAGCAGCAGCAGCAGCGGTATCGCCATCGTCGTCATCAGCAGCGACATTATCGTCGTCATCCCCGCCGTCTCCATTGCGTAGTGCGGTTGCGTTATTGTGGTTGGGCATCACGCGGTCGCGAGCAACGCGTCACGGTGTGCAGGGAAGGACAACAATCTAAACACCGCAACGACGGGCAGTTCTAAAGAAACGAGTTCGTCAATCTAGGCGATGATTTAAAAGTTGCGCAGCTCTCGGCGCCTTCCCAACATCGGAAGGAAGAGAAGAGCGTTCCAGACGGCCGCTGAAGCGCGCCCGAAAGCGCCGCGCGATGATGCGGTGAGCGTCCTTGGTTCGATGGCCGAGCCAGAAGCCGCCGCTGCTAGGACGGTCGGAGTCTGCGTGAAGGTGGGGGGAAGAGTTGCGGGGGGGGGGTGGGGGGGTGGTGGGCGGGGGGCGTGGGGGAGCGAGGGGGGGCGGCCGGCCCAGGGATTCCGGGCGAGGACGACGCGGGCGAGGTTTTCGTTAAGCGGCACGACGGGAAAGTGTCTCTGTCCCCACCCCCACCCCCCGTTAACCCCCCGCCGTGCCCAGGCGGTGGAGAAGCTGGTGCAGGGAGCTCAGAACGGCTGCCCCTCGGAGAAGGAGCGCCTTGTGGTGCTCAACTGCACGCGGCTGCTCACGCGCACGCTGCCCTACATCTTCGAGGACCCCGACTGGAGGGGGTTCTTCTGGTCCAGCGTGCCCGGGGCCGGCCGAGCTGGGGTGAGCGGGCGGGCCGATTGGCGGGCAGGCCGGCCGATTGGCCGGCCGGCCAGCGGGCATTTCATCCTCTCCCACCCACAGCCGCCATCGCTCACTCACACCCACATACCCCCTGGTTGAGTGAGTTGGGTGGTGGGTGAGTGAGAAGGTGATTGAGTTGTCATGACTTTCCGTGTGGTGGGTGAGTGAGTGAGTGGGTGGGCGAGCGAGTGGGTGAGAGAGTTCTAACGTGCAATGTGTGGTGGTTGAGCGAGTGGTGACTGAGTGGGTGAGACAGTTCTAACGTGCAATGTGTGGTGGTTGAGCGAGTGGTGACTGAGTGGGTGAGAGAGTTCTAACGTGCAATGTGTGGTGGTTGAGCGAGTGGTGACTGAGTGGGTGAGAGAGTTCTAACGTGCAATGTGTGGTGGTTGAGCGAGTGGTGACTGAGTGGGTGAGAGAGTTCTAACGTGCAATGTGTGGTGGTTGAGCGAGTGGTGACTGAGTGGTGGGTAACATTTTGCCACCCCACCACAAGGACTAGGAGATGTTAACTCCCTCGCCTGGTGTACAGGAGGTTGTGGATCCTATCCCGACCCTGACGCCTGCTGCTGTATATTTGGAGTTTGCGGTGTCTCTGTCCCCGTGGTCGCGTGGATTTTTCTCCGGGTTCCTCCCGTTTTTTCCCTCCGCATTTTAAAAAAAATCAACGTCACGCGTTTAAGAGTTATTTAGCTGCTTTAAATTTCCACGTGATGATGATGATGATGAGCCACTTCGTTGAGCTATCATTCGCGAGAGCCAGGACGCTTCTGAAAAAATAGCTACATAGCTCAGCGGGGCCTTACCTGGTAAAATACAAATTCATGGTTTGCTGCTGCGATTGCGTGGACCCTGACCCTCCGTGGTGTGGTGCCGGCGCCGTTGTCGTTGTGGCAGAGCGAGGGCGAGGAGGAGGACGAGGTGGACGCATGCCCCCTCGCCCGCTCGCTGCTGCTCGCCATCTCCGACCTCCTCTTCTGCCCGGACTTCACCGTGCACGCCAACCGCAAGGCCGGCCCGGTGAGGCGGCACCAACCGCCACCACCGCTACGCTCCACTCACCACTTCCTCCTTGACCTGCACCTACCACCTCTACCATTAATCACCGTTATTGATCATCGCTGCCGATTAACTCCACGATCATCGCCGCTAACCACGCGACATCCGGTGGTGACGGGGGGGAGGGGGGGAGGTGGCTGCTGAGCGTACCGTCCGCCACAACCAACAAAAATCCCCGGTGCTCGGCAAGACCCGGTGACTGCAGAGCGGAGTTCATGGACTCCATGACCTCCGCTCTGCGGCCGTGGGGGGCTGGCACCTCTGCGCGTGGGTGAGCGCTAGCGCCGTGCCTCTCTCTTTACATACCTCCACCCCGCTCCTCCCCTCCCCTCCCCTCCCTCCCCTCCCTCCCCTCCCTCCCTGCAGGAGTGTGCGGACGAGGGGCAGGGCATCGACAGCTGTGAGTTCATCTGGGAGGCGGGGGTGGGCTTCGCAGTGTCGCCTCCCGCCAGCGCCCAGCACGACGCTAACAGGTGACGCGGCTCGCCCCGGCACCATGCCGCCCGCGGTGGTGGTGACGTCGGTGGCGGTGGTGGTTATGGTGGTGACGATGGAGATGATGATAGTGGTGGTGGTGACGGTGGTGATGGTAGTGGTGGTGATGATGGTGGTGATGGAGGTGGTGATGATGATGATGATGTGGTGGTGTTGTTGACGGTGGTGGTGACAGTGGCGGTGGTGGTGATGCTACTGATGGTGATGGTACTGATGGTGACGGTGGTGATGATGGCGGTGATGATGGCGGTGATGATGGCGGTAGTGGTGGCGGTGGAGGTGATGGCAGTGGTGATGGCGGTGGTGGTGACGGTGGTGGTGGTGACAGTGGTGGTGGTGGTGATGATGACGGTGGTGGTGGTGGTGGTAGTGATGATGACGGTGGTGGTGATGATGACGGTGGTGGTGATGATGACGGTGGTGGTGATGATGACGGTGGTGGTGATGATGACGGTGGAGGTGATGGCGGTGGTGACGGTGGTGGTGATGATGACGGTGGTGGTGGTGATGATGACGGCGGTGGTGGTGGTGGTGGTGACGGTGGTAACGGTGGTGGCGGTGATGGCGGTGGTGGTGACGGTGGTGGTGATGATGACGGTGGAGGTGATGGCGGTGGTGGTGGTGATGATGACGGCGGTGGCGGTGACGGTGGTGACGGTGGTGGCGGTGATGGCAGTGGTGGTGACGGTGGTGGTGGTGGTGGTGATGATGACGGTGCAGGTGATGGCGGTGGTGGTGACGGTGGTGACGGTGGTGACGGTGGTGGCGGTGATGGCGGTGGTGGTGACGGTGGTGGTGATGATGACGGTAGAGGTGATGGCGGTGGTGACGGTGGTGGTGGTGATGATGACGGTGGAGGTGATGGCGGTGGTGGTGGTGATGATGACGGCGGTGGTGGTGGTGACGGTGGTGACGGTGGTGACGGTGGTGACGGTGATGGCGGTGATGGTGGTGATGATGACGGTGGAGGTGATGGCGGTGGTGGTGGTAATGATGACGGTGGTGGTGGCGGTGGTGACGGTGGTGGCGGTGGTGGCGGTGGTGGTGGTGATGGTGGTGGCGGTGCCCGCAGGACGGAGCTGCTCAAGCTGCTGCTCACCTGCTTTTCGGAGGCGATCTACCAGCCCCCCCCCAGCGAGGGCTCCCCCACCAACCCCTGGGTCTCCTTCTTCTGCTCCGCTGAAAACAGGTACTCACCTCACTACCTAATCAGGTACTCACATATATACCTACCTACCCAGGTACTCACCTCACTACCTAATCAGGTACTCGCATATATACCTACTTAGCCAGGTACTCACCTCACTATCTAGCCAGGTACTCACCTCCCTATCTAGCCAGGTACTCACCTCCCTACCTACCCAGGTACTCACATATATACCTACCTAGCCAGGTACTCACCTCTCTATCTCGCCAGGTATGCGCATATATACCTACCTACTTAGGTACTCACCTACGTATCTTCCCGGGTACTCGCCTATCTACCCAGGTACTCATTTGTGGCCGAGTCATCCTAGAGGAGGCCCAGGGCTGGTTCAGATAATCATCACCGGTGTTGGTGGTTGTGAGCGAGAACCGAACTCAGGGCAGTGCCAACCACTGCTCTACCGCTCCACGCGACCACCAACAACAACAGCAGCCGCCATTCGCCACTCAGTGGCGGTGACGTCACCACGGCGCTTGTGCCAGGCAAGGTGCACTTTGAGGCCACCACCACCAGCAGCACTCATCACAACGCTCTCTCTCTGTGCATCTCCGTGGTGTATCCGTGGTGACTGTTTCCGTGGCGTCTCCTTGGTGACTGTCTCCTTGGTGACCGTCTCCGTGGCGTCTCCGTGGTGACCGTCTCCGTGCCGTATCCTTGGTGACCGTCTCCGTGGCGTCTCCTTGGTGACTGTCTCCGTGGCGTCTCCGTGGTGACTGTCTCCGTGGTGACTGTTTCCGTGTCATCTCCGTGGTGACTGTTTCCATGGTGTATCCTTGGTGGCTGTTTCCGTGTCATCTCCGTGGTGACTGTTTCCATGGTGTATCCTTGGTGACTGTTTCCGTGTCATCTCCGTGGTGACTGTTTCCATGGTGTATCCTTGGTGACTGTTTCCGTGTCATCTCCGTGGTGACCGTTTCCGTGGTATCTCCGTGGTGACTGTTTCCGTGGCGTCTCCTTGGTGACTGTCTCCGTGCCGTCTCCGTGGTGACTCTTTCTCCGCGGCGGCGGCGGCGGCGGCGGCAGGCACGCGCTGCCGCTGTTCACGTCGCTGCTCAACGTGGTGTGCGCCTACGACCCGGTGGGCTACGGCCTCCCCTACAACCACCTCCTCTTCTCGGACTCGCGCGAGCCGCTCGTGGAGGTCGCCTGCCAGGTGCTCGTCGTGACCCTCGACTTCGACGCCGCCACGGCGGGGGCCACCGCCACGGGCGGGGGGGGGGCCGCCGGCGGAGGGGGCGGGGGACCAGGCTGCGGCGGCGGCGGTGGTGACGACGCCGAGGTTCGCCGTGATGTGGCGTGGTGTGTGTGGCTTGTTGTGATGTGCCGTGGGTGGTGTGGCATAGCTTGTGTGGTGTGTGTGGCGTGGTGTGTGTGGGGTGTGTGGTGTGGCGTGGTGTGTGTGGTGTGGCGTGGTGTGTGTAGCGTGGTGTGGCGTGGTGTGTGTGGCATGGCGTGGTGTGGCGTGGTGTGTGTGGTGTGGCATGTGTGTGGTGTGGCGTGGTGTGTGTGGTGTGGCGTGGTGTGTGTGGCGTGGTGTGTGTTGCGTGGTGTGGCGTGGTGTGTGTGGTGTGCGTGGTATAGCGTGGTGTGTGTGGCTTGTTGTGTTGTGGGTGGTGTGGCATAGCTTGCGTGATGCGGTGTGTGTGGTGTGAGTGGCGTGGTGTGGCGTGGTGTGTGTGGTGTGTGTGGCGTGGTGTGGTGTGGTATGGCGTGGCGTGGTGTGGCGTGGCGTGCTGTACGTGGCTCTCTCGTGTTAAACGACCTCTCCTCCATCCCGCAGGCCGCCGGACCGGACAACCTCTTTGTGAACTACCTCTCCCGCATCCACCGTGAGGAGGTGAGCAAGCAGAGACGCTCGCTGGAACGCGGACAAAGGTCCCCCGCGTAGCCTTCAACAGGCCGTCGGGGCAAGTGCTGGTCGCGAGCAGCGGCGCCTGCGAGAGGCCGGCACGGCGCACGAGGTGGTGGGCGGCCACCCCGGCCGCCTTTGTCTCCCTGGTGGCGCACCGTACCGAGTACTCGTTTGTGGCTGCCCAGGACCGGTTTAGGGCAGATCTTGGAGGTGGCAGTGGTTCTTCCCTGCAGCAGCTGTGGGATCTGGCGGAGGGGAGAGCGTGGTGGTGGCATTGGCTAGGAGATGTTAACTACCTCGCCTGGTACACAGGAGGTCGTGGGCTCGATCCTGACCCTGACGATGCCTGCTGCTGTGTTTGGAGTTTGCGTGTCTCTCTCTCTCTCATCATCGTCACGGTGGCTAGGAGATGTTAACTACCTCGCCTGTTATGCAGGAGATCGTGAGTTCGATCACAACCCTTGACGCCTGCTGTATATTTGAAGTTGCCACGTCTCTCTTTCTCCCCGTGGCCGCGTGAATTTTCCTACGGGTCCTCCGGGTTTTCCCTCCATAATTTAGAATCGATGTGCGCTCCGATGATTTGGCTGCTGTAATAAATTTCCACATGATGATGATGAGCCACTTTGTTGAGCTATCACTTGAGGCCAGGGTCGCTTCTGAAAAAGAGCCACGTGACTCAGTGGGGCCTTACCTGGTAAAATGAGACGAGTTCATAGTTTAGTTTAACGGCGTTGGCCACGATGGCGTCAGGATCTCGAGCGACCTTCCACATCGGGGGTCGGCAAAGTTGGGAAAACTCAACATTTCAAGAGCCGAAATGTACGTGGATGAATGCGTACCTACAGGAGCTCCTCTTCTTACGGACGATTTAGGTGCCAGAGGTCTGTTCTTAAAGTCGATTTGTGCGTAAGTCCAACTTTATTCACGTCGATTCCAAACATCTTTGTTCGGCGTGTACACTAAACGTTGTGTAATCTCCTGTAGATGTAGATGCCACTGGTTATTCACGTTCTGCAAATGTAGATGCCACCGCCGCCATCTATTTGCACGGCGGTTGAACTCACGATTCTCGGTCCAAACAGACGACTGGACGTACGGACGTGTTTGTTCGTATCTCTGAAAGCTCGTAAGTCGAATGTTCGTAGGTCGAGGAGTCCCTGTACATTACATTACGTCACGAATCGGCTCCAGGCTTCCAGACCCCCGGCCCGGATGAAGACTTAAAACAGAACCCTGAGCATGTGCGATGCCTCCGAAATCCCACGTCGTCCCAACGTCCCCCCTTGCCTCACGACCTCCGCTCTCCCCCCACCTCCCCCCGCCCCTCCCCTGCGCCCCTCGCGCCGCCCAGGATTTCCAGTTCGTGCTGAAGGGCATCAGCCTCCTGCTGAACAACCCCCTGCTGCAGACGTACCTCCCCAACTCGTGCAAGCGAATCAGCTACCACCAGGAGCTGCTCATCCTCTTCTGGAAGCTCGCGGACTTCAACAAGGTGTGGGGGGAGGGGGGAGAGAGGGTGAGGGGGGAGAGCGAGAGGGGAGAACGGGGGGGGGGGAGAATGGGGGGGACGGGGAGGGGGGGATATCACAGCCGCTGCATCTTCCCCCCCGATGTGTGCGGTAGCGTAGCGGTTTAGCACTACGTCAGCGTAGCGGTTTAGCACGACGCTGCGCTGTGAGCCGGGTGATCCGAGTTAGATTCCCACTCACGGCCAACACCGGTGACGATTATCTGAACCGGTCCCGGGCCTCCCTTTGGTCGACTCGGCCTCAAATGATTACCCGGTACGATGTGTAAACGTGTCATTGGGCGTGGCGCTGGCCACCCGTCCCCTCGTGTGCCGTGCCGGCCTTCGTAGGTGCTGCTACTCGCTGACAGCACTCGCTAAGGCTACGCTGGGGGTCTTCGTCTGTGTGCGTGCGCGCTGTAGAAATTCCTCTTCTACGTGCTCAAGAGCAGCGACGTGCTGGAGATCCTGGTGCCCATCCTCTACTACCTGAACGACGCACGGGCCGATCAGTGTGAGTGTCCGTGAGCGTGGGCGGTGGGCCACCCACACACACACACGGAAACACAGACACACGGACATGCAGACACTCACATGCACACAGACACTCACTCGCACACGCACACACACATGGACATGCACACACGTGCACACGTACACACTCACACGCATACAGACGCACACACAGACACACAAGACACACACACAGACACACAAGACACACACACAGACACATATACGAACATGCGCACACGGACGCACATACACATTCGCACACGGACACGTACGCAGACGCACGTACACACACAAAAAGACAAATATCCCCTGTATAGCCTTCGACAGACTGTTGGGGAAAGTGCTGATAGGGAGTAGCACCTATGAAGGCTGGCATGGCACACGAGGGGGTGGAGCCCCAGGACCGGTTCAGATAATCGTCGCTACCGCTCCCCTCATACACACATACACACACACACACAGATGCACGCACATGTACGTACACACACGCACACATGGACACGCGAACGCACGTGCGCGCACGCACACAGACGCACGTACATGTAGGTACGTACCTGGAAGGACAACAAACTAAGCACAAAAAGCAGTTCTAAAGAAATGAGCTTTCAATCTCGATGATTTAATAGTGCACAGCTCCGGTGGCTTCGTAATATCGGAAAGAGCATTCCAGACGGCCGCGGAAGCGTATCTTCGACGTCCGAGCCAAAAGCCGCTGCTGCAGCGAGGATGACCGGAGTGTCGCGTGATGATGGTTCATGCTCCTTAACGAGATCAGCGAGGTATCGTGGTTCATGTGTGGCGAGCACTGTGTATTATATTCTTTGGTTCTTTCGGTAAAGTCACGTGGTAGGTATAAAATAAAATGAATCGCGACAGTCTGCGTCAGCAGCAGGCCGCGCTTTCCCACCTGCTGACGGACGCTTGTGTTGCGCCCGAAACGTCGTGATTTGTTTTATTTTCTACCTACCACGTGACTTTACAGAAACAACCATAGAGTATGGATTCCTGCAGTCACGAAAGCTTCAAATCAAGCACTTTGTGGATTCGTTCGGCAACCGAAAGCCAATTGCAGCTCGGCAAGCTACTGGATAGACACGGTCGGATCTTGCAGCGAGTCCCCTACTGTGTGACCCGTGACCCTTAACCCGTGATGCCGGATGTGACCCGTGACCCATGACCCGCAGCGCGTGTGGGGCTGATGCACATCGGCGTGTTCATCCTGCTGCTGCTGAGCGGCGAGCGCAACTTCGGCGTGCGTCTCAACAAGCCGTACTCGGTTCGCGTGCCCATGGACATCCCCGTGTTCACCGGCACGCACGCCGACCTGCTCGTCATCGTGCGTACCCGCACACACACACACACACACGCTCGCTCGCTCACTCACACGCATGCACACACTCACACACTCGCTCGCTCACTCAGATGCATGCACACACTCGCACGCTCGCTCGCTCACGCACTCACTCGCACAACAAGAACAACAACCGCCATTCGCCACTAAGTGGCAGTGACGTCACCACGGAGCTTGTGCCAGGCTATGTGCACCCTGAGGCCACGTGAAGTGTCGAACGCCCGGTGGCAGGAGGTCACGGGATAGTTCCAGGTGTCATGGGTCGACTGACTGAGATGATTGGCCGATGCACCACCTGTGCCCCCTACTGTGCCAAATGTATGTGTTTTAGCCACCCGGCGCTCCACACGTTGTTGTGAGCGTCGCTCCTCTGCCCTCCGTTGTTGCTGGGGGGCGACTGCCTCCCAACTGCCCTGTAGCAGCGTCCTTCACGAGCTTCCGCCACTCGCACACACAGACTCGCTTGCTCACTCGCTTGCTCGCTCACTCGCTCGCTCACATGCTCACTTGCTTGGCCGCCCGCCTGCTCACTCCCTATGTCTCCACGCCGTCCCCTCTGGGCCTCCAGGTGTTCCACAAGATCATCACGAGTGGACACCAGCGCTTGCAGCCGCTCTTCGACTGCCTACTTACGGTCATCGTCAACGGTCTGTGTCCAGACTCCTTCTCCCTGTCTCTCTCTCCCTGCATCTCTCTGTTTCACGTTGTCTATCACTCTCTCCCTCTTCTCTCCTTGTCGCTCCCTGTCTCTCCCTCTCTCCTTCTCTCTTCCTGTCACTTTCTCTCCCTGTCCCTCTCCCTCCCTGTCACTCTCCCTCTCTCTCCCTCTCTCTCTCTGTCCCTCTCTCTCTCTGTCCCTCTCTCTCTCTTGCTGTCTCTCCCTGTCCCTCTCCCTCCCTGTCACTCTTCCTCTCTCTCCCTCTCTCTCTCTCTCCCTGTCTCTCTCTGTCCCTCTCTCTCTCTTGCTGTCTCTCCCTCTCTCTACGGCAGGGGTGGGGAACGTCCGGCCCGCGGGCCGTACAAGGCCCGCAAAATAATTTAGTCTGGCCCTGCCCAAGGCAACCGCACGACTCGAAATTCAATAAATCTAGGAGCTTTTTTCATAGCAACATAATTTAAATTTTGTATGGCCCGCGAATCATGTTATAAATATCCAAATGGCCCTTGGCAGAAAAAAGGTTCCCCACCCCTGTTCTAGGGGGACGGGCCCTGCGCGGAGCGGGGGGGCCGGGAGAGCGCTTCTGCCGGCCGGAGAGCGAATGAGAGACGGTACTCGGCGCTACCTCGCTGCTCCGCTCACCCTTGCCGTTTGCTCCACCACCACCCCCCCCCCCCATCTCCGCCGCCCCCTGCAGTGTCCCCGTATCTCAAGAGCCTGTCCATGGTGGCCGCTAACAAGCTCCTGCACCTGCTGGAGGCCTTCTCGACCACCTGGTTCCTCTACTCGGCACCGCAGAACCACCACCTGGTCTTCTTCCTGCTCGAGGCCTTCAACAACATCATCCAGTACCAGTTCGATGGTGGGTCGTGGGGTTCACATGGTCGCGGGGTCACGCAGCCGCTGGTTTGAGAGGTCTTGGGGTCGTGCGGTCACACGGTCGTGGGGTCCCACGGTTGCAGGGGCGTGAGGTCGCGGGGTCACACGATCGCGCGGTTGCAGGGTCGCGGGGTCACACGGTCGCATCCCGCTGCGGTGACGCTCGGACGACGGGAGGGCCCGACGGCCGGACGCGTCTTCTAAGCTCGGGGAATCGTTGGGGCGGCCCTCGGCGAATCGTGGTGGCCCGAAAGCCCTTGGTGGAAATTCCAAAATCGCTACGGCACGTGCTGTTAGCGAGTAGCACCTATGACGGCCGGCACGGCACGCGAGGGGGTTGGTGGCCAACACCACGCCCGGTCGCCTTTGTCTTCCCAGTGCCGATGTTTACACACCGCACCAGGTACTCATTTGAGGCTCGGTCGACCTCGGGGATGTCCAGGTCCGGTTCTGATAATCGTCAGCGAAGTTAGCCAGGGCTAACTTCGATGGCGGGGCGATGCCTGAACAACGCCGGTCTTGCGCCCTCCACCGACTCCCGTCCGCCTGACTTTATCAACGACGATACATCAGTCACGGCCGACGGTAGATAAATCGATCACGGCCGACGACGACAACTGTACCGGCTCCCCCGCTCCGCCAGGCAACTGCAACCTGGTGTACAGCATCATCCGCAAGCGCGCCGTGTTCCACGCGCTGGCCAACCTCCCCACGGACCAGGCCTCGGTGCACAAGGCCCTGCAGCGGCGCCGCAAGGCCTCGGACAGCAGCGGCTCCCGGCGCGGCTCCCAGGACGGCACCTCCATGGAGGGCTCGCGGCCCGCGGCCCCCGCCGAGCCCGGCACGCTCAAGGCCACGCTCGCCGCCACGCCCGGTGAGCGAACCGACCGAGTGACTGATCCAGCCGACTGAGTCGCCGAGCGAGCGAGCGAGCAACCGAGTGACTGAACGAGCAAGCGAGCGACCGAGCGAGCGAGCGAGCGGCTGAGTGACTGACTGAGCGAGTGTCTAAGTGACTGAACGACTGAGTGACTGAGCGAGCGGCCGGGCGAGCGGGCACCTTTGTTCTGCGCGTGCGTGGCGGTGGCGGCGCAGGCCTGGACAAGCTGACGGAGCGCGCCCACGTGGCGGACGACGGCTCGGCGCAGCGGCTGGACGGCGCCGGCGAGGCAGCGGGGGGAGGGGAAGATGGCGCCGCCGCCGCCGCGACCCCCACCGTCAACACCACGACCTCCAGCACGGGCAGCATCACGGCCGGCGCCAGCGCCAACGCCAGCGCCAACGCCAGCGCCAACGCCAGCGCCAACGCCAGCGACAACGAGTCCAGCGTCGGGGTTGGTGTGGGCGGCTGGGCGGGCGCGAATGCTGCGGGTGCTTGAGAGCGAGTGTGGGCTCGAGCGAGTGTGAGCTCGAGCGAGTGTGAGCTCGAGCGAGTGTGAGCACGAGCGAGTGTGAGCGTGTGTCTTGATAGGAGTGATGGTGTCAGTTTGCAGAGGGAGTGGTGCGATTGAGCGGTGAAGTTTTTTGTGGGGTTCGTTAGTGCGGAGTGGTCGTGCGTGTGGTGGTGGTTGGTGGTGTGGTGGTGGTGGTACAGTGGTGGTGCAGTGGTGGTTATGGTAGTGCAGTGTTGGTGGTGCGGTGTTGATGGCGGTGGTAGTGCGGTGGTGGTGGTAATGCGGTGGTGGTGGTAGTGCGGTGGTGGTAATGCGGTGGTGGTGGTAGTGCGGTGGTGGTGCGCGGTGTTGGTGGTGGTAGTGCGGTGGTGGTGTGCGGTGCAGAGTGACTCCCCCGGTGGGGCCGTGTGCCACCGCCCCCACCACAGCAGCAGGAGGCGGTGGTGGTGACGCGGAGAGACATCAAACGCTCGAGCAGCGTCTCCAGCTCCAGCTCGGGGCAGTGGGTACCCACCACTGAGTGGGTGAGGACAACAACCACCACAATCACCACCACAATCACCACCACAACCACCACCACAATCACCACCACAATCACCACCACAATCACCACCACAATCGCCACCACAACCACCACCACAACCACCACCACAATCACCACCACAATCACCACCACAACCACCACCACAATCACCACCACAATCACCACAACAACCAATACCACCACAACCAACACAACCACCACCACAATCGCCACCACGACCACAATCACAACCACCACAACCAATACCACCACAACCACCACAACCAATACCACCACAACCAACACCACCACAATCACCACCACAACCACCACAACCAATACCACCACAAACAACACAACCACCACCACAATCACTACCACAATCACCACAACCACGACCACAACCACCACAACCAACACACACAACAACCACCACCACAGTGGGTGCGCTGTACAGCGTGGATGAGACTACCACAACTGCCACCATTGTCACCATAACAACCACAACCACAAAAATAACATCGCCACCACCACCATCATTACCATGATGGTGATAATGATGATGTCAATGTAAGTATATAGGTCTTGATGTAAGTAAATCTACATGTGTATCTATGTAAGTATATAGGTCTTAATGTAAGTAAATCTACATGTGTATCTATGTAAGTATATGGGCTCTGTGTGAGTCTATGGGTCTCTGTGTGAGTCTATGGGTCTCTGTGTGAGTCTATGGGTCTCTGTGTGAGTCTATGGGTCTCTGTGTGAGTCTATGGGTCTCTGTGTAAGTCTATGGGCCCTGTGTGAGTCTATGGGTCCTGTGTGAGTCTATGGGTCTCTGTGTGAGTCAATGGATCTCTGTGCTAGTCTATGGGCCCTGTGTGAGTCTATGGGTCCTGTGTGAGTCTATGGGTCTCTGTGTGAGTCTATGGATCTCTGTGCTAGTCTATGGGTATCTGTGTAAGTCTATGGGTTCTGTGGAAGTCTATGGATTCTGTTGTGAGTCTATGGGTCTTGATGTAAGTAAATCTACATGTGTATCTATGTAAGTATATAGGTCTTGATGTAAGTAAATCTACATGTGTATCTATATACGTCTATGGGTCCGTGTGAGTCTATGGGTCTCTGTGTGAGTCTATGGATCTCTGTGCTAGTCTATGGGTATCTGTGTAAGTCTATGGGTTCTGTGGAAGTCTATGGATCTCTGTTGTGAGTCTGTGGATCTCTGTGTAAGTCTATGGGCCCTGTGTAAGTCTATAGGTCTCTGTGTAAGTCTATGGGTTCTGTGGAATTATTTGGGTCCTGTGTGAGTCTATGGGTCCTGTGTGAGTCTATAGGTCCTGATGAAGTCTATGGGTCTCTGTGTAAGTCTATGGGTCCTGTGGAAGTTTATAGGTCCTGATGAAGTCTATGGGTCTCTGTGCTAGTCTATGGGTCCTGATGAAGTCTATGGCTTCTGTGCACCGGTCAAAATGTTTTAGCGGATTCGTCAGACATTACTGATGAGGACGTTGACGATGATGACGACGATGACGACGATGACGACGTTGATGATGATGTTGATGATGTGGTGATGTCCGCCAGGTGATGTCCTGGAAAGCCAAGCTGCCGCTGCAGACCATCATGCGCCTGCTGCAGGTGCTGGTGCCACAGGTGGAGAAGATCTGCATTGACAAGTAATCTCACACACACAAACGTTACCCCGTGCAGCCTTCAACAGACTGTTGGGGCAAGCGCAGTTAGCGAGCAGCACCCTATGAAGGCCGGCACGGCACACGAGGGGGGCGGGTGGGCAGCACCACGTCCGGCCGCCTTTGTCTCCCCAGTGGCGATGTTTTACACATCTCACCACGTGCTCATTTGAGGCCGAGGCGACCTAGGGGAGGCCCATGAAGCGGTTCAGATAATCGTCACCGGTGTTGACCGTGAGCGGGAATCGAACTCGGGTCTCGCCGGGTTCATAGCGCATCGCGGTGCTAACTCTCACACCCTCGCACTCTCTCACGCGCGCACGCACACACACACACACACTCTCCTGGGCCCTAACAAAGCCACGGTGGAGCTGGTGTTGGTGGTGGCTTAGATTGTCATGTTGCTGGTGGTGGAATTGGGGTACTTGTGGTAGAGGGTGGTGGTAATGATGGTCACAATGCTGTTGGTTTTTAGTTCAAGTAAGGTTCACGGTTGTGTCGTGTGTACGTGTGTACGTGTGTGCGTGCGCATGTGTACGTGTGTGTGCTTGTGTATGTCCGTGCCAACGCGTGCGCGCGCATGTGCATGCTTGTTTGTGTGTGTATACATGTGTGTGTGCTTGTGCATGTCCGTGCCAACGCGTGCGTGTGTGTACGTGTGCGCGTGCTTGTGCACGTGTGCGTGTAGGGGCCTGACGGACGAGACGGAGATCCTCAAGTTCCTGCAGCACGGCACGCTGGTGGGTCTGCTGCCCGTGCCACACCCCATCCTCATCCGCAAGTACCAGGCCAACGCCGGCACGGCCGCCTGGTTCCGCACCTACATGTGGGGCGTCATCTACCTACGGTAGCGCTCGCACCGCACAAATCGCCACACCTCCGATTAGCACTGTTGCCTGCGTACCATGCGAAAATAAGTTCAACGTACATACACACGTACGCACGCACAACACTCACTAAACACGCAATCATTAACACACCGCACGCACGCCCCTGTGTGCGTGTGTGCGGCTTCATCTGCCAGTCATCTCGGTCAGTCGACCCATGGCACCTAGGTCTGTCCCGTGACCTCCTGACAACAAGAGCCTTTTCACCCTTCACGTGATGGCCTCAAAGTGAACCTAGCCTGGCACAAGCGCTGTGGTGATGTCACCTTCACTAAGTGGCGAATGGCTGCTGCTGTTGTGGATGTGTGTGTGTGCGCGTGCACACGCGCGTGTGAGCGTGTCCGTGTGTGTGAGCGTGTGCCTGAGCATGTCTGTGTGCGTGCTCGCCTGTATGTGAGTGTGCACGTGAGTGTGAGCGTGTGTGTGTGTGCACGTGAGTGTGAGCGTGTGTGTGTGTGCACGTGAGTGTGAGCGTGTGTGTGTGTGCACGTGAGTGTGAGCGTGTGTGTGTGTGTAAGTGCGCGTGCGTGCGCGTGTCCTCACGGTGCCACCGTGCCGCCCGCAGGAACGTGGACCCGCCCGTGTGGTACGACACGGACGTGAAGCTCTTTGAGATCCAGCGCGTGTGAGCTCCTCGCTCCCACGCCGAATCGACCACCGCCACCACCGCCAGCACCACGCCGTCCGTCCATCCGTCCTCCGATTCGCCGCCGCTCGCCGCGATCGCCCGTTCGCAGCGCGCGGGGTGCCGAGCCGCACGCCGGGCCCACGCGGCCACCGGCACCGCGGCTACGGCGGGCGCGGCGGTGATGGCGCGCGTGGGGGGGGGGGGCTGGGAGGGCAGCGGTGTTGGTGGTGGCGCGTTCATCCGACTGGCGTTGTGCGATGGCGTGGAGTGCGTTTCACCGCGTGCGAGCGAGTGTGTGAGTGAGCCACTATGAGTGAGTGCGAGCGTGTGAGCGAGCGTGTGAGCGAGTGGCAGTGCGTGACGTACCCGCCCGACACCAGGGGGCCACTGGTGACCAGGGTGGTGGAGGGGGGGACGTGCGTGCGGTGTCCTCCACGCACGGCTCGTGCCGGCCACGTCGCTTACCGCGGGGTCACGGGGGTCGCGGGACCGAGCGTGTGGCGGTGGTGGGGGGGGGGCGGGTGGTGGGGGGGGTGGGTCTGGGTTGTGTTGGGATCCGTGTTATGGTGGGGGGGGGGGGGTCTTCTCGTGTGCTCACAGGGAACGTTGTGGCGCCGTTAGACGGCACTCAGGGCGGCTGTAGTGGGGGGGTGGGTGACTGTGTGTGATGCGTGTCCGAGGGCCCTGTCTCAGGGTGGGACGTTTATTTAGTTTCGTCCGTTGTCTTTGTGCGGTTTCATTTCTTAAAGTTCTCACACGCGCACTCACACACGGGTCCACGTGCAGGCCACACACGCGCACCGGTCCACGTGTAGGCCAAAGACAAAGATCCCCCGTAGATAGTCTTTAACAGACTTTAGGGGCAAGTGCTGTTTGCGAGCACCTATGAAGGCCGGAACGGTACACGAGGGGGTGGGTGGCCAGCACCACACCCGGCCACCTTTGTCTCCCCAGTAGCGATGTTTTTACACACCGCACCATAGTCTGAATGCTTGCGTTTGTGTTTTTTGTTATCACACAATTATAATGTGTGTAGGCTTACACCAACATGCATTTGTAGCACTTTAGATTCTACCTATTCACTCCACTATAGTCACATCGCAGCTTATTCAGTTCCGTATCCACGCCACCGTGGAGTCGACATCTCTCTCGAAAGTGGAAACCGCCACGGCTTCGACTCCATTCACAGCGGTAGGATCCACACTGCAGAGCACGCGGAGAACCTGGCACGCAGTGTGCGCAGAAGCTGTTGTTCGCAGCGGAAAGGCAAAACGAAAACGGTTTGTGGCTGGAATCGTGATGCATCGCGAGAGTCGCAAGCAGTGGTCCCCTGGCTCCCACTTTGGGGGCACAGGAAGGCACGCCCTCTGTGCCCTCTCGGCCTGCGCCGGGCGAGTCGAGCGGAGTGACGGGCGAGCGTGTGGGAGCGGTCCTCTCAACGGTTGACACTAAAAATATCGTCGCCCCTCACTTGCCTGACCTCGCCGCGTGACCTTTACCACGGGCCGTGACCTTCCCCCTCCACTCCAGTATTGTGAAATTTCAACACTCCACGTATCTATGTACAGTATATTGAACTTCTTTCGCACCGTACGTAGCCACCCGTGCTCATTGGAGGTGCGGGGGTGGGAGGGGGGAACGACAAACTAAGTTCTAAAGAAAATTAGTTTGTCAATCGAGATGATGATGATTTAAAAGTGTGCACAGCTCCAGCGGCTTCCTAATATAGGAAGGGAAGAGCGTTCCAGACGGCCGCGGAAGCGCATTTTAAAGCACCTGCCGCCTTTGCTTCGATGGTTGAGCAGCCAAAAGCCACCGCCGTTGCTGCTGCGAGGATGAGCGGAGGGCCGCGCGATTGACGGTTCTGTGCTCCTTGACGAGATGGGCAAGGTGTTGCTGTGGTTAATTTGTGGTTAAGCACTTGGGGCCCCCTTACAGCCGCGACTGGGCTGTGGGGGGGGGGGGTGCTGGAACACGACACGACTGCCCAACCGATGGAGCAGTCTCGGCGCTGCGTTCTGCCGGGAGATTCCGTCAACTCCCAAAAATCACGTGGAACCAAAAGTTTATTCCGCCCCCCTCTCTTGCATTTCACAGCATGGGTCGACGGCGGGGGGGGGGGCGGTTAAACAAATTCGGTAACCGACGGGACGGAGTTTGAATGTAAGATCACTACTGTCACTTGGGTTTCGCCCTGTGAGATCACTACTGTCACTTGGGTTTCGCCCTGTGAGATCACTACTGTCACTTGGATTTCGCCCTGTGAGATCACTACTGTCACTTGGGTTTCGCCCTGTGAGATCACTACTGTCACTTGGGTTTCGCCCTGAGATCACTACTGTAACTTGGGTTTCGCTCTGTGAGATCACTACTGTCACTTGGGTTTCGCCCGGTGAGATCACTACTGTAACTTGGGTTTCGACCTGTGAGATCACTACTGTCACTTGGGTTTCGACCTGTGAGATCACTACTGTAACTTGGGTTTCGACCTGTGAGATCACTACTGTCACTTGGGTTTCGCCCACCAGCGAGCCTGTGTGAAGCTACTGGGGGGACGTGAGCGAGTCGTCGTCCTCCTGTGTGTGTGCGTGCGTGCGTTTAGTTTTTAGTGTCACAACACTGGATTGTGCGGCGCTGTTCACTCGCGAAAGCCGGAGGGTGAGCGGGTGTCCTGTATTTTGTTTTTGCTGTTGTTTAGTTTCAGTTGAGCCAAATCGCCTCCACTCCACAGCCGAGCGATCGGTCGCCTGCAACTTCCTCCCCACGGTCGCCTGCAACTGCTTTGTCCTCGTCTGGGCGAGTGGTAGTGCAACCAAGTGGGGGCGTGGGTGTATATCGTGCCCCCCCCCACCCTAGCCACTTGCCCCCACGGGCTGTTGGGGGGCAAGAGCTGTTCGCGAGTAGCAGCACCGATGAAGGCCCGGCACTGTGGCACACGAGGGGGCGGGTTGCCGGGTGGCCAGCACCACGCCCGGCCGCCTTTGTCTCCCCGGTGGTGATGTTTACACACGCCACGCCAGGTACTCATTTGAGGCCGAGTCGACCTAGGAGGGAGGGTGGTGGCCCAGGACCGGTTCAGATAATCGCTATTACTGGTGCACCACCGCTTCCCACCTGGGTGTTGCCCGGTGGGGGAATGTCCACACGAATTCGCCGCTTTTTTGTTTATTACGCGGAAATTATTCAATGGGCATTTCGCGCGGCGTCAATCGCCCCTCCTCCTACCCGCCTCTACTGGCAAAGAGTTGAATGCCCGCTCGGTAGGCCAGGCGCTGTCCAGCCACCTCGTGGCGCACGTGGGGCAGCTGCCACTGGGGGTGCCCCCATGACCACCCCCAGCGAGATGCCCAGTGTACAGGCGAGGGCGCGGTGTCAAAGACAAGGGGATCGTTAAGAATGATAATTCTTATCGTTAAGAATGATGATTCTTATCGTTAAGATTTATGATTTTTTATTATTGGTAAGAATGATTAATCTTATTGGTTAGAACGATTCTAATTGTTAATAATTCTTATTGTTAATAACGATGATGATTCTCATTGTAATGCTGCTGCAGGCGACCGTCAACAGTTGCGCGATGGATCGCTCTGGTGTCGCCCTCACTGCGGATGCGTTGGTGCACGTGGCTCTTAACCACTGGTTATTGTTATTAACATTATTGGTAGTAGTACTGTTATTGTTAGTATTGTTATTATTATTAGTATTGTGTTTATTATTAGAAGTAGTGCTGTGTTATTGTTGGCGTGCGGGTTGGGTCTGGTGGGTGGGGGAATCTCTGTTCGCGACTCCACGAGAGATGCGGGTGACGGAGAGAGACCGGAGTTTGCGTCTAGTTCGTGTCGCACTGCGCTCCGGAGCCGTTCGTGAGTGGCGGTGGCTCACGGAGTAGCATCTTGGGGGTGGGTGGCCACGTAGACTACTCCCCCCCCCACCCCCACGTAGGAGCATTGGTCCCGTGTCATATCGCTGATGATTTTAACCCCCACGCCACCGCCACCACCTTGACCTCGCCGGGCCGACCTTCAGTCGTCGGGCCGGCATTTAGCCATCGGCGCCGTGGTCTTCAGCTTCGTGCGTGTGTGAAAGAGGGAGGGGGAGAGAGATAAAAAAAGTTGTGCAAAATAAGACCCGCTACGAGTGAGCGAGCGTGAATTGTTGTTCCATCTCCAGAGGCGATGTTTTCCCACGCACCAAACTCGATTTGAGGCCGAGTCTGCCTAGGGGGAGGCCCCAGCACCGGTTCAGAGAATCGTCAACGGTGTTGGGTGGCCGTGAGCGGGAATCGAACTCGGGTGGCCGGAGCTCAGGGTGGGGGATCAGCGCGCTAACTGGTGTGCCACCGCTCCCCACCCACACACAGATTCCCCGTGTAGCCTTAACGGGCTGTTAGGGCAAGTGCTGTTGGCGAGGAGCACCTACTAAGGCCGGAACAGCACAGACAGGGGTCGGTGGCCAGCGCCACACCCGGCTGCCTTTGTCTCTGGAGCGGTGACGTTCACACACCGCACCAGGTACTCATTTGAGGCTGAGTCGGCCTAGGGGAGGCCCAGGACAGGTTCAGATCGTCAACTGGTGTTGGCCGTGAGCGGGAATCGGACTCAGGACGCCGGGGTTCGTAGCGCAGCGTGCTGACCGCTATGCTACTGCTCCCCATCTCACACCAACACACGTACACGCCAGCACACGTGCATACACACGTGCTCCGGATAGTCCCGAGTCTCCGCAGCCCCAGGCTACCTACCAATCCCCAGGCGTTACGGGCTTTGGCTGCGAGTCTGCCGGATTTGGGCAGTACAGTGGATTTCTTGAATACATCCATGAGGGGCCTGCAAGCGTCGCATGTGCCCCCCTCTTGCGTTTGGTCGCTTCTCCGGGCCCCCACCCCACCACATGAAGCTCATGTTCGAGATTAATAACTATTTGGTGCTGCTGCTGCGATGGCTGTGCTGCTCCAGGCACCATTAACAACTCGGCACCTCACGAGTTCCCCTTAAGTGACCTCTGGCCCACGTGGCAGAGGACAGCCACCCGCACCCGATATGCACACGACATAGTCGTGTTTCGTCCACGATGGCTGGCGTTAATTTATTGCGATGGGGGGTAGGGGGGGTATTTGTGTGTGCAGTCATCTGTGGTGGGCTGAGACCATCAAATTTAGAGACCCACAGACTTAGAGACCCAGACTCAGAGAGACCCACATACTTTAGAGACCCACACTGAGGTTCATAGACACAGAACCACACTTAGACACTCACATCGAGACCCACAAACTGAGACCCACAAACTCACGTAGACACACAGACTTGGAGGTTCATAGACTCAAAGAGAACCACACTTTAGACACTCACATCGAGACCCACAGACTGAGACCCATAGACTCACGTAGACACACAGACTTTGAGATCCCGTAGACTTACACAGCCTGATTAAACGCCTCTAGAGCACAGTGAGTTGTAGGCCTCTGCCCCAATCAACAAACGACTCGCAAGGGAGACTTCCACCCCTGTTGGAGAGAACCCTGCTGCTTTTAATCGCAGGCCGTCGAAGCCCCAGGGAGGGGTCCAACCCCGGGAGCCTCGTGCGGTTGCCCCCCCCCCCCCCATCTCACTTCTCCACAAAAGGCTCCTCTTAACCGGGGGGAGGGGGGGGGGCGCTCGTGCCAACCGGCGCCAAGGTCACCGGGCACGGGGAGCTGACCCTGCCCCGTTCTCCCCGCGCCCAATTCCCACACACGCGCTGCTGCTGCTGCTGCCGCCGGCCCGCTGCGGCGCTGCTAGATGCGGGTCGGCATGTTTTATTTTGGTCGGGCCTTAAGTCGACGACAACCTGTGTGTGTGCGCACGCGCGCGTGCGGTGGGGCGGGTCTCGGGGATATTGGTCGAGCCTCAAAGGCTGCCACAACCGAAGCCGACGGACGTTTTGTTCAACGCCCCGGTGTGGACGACGGGGCGCGTGCTCCACCGTTCCTTGCGGCCGCAGCAGCCGTGCGAAGGACAGCAATGTTGAAAGTTAATTAAAAAAACAAAATTTATTTTACCATGCAAGGCCCACTGAGCTATATAGCTCTTTTTTTCAGAAGCGACCTGCCACAAATGATAAGCCTGGCCACAAGCGAGCTATTATTTGTGTCCAGGCTTATCACGTGGAACTGTATAGCATCCAAATAGCTCTACATGGATGTCGATTCTAAAATGTGGAGGGGAAAATACCGGAGGAACCCGGTGAAAAATACACGAGACCACGGGGAGAGACAAACGCAAACTCCAAATATACAGCAGCAGCAGCAGGCGTCAAGGTTGGGATTGAACCCACGACCTCCTGCATACCGGGTGAGGTAGTTAACATCTCATAGCCACCGTGACCTCGATATACTACGATAGTCAGCGCAGTGGCGCACGCCTGTGACCCAGCGCTGGAGAAGCAGCAGCATCAGCGGACAACAGCGGAAAGAACAAACCTGTCGCAGCGACGTTAGCAGCAACCGTAGCGACGTCGAGGCAACGGCGGACACGAGACGGCGCACAGCGTGACGCTTTTAAAAAAAAAAGTGTTTAATTTTTTAGCAACTTTTTTTTGCAAGTTAAAAATAAAACGATTTTTTTCCAGAAACAAAAAAAATCAAGTAACACATTTTACGGGCAGGAGCCTGGTGGTGGTGGTGCTGGTGGTTGGTGGCAGTTGCTACTGCTGTCGAGCTGACGATACCTGGGCGATGGTGAAACCGCCGCGCCCGTGGGAGCGGAGGACGCTCAACGTTGCTCCCCCGTAGGCCCCGACGAAGACTTCCCCCGCGGCTCGAGGTTCATTACGATCGGGGGCGCACGCGGTCCTCCCGGGAAGAGCCTCGCTGGGTCTCGAAGGGGCGCGTCCTGTCGGAGGGACGGTGTTGTTCGCCGTCTGCATATCCATCCGAAGCAATTCGGCCTTGCGGATTTTTTTTTCACGTTTTGGCAAAATATTTGAACCGCGACACCGCCTCGCGAGCGGGCTTGCTCTCTCTTCCCAACGACGTCACGGCGGGATCTTTAACATTCACTGTGCAGAGCAGGCGGTGGTGGCGCGGTATTCTCGGCGGTTAATTCGCGCGCGGCGTCGACCGCCACGCCGTGGACTGCGCCAGCGGCTAGCGCTGTCGCCGAACGCACGGCATCGGGCTCCAGTCCAGGTGGCTGGGCGGGGGCGGCAGCTTCGTCTCGCGCATCGCGGAGAGGAACTCTAACCACACGGGCCCCCCCCCCCCCCGCCACGCCGCCCTCAGCCCGGCCCACGGGGCTGGACACCACAACGCACGATCGGACGGGCGCGACGGGATGCGCTCGAAAAAAAGAAAACGGGCGATCAGAACACGCGTCGCGTTTTCAACGTGTGTACATCCCCCGCCCCCCCCCCTCTGCGTGGCCGTCAAGACGTGGGGGGTGGGCGAGGCCAAAATTATTTGGTGGGACACCCGAACGATGGGTGGGATGAGCCGCTAAACCATCCACCGCAGGTGATCGAGAAGGGGTGGGGGGGGGTGGGGGAGTCTCTCGCTACGTTTACGACACTTTGAGCGTCTCCTAAGCCGAACGTCGTCGGTCAAGTATGTACGTTGAACATCTTTCGCACCGTACGTAGCCGACCGTGCTAATCGGCTACCCGCATCGAACACGAGTAGCCGCGTGCCGAAGCGGGGGAAATCGCTCCGCCGCTTCAAGGGATGCCAACACCGACGTCGAAGCTTCAGAAAATAATAATCAGATCACAACCCTGAATCGTGGCTATTCGGCAAATCGCTACCCTAGGGGGTTGGACAGGTTGAACGTCATCTTGTGCACTGCGAGGCTGTGCCACGACACTGTCCGACGTTTCGCCGCCACCCCCCCCCCCCGCGCACCGGCAACTCCACGGGAACGCTGCGGAGAGCTGCACGGCACAACCGCGAAAAAACCTACGCGGCAGAATCCTCCAACGGTAGCAACGAGACGAACGCCCTCTCCTTCCCGAGCCAAGGGACGCGCGTATCACAAGCGCCGCAGACGAGACGTCGCCCCCAGGGGAGGGCTGCCCAAACCACACAGGTGTGGGGGAGGGGGGGCCCTCATCCATGCCCCACCCCCCCTTTGAGTGTCACCTCGCGAGCACGTAACTGGGCGGGGGGGGGGGCGGCAGGACCAAGTGCATGATCCGATGGCGCGCAGCCGCAACGGATGCGGGGATCCGGCTGGCCCCCAGGCAGGCCACGAGAGAGGCGGGCAGGCGGGCGGGCGGGCGCCACCGTCAGCGTTGTTCGCGCGACGCTCACGAGCGCTTGCCCCCCGCCCCCGGGGCGGAGGTGACCACGAAGCAGCTACACGGGACCACGACCGACTGCCGATCTACATAGTCATCGTCGTCATCATCATCATCATCCAGAGCAAACAAATAAATAACATCTCGCATGGTTACTGCAATTTATTGTTTTGTTTCCCTCCTACACATTCAGGGTGCGGCTTTGCTTGCGGTTATTATAATACACTCTTATAATCACCAGGGCTCCCTTCACACTCACCCCTGCCCGCCGGGGCCAAGGCTGCTGCAGCCGAGGAGGAGGAGGCGGACTCCACTCTCGTAGCGGCGACGACGACGCAAATCCTGGGCTCTGCGGCTCAACCGACGCGCACAACATCAGGACCTTGTCTGACTGTTCCCAGTTGCGTTGGGGGGGGGGTCGCGACCCACGCGCCGCTTGTGACCCGGCGAACGTACACACACACACACGCGCGCACACACACACATACATACGCGCGCACACATACATACATACATACACGCACGCACTCACACGTCTGCCCTTCCTGCACCCTGAGGCCGGTGGCCACGGTCTTAACAAGTCTGTGCTGCGCCGGGCGAGCGGGAGGGCGAGCGGGCGGGCGAGCGGGCGACCAGGTGGACGGGCGACCAGGTGGGCGGGCAGGTGGCGAGCGAGCGGGCGGGCAATTGGCGAGGATCTTCCCTTGCCCACCCCCTCCGCCCCCTTTCCCCCCCTCCTTCCCACCCCCAGCCAGGTGGCACCACCGCCCCACCTCGACCCCACCCAAACCCGGGGGGCCCCCCCCCCCCGCCCCTCACTGCAGGTAGAGCTCCCACACCTTGTGCACGCAGTAGAGGAGGGAGGCGAGCGCCAGCGTGTTGTGCAGCCGCTTGCGGTACGTGTCGTCCTTGCGCACGAGCACGACGGGCGAGGCGGAGCGCAGCGTGTGCAGCGGCAGGCGCGCCAGCTCGCGCGTCTCGTACTGCACCTGGTACTTGCAGCACGGGTCGAACTGCCACGAGACGCCGTACAGCGCCGCGCAGCTCGCCGACAGCAGCCCCGCCGGCAGGCTCAGCAGGTGGGCGTGCGGCGCCGGCAGCAGGAAGGGGCTGAGCAGGCAGCCGGCGCCCGCCAGCACGGCCGTCTTGTGCAGGCAGTTGCCGACGGCGATCCAGCGGGCCGTCTCGTCGCCGAGCCGCGCCGGCTCCACCACGATGTACTTGTACTGCGACTCGAGCGCGCGCTCCAGCTCGAGCTCGAACTGCTCCTGCGCGTACTCGCTGTCGTACACCTCGTGGATGATGTGGCACTCCAGCGGCGACAGAGGCGCGCTGCCGGGGATGGGCGGGCGGGGGCGGCGGGGTCGGGGCGAGGGGGGGGTGGACAGGGGACGTGCCGGGAGGAGGTACAGCAACGAGAGCATTGGCTTTCGGCGGCCTTGGTGGACGCCCGTGGTGCCGTAACTCTCCGCCGCTCCGGTGACAGGTTGGAAGCGCGGCGCTTCGGCAAGTTACAATGAATGCCACCTTGCGCTAAAACTAAACGATTTTTTTTTACTTTACCAGGTAAGGCCCCGCGCTGAGCTATCGAGCTCTTTTTTTCAGTGACGACCTGGCGGTCACAAACGATAGCCCAAAGAAGTGGCTTATAATCACGTGGACATTTATAGCATGATGTTGATTCTAAATGTGGAGCGGAAAAAAAAAATGGAGGACCCAGAGAAAAATTCACGCGACCATGGGGAGGAATACGCCGCAAACTACAAATATACAGCAGCAGCAGGCGTCAGGGTCGGGATCGAACCCACGACCTCCTGTACACCAGGCGAGGTAGTCAACATCTCATAGCCACCGTGGCGCACTAACCACCGCCAACCAGCAGTGATCACAAGAACCATCGCGACTGGGGGGGGTCTTGATGCGAATACCAGAACGACATCGGGCCCAACGTGCACATGCAGGACCCTCCTAAACAAGGGTGTCTGGAGACTCGGCGATGATGATACCCTCCGAAGACAATCTTCCATAGTTATAAACGTAAACAGGGGCGGCATATCCTCCACGTATGAATTTGCACAAATTGCGGATAACACCCAGACTCGACACGCGTGACGAGCCAGTGTGGGATTCAACGTGAACGCATTAATCGACGCGTCGTTTGTACGTGCGCAGTGACGACGATGGCACCGGCCGCGTGCCGCTCACGGGTCGCTCGGCACCCACAAGCCCCCTCCCCCCCCCCCTCTCTCTGCGAGCGACGCCGCGTGGCCTTCTCTGCGAAATGAAGGCGCGAGAGGACAAACGGCGAGGGCAGCCACGGCCACTTCACGAAACCCCCAACTTGGCTGCGGAGGTTTAAACGCTCAAATTCCCTCTCCCTGCTCAGTGAAACTAAACTATCGATTATTTTTTATTTGACCGGATAAGGCCCCATCTTATTTTTCAGAAGCCGCATGGCTGTCGCAAATGACAGCTCAACGAAGCGGGCTAATCACCACGTGGAAATACGCGGCGGCGGCTAAATACACTTAAGTGAGCACAGTGAGCCAGACCCCGCGGTGGAAATTCCACAACTGCCATGGCGAGAGCCAACCGATACTTTAAAGGAGTCAATTCTACCAACACTGGTGGTTAACTTCCCTTCATTTCGCTGACAGCACGGTGGCATTATAGCCTGAGAGAGAGAAATCAATCACTTGGGGTGCCTGGGTGTGGTTCTGGTCACAACACACCACCCTTCGTGCCCAGTACCGGGCTTTAATGCGTTGCTCGTTAACAGCACATGCCCCAACATTCTGCATGGCTAAACGGGGGGATGGGGTTCTTTATCTTTGTATACGCTGTGTATATAAATGACAGGGGCATGTAAATTGGGGCACAAAAGCATGGAAAAGATAATGCTCAGACTTGATCTAGTGAAGCCACGTGCACGTGTCATGTGCACTTGTGCAACATGCTTGCTGACTTGTTAGTAGGTTACTGCAAAGTACAGTATTGGGAAATGTCTAAGCCTATACAGTACAGTCCGTCCAGCATAGAAGAGACGAACGTAAATTCTAATGATGTGCTGGAAGGTTGAAAGAGCCGATGTAGGTTACCAAATGTAGTTATTGCCTGAGCTCCGTCGAACTTGAAATTGAGACAATATTACTCACAGGGCAGGGTCACAGCCTTAAGTTACGGGCGGCTTTAAAGTCTCGTCCTAAACACGTGACACTCATCATCGGTGATCCGAGTACTTAACCTCCGCGTGCAGTGCGATGCACAAGCCATCGAACGGCGGGGCAAAGCCCACCGGTGGTTTACGAGTATTAATCGGGCAGTTAGTACGCCGTGCGCGCTTTGGTTAACCTTTAAGTGTCGTATAATGACATGGGTGTGCCCTTGCCTTGAGGAGTGGGGCACGTGGGCAGGTCAGGTGGATGACAAGAGTTGGCAACTTGGGAGGTTGGCATGAAAGTGTTATGTCAAGTAAAAAAAAAATGTGTTTTTAACCAGGTGAGAATCCCAATGGGACCAGGATAACCTCATTAGCAGGAGTGTCTAGGTGAGTGTAATCGGGAAGGGGAGGCTGCGGTGGATGGGACAAGTGTGCAGGATGGGGGAGGGCGGGTTCAGCTAAAGTATTTTTTTTATTTTACCAGGCAAGCCCCCACTGAGCTATTAGCCTAATTTTTCAGCAGCGACCTGGCCACGAATGATAACTCAACGAAGTGGCTTATCACGTGGAAATTGATAACAGCCAAACACTCTTTGAACACGTTACCTAAATGTGGAGGGAATAGCCGGAGAACCCGGAGAAAAATCCACACGACCACGGAGAGAGAGAGACACGCAAACTCCAAATATACAGCAGGCGTCAGGGTCGGGAACGAACCCACGACCTGTATACCAGGCGAGGTAGTTAACATCTCACCACAGAGAGACACGCAAGCTCCAAATATACACCAGGCATCAGGATCGGGAACGAACCCATGACCTCCTGTATACCAGGCGAGGTAGTTAACATCTCCTCGCCACGGCGGCGGCCAGGCATTGGAGTGTCACCCAGAGTTTGGCAACCGAGGCAAAGCCGAAATGTGTCAGACGGCAGTGGTGACGAGACCAAGTGGACCATGGGGCGTGGATACGCGTTGACCGTGCAACAGTTGGGTGATATGTAGCAGACGACAGAGATGAGGAGTGGATGGCTGGGGGGGGGAGCAACAGCTGTGATCGGACCACTGGACTTGACAATGACGACCCTTTGACCTTCGCAACGTTGTGCATAGACGCCGTTCCTTGCAATTACATTATACAACAAAACAGCTTACGTGGACTACGAGACCAACTCACTCGGGGGGGGGGGGGGGGAGGGGGGTGTCCCAGACCTCGCCAGATCTCAAAAGCTGAGCAGAGCCGAGCCCCTGGGGTGGGGGATAGTTGTGTCCCTGTGTGGGACTGGCTTGCGAGCCCGTGCGTGCAAATGCAGCCCCCGACGGCCAGTGGCAGCAGGAGGTGAAATCCACGTATCGCAAAGCACTGGGCCAATGCCAAATTATCGTAGTAGCAAATGTAGCTATGGGCCACGGCACTTTCAAGTGCCCCACGCTAAACGCTTTAAAGCTATCAATTCCGGTTCAGTGATTCTGCACTTGCTCTATTACTATAGTACTATACCGCCTTCAACTTTAATGAACGACTGGGTGTTTAAGGTTAGCGATTTGTCGTATTTTCTGGCTCTATAGCAAAATTAAAAAATTCAATTACTTTACTATGCAAGTAAACAAAAAATTGCCGTTTTATATTCATGTCTTTTATTTAGGGCCCCTTTATAACACAAGCTACCGGCCCTGCACCAGCTTCATCCGGCACTGCACTTCCACCAAAACCCCACGGGCACGAACGAGCGACGCGGGTGGCGGTGGAAGGAGGAGGGTGGACGAATAAAATCTCCCGAGAAAATCGCATTAATTTGGCAGCGGTGCGCCTTTTAAAACTTAGAGCGCGCGAGAGAGTGAGAGAAAGTAAGAGCGTGAGAGAGAGTGAGAGAAAGAGTGAGTGAGAGGGTGAGTAAGAGAGTGAGAGAGTGAGTGAGAGGGTGAGTAAGAGAGTGAGAGAGTGAGTAAGAGAGAGTAAGAGAGAGTGAGTGAGAGAGTGAGTGAGTGAGAGGGTGAGTGAGTGAGAGTAAGAAAGAAAGTGAGGGTGAGTGAGAGGGTGAGAGAGAGAAAGTAAGAGAGACAGCGAGAGTGAGAGAGTCAAGTCTCCCGCATGCGAAAGGCGGTCGCGAATCAGCGTGTGCCGGCTGTAGGGAACCAGCCGCAGATAGTTGACGCATTGTGTAATCGCGGTTGACATTTAAACACGTTCTATAATCACCGTTCGCAACAGTGAATTCAAGTTAACGGGGGCTTGGCGCAATGGGGGTGGTGGTGGAGCACGCAATGGGCTTAGAAAGAATGATGATGATTATGGGGCACGGTACAACAGCCCTCGAAGGACAGAACGCGTTCAGCGGGAGTGTCGGATTCAGTGCATGGCCACTCGCAGGACCGTGGGAGGATGGGGGAGCAGACGACGTCTCGTGAAGTCCGGGGTGGTGGTGGTGGCAGGAGGGAGGTCTCATCCAGCGGTGGATCGATTGAGCGCGACCCGATGGACGGGAGCGATTTACAAAGTTGCGCAACCACTTGTTTACAATCGCTACGACTGTTAAGCAGACGAAGGAGGTAAGTGTGGGGGGTGGTGGTGATGGGGGGTGACTTCGTGCAGGGCGCGCGCGTGTAGCGGCGTGGTCATGGAGCCATGTCGGGTGGTGGTGATGGTGGTGGACGCGCCCGCCGAGTTGAACGTGGTGGTGGTGGAGCGAGCGCCTCAGCGTTCGCGAAGGCCGTCGCGCTCGGGGAATTAAACCCTGGATAGGCCCACGGCTTGACGAAGGGAACCCGCAAAGTTCACGACGGGCCTTAAAGGCGAGAACGGCGTTGGCGAAGGCCGCTTCAAAATCCGCAGCGCGGATAAGCAACGCGCGCCCGGCTCTCGCCTCCCGATTGGTCGAGGCGCTCCGCAGCGACCAACGGGAGGCGAGGACGAGGCGGCCGCTGCCTGTGCGCTGTAGGGAATTCGGCAAGGCGGTGAGGCCGAACTCCCGTCGGGAAGGGAGGTCTTTGCCCGCCCCGCAAACTCAAGCGACTTATCGCCGCCCGGGGAACGCGTTTAGAGCGGGGAAACCAAGCGGCTCCGTGCTACCCACCCCCCCTCTCTCTCTCCTCCACGGTAGCAGCGTCAACAACTCCATCACCACCACTACCACCCCCCCCCCCCCCTTGTAATGGCGTTCTCCGCAAGGGACACTCCGCGCGTCTGACCCGCGCGCGCGTCTCCCCGTAGCACCACCACCCCCGAATGGCGGAGCGGGCGGCAGCGGCACTGAACCCGCGCGCCGTCGAGCGAGGCCACGCGGTCGGCCGTGTGAGCGAGGAGGAGGAGGTGGTGGTGGTGATGAGGGGAGGAGGATGAGGAGTTGGGGGTAGCGCCTGGCAACTCACCTCGCTGCCTCCAGGGCCGCCATCTCGTCGGCGCGGACTCACACGGGCGGGAGCGCCTGGGGCGTGCGGGGCGGTGCTTCGGTTGTGACGTCACGCGCGGAGGTGGGGCGGGCCCATCTTTGTAAGGGACGGCCGCCCCCCCCCCCTGTGTGGAGTGCTCGTGTGACGTCACACACACTCCCCCCCCCACCCCCTCACAGCCCTTAGCAACATGGCCGCCGCGTGTTTACCTTGGTGCAAGGGCACGGGCGAGTGGTCGCCGACCCCGCCCACCATCCACCCCGCTCCCCCCCACCCTCCATCCCCCGCCCCACCCCCCACCCCTATTACGGGACGCCGCGAGGTCAACCAAGCACGCGTTCGCGCGTGACGCGTTTGTAAAACCGTCATCCGCACACGGACATTCTCGTGCGTTTACAAAATACGCGGCTGCGTCAAAGGCTGCGAGACGTTTGACGAGGAGCCGTGCGTGCGTTTGTCTGTCCCGTCGCGGTGCTCGATGCGTTTTTTGTTCGTGGTACGAGCAAGTGAGCGAATACGCGGCAATTTCGATGGTCAAAAACACACCTACGCGCACCCCGTTACATGTTGATTACGCCACGGTGGCTAGGAGATGATGTTAACTACCTCGCCAGGTATACAGGAGGTCGTGGGTTCCATCCCGACCCTGACGATGCCTGCTGCTGCTGCTGCATATTTAGAGCTTGCGTGTTCTCCGGGTTTTCCCCTCCACATTTATAATCAACGTGCGTTTGTTGTATTACGGAGTTAGACTGATGGCCTTAATCTAAGTTGTCTTGTGGTTGTTGTTTGACTTGCATCTCACTGGGATTTTTTTTGCACACAGTCACATAGTCACTTTAAGATGTTTGTCTTGTTCGTGTTTTTGCTTTGTTGCGGTTGCACCCGATTCAAGAGCCGAATGCCTCACAGGGCTATACCAAAATAAATTAAATGAAAAATAGTATTTGGCCGTTCTAAATGTCCACACGACAATGATGAGCCACTTCGATGAGCGGATCAATTGTGGCCATGTCTCGATTCAAAGCTTTCGTGACTGCAAGGATTCATCTTCTTTGGTTCTTTCTTACCCAAAGAACCAAAGAAGATGTGGCCATGTCGCTTCTGAAACAATAGCATATACAGCTCAGTAGGCCTTACCTGGTAAAAAATAAAAATAGTTAATTTGATATGAAATCACAATGTGAATCTCCGTCGACCGTATTATAACGCTATAAATATACCATTGTAGTCACGCGTTGCGCGCCAGCAATACCACGCAGCCCCATCTGCTGCAGAGTCATCGCACCGTGCCGCGAAATAAAACTATTAATAGAACGCAGGAGTGAATGAATGAGCTCCATTGTCGTTCTCTGCCAGCCTTGGCATGACCACTGCGAGCGAAACACCCCTCATTCACTGACGCAATTGGTCGCGTCCCATTAACACCCACACCCACCCCACCATTTGGATGAGGTCCACACAGTACTTATTTTTAAACATAACATTACTTCAACATCTACCCTCAACCATTCAAAGAACCCCGTCGATTCCCCTGATTTAGCTCATGAATAATTTATCCAATTCAACCAAAATTCTTTAAACCATTGCCACCCCCCCTCATTCACTTTGCTTTTATAATGGTATCGTCCAAAACAGTACAGCCCCAACCACAGATCTTAATATTTAAACTCAACTCCCCCTTATCGTATCGTAGAAATGTGCATTTAGATTACATTAATTTGCTTCTGGAAATTTCCACGTGATGAGCCACTTTGTTGAGCTAGCATTTGTGGTCAGGTCGATTCTGAAAAAAAAGTTAATAGCTCAGTAAGATAAACAAAAATTAGTTTAATTTTACTTGCATATATTTTAAGTGATTTGTTAACTTTTCCTAAACTTTGTACTCCGATCGTGTGATTATATTTTTTGATGGAACGTTCTGATACGCACTTACTGGACATTTTTTAAAAAAGAGCTTTATAGCTAATCGTATTGCTTCAATAAAAATAAACATTCTGATCTGATTCTGATCTGTATCTGCATCAATGATCTCCGTCCCGGGAACAATAAATCTTAACATTTAAGCTTCAACCCCCTAAACCAGGCCTGCACAAATGGTCTCGTCCCAAAACTAAAATGTAAACAAACGCAACCCCCCCCCCCCCCTTTCGCTACAGCCACAATGGTCTCGCCCAGGGTTCAATTCCAGCAGGGTCTGGTCCGGCTAGGCGAGCTGGAAGTGAACCCGGCACACAACGTCAAGCACCCTCACTCGCTGTGGCTAACTCACTTGGGCTCCTCCCCCCGCCCGCACAAATGGTCTCGTCCCGAAACTAAAATGTAAACAAACTTAATCAAACCCCCCTTTCGCTACAGCCACAATGGTCTCGCCCAGGGTTCAATTCCAGCAGGGTCTGGTCCGGCTAGGCGAGCTGGAAGTGAACCCGGCACACAACGTCAAGCGCCCTCACTCGCTGATGCTAACTCACTTGCCCCCCCCCGCCCTGCCTGCACAATGGTCTCGTCCCAAGACGAAAATGTAAACACAAACACAATTCCCCCCCTGCTCTCCATTCGCTCCTGCCATAATGGTCTCGCCCAGGATTAAATTCGAGCTGGGTCTGGTCGGGCTAGGCGAGCTGGAAGTAAACCCGGCACACAACGTCAAGCGCCCTCACTGTGGCTGTCACTTGCCCCCCCCCCCCCCCCGCCCGCACAAATGGTCTCGTCCCAAAACTATAATGTAAACAATCCCCCCCCCCCGTCGCTACTGCCACAATGGTCTCGCCCAGGGTTCAATTCCAGCAGGGTCTGGTCCGGCTAGGCGAGCTGGAAGTGAACCCAGCACACAACGTCAAGCGCCCTCACTCGCTGATGCTAACTCACTTGCCCCCCGCCTGCACAATTGATCTCGTCTCAAGACGAAAATGTAAACACACACTTAATCCGCCACCTGCCCCCCATTCGCTCCTGCCACAATGGTCTCGCCCAGGATTCAATTCGAGCTGGGTCTGGTCCGGCTAGGCGAGCTGGAAGTAAACCCGGCACACAACGTCAAGCGCCCTCACTCGCTGTGGCTGTCACTTGGCCCCACACGCCTGCACAAATGGTCTCGTCCCAAAACTAAAATGTAAACACAAACACAATCCCCCCCTCCCCCCCCGTCGCTACTGCCACAATGGTCTCGCCCAGGGTTCAATTCCAGCTGGGTCTGGTCCGGCTAGGCGACCTGGAATTTAACCCGGCACACAACGTCAAGCGCCCTCACTCGCTGTGGCTAACTCCATTTGGGCTACCCCCCCCCCTCTTCGGCCCGACCTACCCCTGCAATATATCGTACGAAATTAGACCCACGATAATATCGTGATTACAATTGGCTCATATCGATGTTTTGTTCTACCCCTGTTATTCATTTCTTGAGGAAAAGTACAATGAAACAAATGCACACTATTGGAATTAAAGTTCTAAAGAATGAAATAGCTGTTACCAGTTAAAACAGATATGTTACGTGACGTCATCGTGTTTACAGTCAATCATAAGTTAAATCAATTAATAATGTGTAACTGACCGTAATGTGCATTCTTTATATTAAAAAGAAAAACCTCTTAACATTCTTAGTTAACGTTGCCTTCGACTCGACTAAACTTTTTAATTTACGAATTAAGGCCCCACTGAGCTATATAGCTCTTTTTCAGAAGCGGTCTGGCTATCAGAAATGCTAACAGAACGGAGTGGTTCATCATCATCACCACGTGGAAATGTATAGCAATCAAATACAACAAAAATTGTACGTTGATTCTAAATGTGGAGGGAAACCCCGGAGGAGCCCGAGAAAAATCCACGCGACCACGGGAAGAGAGAGAGACACGCAAACTCCAAATACACAGCTGGTGTCAGGGTCGGGATGGAACCCACGACCTCCTGCGTACCAGGCGAGATAGTTAACATCTCATAGCCACCGTGATGATGATGAGAGAGAGAGACACGCAAACTCCAAATACACAGCTGGTGTCAGGGTCGGGATGGAACCCACGACCTCCTGCGTACCGGGAGAGGTAGTTAACATCTCCTAGCCACCGTGATGATGATGAGAGAGAGAGAGAGACACGCAAACTCCAAATACACAGCTGGTGTCAGGGTCGGGATGGAACCCACTACCTCCTGTATACCAGGCGAGGTAGTTAACATCTCCTAGCCACCGTGATGATGATGAGAAAGAGAGACAGGCAAACTCCAAATATACAGCAGGCATCAGAGTTGGGATCGAAACCACGACCTCCTGTATACCAGGCGAGGTAGTTAACATCTCCTAGCCACCGTGATGATGATGAGAGAGAGAGAGAGACACGCAAACTCCAAATACACAGCTGGTGTCAGGGTCGGGATGGAACCCACGACCTGTATACCAGGCGAGGTAGTTAACATCTCCTAGCCACCGTAATGATGAGAGAGAGAGACACGCAAACTCCAAATACACAGCTGGTGTCAGGGTCGGGATCGAACCCACGACCTCCTGTATACCAGGCGAGGTAGTTAACATCTCCTAGCCACCGTGATGATGATGAGAGAGAGAGACACCCAAACTCCAAATATACAGCAGGCATCAGAGTTGGGATCGAAACCACGACCTCCTGTATACCAGGCGAGGTAGTTAACATCTCCTAGCCACCGTGATGATGAGAGAGAGAGACACGCAAACTCCAAATACACAGCTGGTGTCAGGGTCGGGATGGAACCCACGACCTCCTGTATACCAGGCGAGGTAGTTAACATCTCCTAGCTACCGTGTTGATGATGAGAGACACGCAAACTCCAAATATACAGCAGGCATCAGAGTTGGGATCGAAACCACGACCTCCTGTATACCAGGCGAGGTAGTTAACATCTCATAGCCACCGTAGGCAATGCGGACGTTCAGAATAAGCAATACATTACATCGTCCATGACTGCTGGATGACCCCCCCCCACCCCCCAAGCCACATTACCCCTTACAGTAATTATTATTTTTGTGTCATGTATTATATCGTTTTGTGTCGAACTTTGACCCATGTCCAGCAGGGGCACGGGATCAGCAAGTTACAACAACAAGCACAATACAAACCCCCCCCCCCCCCCCCGATAGTAGTGCACAATAGAGAAAGAGGCAATCCAATGACGAAAAATACATAAAAACAACTAATGTATGAAATGCCGAACTTCAGAAGTCAATAAATCCCTGCCGATGTTTCAACATTTAGATTTAAAGCTTTCGTGACTGCAAGGATTCATCTTCTTTAGTTCTTTCGGTAAAGTCACGTAGAATTGAGAATAAAATAATAAATTGATCAAATAAAATAACACAATAAAATTCTCACGACGTTTCGGCCACAACACAAGCGGCCTTCATCAGGTGAAGGGACGAGACTGTCTGGAGGACAGCGCTGGAGCGAACAAACGTCGCGATCTGAGCGATCTGAGCGTGGCTTTGTTCGCTCCAGCGCTGTCCTCCAGACAGTCTGGTCCCTTCACCTGATGAAGGCCGCTTGTGTTGTGGCCGAAACGTCGTGAGAATTTTATTGTGTTATTTTATCAATTTATTATTTTATTCTCATTCTACGTGACTTTACCAAAAGAACCAAAGAAGATGTTTCAACACTAAATGCAAGCTTGGGCAAGGCGGAAAAACAACAACAACAAAATAGTCCCAGACCACACCTAAGACAACAACAAAATAGTCCCTTGATACAATTGCACGCCAATCTTGGCGCTACGGGATATTTTGTTTTAAAAATTTAAAAAATGAATATTTCCGATAAGGGAGGAAACACAATGTTTGTTTTTTTTCAAAACGTCGTCTGCTTTGGTTCAAGGCTGCCGATGAAACACTGAATGTCAAAGCCGGCTCGGAGTTTCGCTTGATTGATTGTGCTGAGACAATGCGGGGATTTGTGCTCGTGTTGAACCAATCGGCGCTGGAAAACTTCAGCACCTGCAACGAGGGAGCCCGTTTGGCTGATGGGATGCGTGAAAAAAAAACACTACATGTTTGTTTTTACGTTAAGGAACATATATGGTTTATATATATACTTGCTTGTATTTAATATGTAAATATGTAACATTTATATTAAGTAGCTTAATTAAGGGCTTTTAAACTCAATCACCAGCCCCCCCCCCCCCCTATATATATTATTCGTTCCGTAATGGTTTCGCCCGGGCCCGGTCACGTGGTCCGCCAGCTGATCACCGCCGCTGTCCCCGCTGAGTCGCCCAACCCGGGACGAAGAGGAGGACGAGGAGAGAGAGGAGGAGGAGGAGAGAGACGAGGAGAGAGGAGGAGGAGAGAGAAGGAGGAGAGAGAAGGAGAGAGAGGAGGTGGTGAGAGGAGGACAACTGCGCGAGACGGGAGGAAGAGGAGAGAGGAGGAGGCGGAGAGGACGATATACGCGGGACGGGAGGAGGAGGAGAGAGGAGGAGGAGAAAGGAGGAGGAGAGAGGAGGAGGAGGAGAAAGGACGAGGAGGAGAGGAGGAGGAGGAGGAGGAGAGAGAAGGAGAGAGGAGGAGGATCATCATCATCACGGCTTTGTTCGTCCCAGCCGCGAACCAAGAGACAGAAACGCGACGCACACAACACACACCGGCCCTGCCGCCCTGCGTCTTCATCACCATCACCGTCGCCACCACCACCACCACCAAACAACAAACACCGCCCCGTGCTGTTGGGTCGGACTGCACGGAGCGGGCCGGGCCGGGTCGAATCGGATCCGGTTGGGCGGGATCCCCCGGGGGAGGGTTTGGGTGAGCCGAGGTCGGGGCTGAGTCGGCCCGGGGATCTCGGCTGCGCGGAACGGAACGAGCTGGGCCGAGTCACGTTTGTTCGGCTCGTCGGATTGGATCTGGTGGGTGCTCGGCTCGGGTCTGGTGAGCTCGGGTCGGGTCGGGTGGGCTCGGGTCGGGTCGGGTGGGCTCGGCTCGGGTCTGGTGAGCTCGGGTCTGTTGAGCTCGGGTCGGGTCTGGTGGGCTCGACTCGGGTCTGGTGGGCTCGCCACGGGTCAGGTGTGCTCGACTCGGGTCTGGTGGGCTCGGGTCGGGTCGGGTGGGCTCGGCTCGGGTCTGGTGGGCTCGGGTCTGGTGGGCTCGGGTCTGGTGAGCTCGGCACGGGTCTGGTGGGCTCGGCACGGGTCTGGTGGGCACGGGTCTGGTGGGCTCGGGTCTGGTGGGCTCCGCTCGGGTCTGGTGGGCTCCGCTCGGGTCTGGTGGGCTCGGCACGGGTCAGGTGGGCTCGGCTCGGGTCTGGTGGGCTCGCCACGGGTCAGGTGTGCTCGGCTCGGGTCTGGTGTGCTCGACTCGGGTCTGATGGGCTCGGCTCGGGTCTGGTGGGCTCGGGTCTGGTGGGCTCGGGTCTGGTGAGCTCGGCACGGGTCTGGTGAGCTCGGCACGGGTCAGGTGGGCACGGGTCTGGTGGGCTCGGGTCTGGTGGGCTCGGGTCTGGTGAGCTCGGCACGGGTCTGGTGGGCTCGACACGGGTCAGGTGGGCTCTCCGTGTGGACCAAACGGATCGGGTGACCTCACCTACTCGGCATCGTGCGGTGCGGACGGAGTGGCCTGGGTTAGGGTGGAGGTTGAAGGTAGTGGTCATGGTGGCAGTGGTGTGGTGATGGTGTTGTTGGATTAGACAGAGTTCGTCCTCCCGGCCTTCATCGGTGCCGCTCGCTAACAGCACTTGCCCCCCCAACAGTCTGTTAAGGTTGTCTTTGGTGGTGGTGGTGGAGGGGGTTGGCCTAGTGGTTGTTGTTGATGTTGGTGGTGACTGCTGATATGTGCTGTGTGTGTGTTTGCAGGCTGAGCACTAAGTGGTTGTGACGGTGGTCGTGGTGCTCACCACCCACCCCTCGTGTGCCACAGTGCCGGCTTTCGTAGGTGCCACTCGTTCACAGCACTTGCCCCAACAGTCTGTTACAGGCTACACTGTGGGGGGGATATTTGTCTTTGTTGTGGTAGATGTGGTGATCGTGAAAACTGTCGTGTGGTAAATGTGGTTGAGGGTGAAGATGGTTGTGTGGTAGATGTGGTTGAGGGTGAAGATGGTTGTGTGGTAAATGTGGTTGAGGGTGAAGGTGGTTGTGTGGTAGATGTGGTTGAGGGTGAATGTGGTTGTGTGGTAAATGTGGTTGAGGGTGAAGGTGGTTGTGTGGTAAATGTGGTTGAGGGTGAAGGTGGTTGTGTGGTAAATGTGGTTGAGGGTGAAGGTGGTGTGTGGTAGATGTGGTTGAGGGTGAAGGTGGTTGTGTGGTAGATGTGGTTGAGGGTGAAGGTGGTTGTGTGGTAGATGTGGTTGAGAGTGAAGATGGTTGTGTGGTAGATGTGGTTGAGAGTGAAGATGGTTGTGTGGTAAATGTGGTTGAGAGTGAAGATGGTTGTGTGGTAAGAAGATGGTTGTGTGGTAGATGTGGTTGAGGGTGAAGATGGTTGTGTGGTTGAGGGTGAAGATGGTTGTGTGGTAGATGTGGTTGAGGGTGAAGATGGTTGTGTGGTAAATGTGGTTGTGTGGTAGATGTGGTTGAGGGTGAAGGTGGTTGTGTGGTAGATGTGGTTGAGGGTGAAGATGGTTGTGTGGTAGATGTGGTTGAGGGTGAAGATGGTTGTGTGGTAGATGTGGTTGAGGGTGAAGATGGTTGTGTGGTAGATGTGGGTGTGTGGTAAATGTGGTTGAGGGTGAAGGTGGTTGTGTGGTAGATGTGGTTGAGGATGAAGATGGTTGTGTGGTAAATGTGGTTGAGGGTGAAGATGGTTGTGTGGTAGATGTGGTTGAGGGTGAAAGTGGTTGTGTGGTAGATGTGGTTGAGGGTGAAGGTGGTTGTGTGGTAGATGTGGTTGAAGGTGAAGGTGGTTATGTGGTAAATGTGGTTGAGGGTGAAGGTGGTTGTGTGGTAGATGTGGTTGAAGGTGAAGGTGGTTATGTGGTAAATGTGGTTGAGGGTGAAGATGGTTGTGTGGTAGAAGTGGTTGAGGGTGAAGATGGTTGTGTGGTAGATGTGGTTGAGGGTGAAGATGGTTGTGTGGTAGATGTGGTTGAGGGTGAAGATGGTTGTGTGGTAAATGTGGTTGGGGGTGAAGGTGGTTGTGTGGTAAATGTGGTTGAGGGTGAAGATGGTTGTGTGGTAGATGTGGTTGAGGGTGAAGATGGTTGTGTGGTAGATGTAGCTGAGGGTGAAGGTGGTTGTGTGGTAGATGTGGTTGAGGGTGAAGATGGTTGTGTGGTAGATGTGGTTGAGGATGAAGATGGTTGTGTGGTAGATGTGGTTGAGGGTGAAGATGGTTTTGTGGTAGATGTGGTTGAGGATGAAGATGGTTATGTGGTAGATGTGGTTGAGGGTGAAAGTGGTTGTGTGGTAGATGTGGTTGAGGGTGAAGGTGGTTGTGTGGTTAATGTGGTTGAGGGTGAAGATGGTTGTGTGGTAGATGTGGTTGTGTGGTAGATGTAGTTGAGGGTGAAGATGGTTGTGTGGTAGATGTGGTTGAGGGTGAAGATGGTTGTGTGGTAGATGTCGTTGAGGATGAAGATGGTTGTGTGGTAGATGTGGTTGAGGGTGAAGGTGGTTGTGTGGTTGAGGTTAAAGATGATTGTGGTGGTGTGATGACGGTTGTCTAATGCGGTGGTGGTTGTGAAGGTGGTTGCAGGGATTGTGGCTCTTATTTCCATGGAGGACAGTGTAAGGTCAATGAGGCCGTAACGTGGAAGGAGGTGATGGTGAATGGTTTGAATAACGCGATCTCACCCAAAAACGTTTATTATGAATAATATTGGTCGCGAATGCCTACGTGTTAAACTAACTACCACTATTTTTACGTCACCAGGTTCAGGCCCCACTGAGCTGTGTTGCGCTCTTCTTTCCAGAAGCGACCCTGGCGATCACAAATGATAGCTCAACGAAGTGGTCTCATCATCATCATCGCGTGGACATTGATAGCAGGCGAATTCTCTAAAACGCGTGGTGACGTTGATTCTAAATGCGGAGGGAAAACACTGGAGGGTCCCGGAGAAAAATCCTCACGACCACGGGGAGAGACGCGCAAACTCCAAATATACAGCAGCAGGCATCAGGGTTGGGATAAAACCCACCACCTCCTGTATACCAGGCGAGGTAGTTAACATCTCCTAGCCACCGTGATGATGATGATGAGAGAGAGACACGCAAACTCCAAATATACAGCAGCAGGCATCAGGGTCGGGATCGAACCCACGTTATTGGAGTTGGTGGTGGTAGTGCTTAGTGGGTGCTAATTGTAAGTTGTTGGAGGTTGTTGTGGTTAGCGATTTGTTGTAGGTGGTGGTTACTGATAATTAGTGATTGCTGGTGGTGGTTGTTGATAATGGTAGCGGTTAGTGAATGGTGGTGTTTGGGAATTGTTGGAGGTGGTGGTTAGCGATGGTTAATGGTTGTCGTTTTTAGTGGTTGATAGCGGTGGTGATTATTGGCGTGTGGCGGTTTGTGGTGTGTAGTTGATTGTGGTTAGCGGTTGATGGTGTTGGTTGTGGTAGTTGTTGGAGGTGGTGATAGTTAATGGAGGTGTTGATGGTGAGTGGTCGATGGTAATTCTGGTTACTGGTTGGTTGTGGTTGTTGTGCTGTGTGGTTGTGATGGTTTTGGAGGCCATGGCGAGCAATAGTGGTTGTTGTGTTTGCGCTCAACAACCACTAGGATAGAGGAGGAGGAGGGGGGGAATGGTGGAGACTGGATCGTGTGTGCTGGCAGTTAGTGGTGGTTGTTGATGGTTGTCGTGGTTGTGCTGCAGGGACTGGATCGTGCGTGCTGGCGGTTAGTGGTGGTTGTTGATGGTTGTCGTGGTTGTGCTGCAGGGAGGAGTGTGGATCTGGAGGAGGAGTGTGGAGTTGTATCAGCTGATGATGGTTGTTGGAGGAGGTTCGTGAATGACTCTGCGGGGGAGTTGGGAGCAGTCGCCCCCCTCCCAGCAACAATGGAGGGCAGAGGAGTGACGCTTGCAACAACGAGCGGAGTGCCGGGTGGCTCAAGCGCGGGGAGTTGGCACAGTGGGGAGCACAGGTGGTGGCATCTGCCAGCCATCTCAGTCGGTCAATTCATGGCACCTGCTGGGTCTGTTCCGTGACCTCCTGCCAGCGGGCCTTCGACACTTCACGCGGCCTCAAAGTGCACCTGGCCTGGCACCGGCACTTAGTGGTGAACGGCGGTTATGTTGTGTTGCGGTTGTGCTGCGTGGCGGTGGAGGTCATTGCCGATGCAGCGTCGTACGTGCTTGGTGATGGTTAGTCGTCGTTCGGTGGTTGACGTTTGCGGTTGTGGCGGTTGTGCTGCAGGGACGAGGAGGAGGAGGAGGAGGGTGACGAGGAGATGGCGGACGCGGCTTCGTACGTGCTGATGCAGGCCGAGAACGGAAGCCTCGTCAGGGTGGAGCACAACCGCAAGAAGAGGCAGTTCTTCATTCGCCTCAATGGTGAGGCCTGCGCACTCATTCCCTGTCATTCAGTCATTCATTGACTTTCACTCATGCCGGTCATTCGGTCGCTTATTCCGTCGCTTGTCAAACTCGGTCAACGGGTCACCCGTTCGCACGGCGTTCACTCGCGCCTTTTCTCACTCGTCGCACTCGTTCGTGAAGTCGCTCGGCATTTTCGCTCACCCGCACTTTCGCGCATTTATTCACTTAATTAATTCAGTAATTTGTCTCATTGAGCCTATTCATTGATTCAGTCACTCGGTCACTTAGTCCGATTTCCGTACAGCCGATTAGCGCGATTGCCTACGTACGATGCGAAAGAAGTTCAACACACGTACACGCTACTATATACTACACTACAATATACACTACTATGCACTATACTACTGTACACTTCGATTAGCACGCTTAGCTACATGCGATGCGAAAGAAGTTCAACACACGTACACACTACTATATACTACACTACTATTCACTACTATGCACTATACTACTGTACACTTTGATTAGCACGCTTAGCTATGTACGATGCGAAAGAAGTTCAACATACATACACACCACTATACAGTGCACTACTATGCACTATAACACTACACTACTATACACTACAGCACTATATGCTGATTAGAACGGTTGGCTATGTACGGTGCGAAAGAAGTTAAACATAAATCCGTACTATGATACACTACACACTACACTACTATACACTCCGATTAGCACGGTTGGCTACGTACGATGTGAAGAAGTTCAACATACGTACACACCACTATACGCTGCACGACTATACTACTCTACACTACTATACACTACACGAAACACATTACACTATTATACACTACTATACACAATGCACTACTATACACTACACACGACTATACATGACTATACACTACACTACTATACACTACACGAAACACATTACACTATTATACACTACTATACACAATGCACTACTATACACTACACACGACTATACATGACTATACACTACATTACTATACACTACACTATACACTACACTACTATACACTACACTATACACTACACTATACACTACACTACTATACACTACACTACTATACACTCCACCATATACTCATCGTGAAACTGCTGCTCGTGTCGCGGGGGCGTGGCGCCTTGTGCGCACCTCTGATGCAACCCTGCGGAGGCAAGGGGGTTAGTGGATCACAGCGAGACCTCCATCCTCGCCGGCGCGTTGGGCCCTGTGGCCAAGGGGCCAATCGATACGTGGGGATTTCTCGGTTGGATGGTGGTGGGAGCCGGGTTCTCAGCGTTTTCCCCGCGGAAACAAACACACAACACATCCATCGCAAAGGGGGATGTGGTCGGGGCGGGCGGGCGGCCGGTGGCTCAGAAGGGGCAGGGAAGGCGGGAGGGAGCTGGCGCCGGCTGAGGCGGGGGGGGGGGGGCTTGCGCCTCTGCCGCCCTACGTCGTAACGAAGCTGCGTTCTCAAGCGCGGCGAGGCGGTCGCCATTGAATTACGGAATCCATGCGTTGGCGTCGTTTTTCTCCCCCTCCTCCCCCCCCTCCTCCCTGCCGTTGAAATGCATTTGTGTGCAAGGTGAGGGGAATGTGGGGGGAGGAGGGGCAGAGTGGTTGGGCTCTCAGTTGTACCTCCGACACTGCCCAGTCATCTCCACCACAGGGGGGCGCACCGTTTGGAGAAGGCTCTTGAAACTATTTTTTTTATTTTATTTTACCAGGTAAGGCCCCGCTGAGCTAGTTCCTTTTTCAGAAGCGACCCGGCTGCAATTGACGACTCAACGAAGTGGCTCGCGTGCGTTTCTGTCCGGGTCCTCAGGGGAAAACCCTGAGGACCCGGACAGAAACGCACGCGAACACGAGGAGAGACACGCAAACTCCAAATCTACAGCAGCAGGCGTCGGGCTTTGGATCGAACCCACGACCTCCTGTATACCAGGCGAGGTAGTTAACATGTCGCCGCTGTGGTTGGCCCTAAGGTTCGTGGAGCCAAACTGCGTCTTTGTCCGAATCCTTGGGCTTCCGCCCCCATCGTCAGGTCGTTCGGTGGCCGCCGTGACTTGGATCCCTCCCCGCTGTGAAGGTGGCGAAGCACAGTGTGGGTTGCAAAGGCTAAAGACCGTGCCTGGTGCCTCTGCTGTGCCCTCCAGCTGGCGGGCACCGGAGAACTAAAGGGGAGAGGCGGCCTGGGCTCTGCGCTCTTCTGCCGCTACTGCCGTGGACGCTTGCTCTGATATTCACCCCTTGATTCCTCCACTTCCTCGATTGCGCCACGCCCGTTGAGGACTCGGTCTGCCAGACTGACCGTCTACCCAGGGGTGCCACGGTGGCGAGATGTTGACTTCCTGGCCTGGTGTGTGGAGGAGGTCGCGGGTTCGATCCCGACTTTTTGTGTGTGTGCATGTTGATCTTTTTTCGCACCGCACGTAACCAACTGTGCTTATTGGAGGTGCGCGACCCTGACGCCGTATATATTTGGAGTTTTCGTGCCTCTCTCTCTCCCCGTGGTCGCGTGCATTTTTCTGCGGGTCCTCCGGTTTTTCCGTCCGCATTAAGAATCGACGTGCTTTGAGAGTATTTGCCTGCTATGCATTTCCACGCGATGATAATCCACTTCGTTGAGCTGTCACTTGTGGCCTTGCCTGGTAAAATAAAATAATGGTCCTTTTCCGTCCCATCCACATCGCGTTCGGAGTTGCTCGCTATCAGCACTCGCCCCAACAGCCTGTGTAGGCTCCACGGGGGGAAGGGGGGGTGGGGAGGATCTTCACCTTTGTGCCGCACAGGTTACAGTGACCGGGCCGTGCTGCTCTACGAGTACATCGGCAAGAAGACGGTGGACCTGCAGCACACCGAGGTGCCGGACGGCTACCGAGGGCGCGGCATCGCACGCCTGCTCGCCAAGGTGCCCCGGCACAACGGCGCTTAACCCTCTCTCTCTCTGTCTCCATCTCCCGGTGAACCCACACGGCTGTCCCGGTGAACCCACACGGCTGTCACGGTGAAACCAACACGTCTCTCACATTTTACTCACCCAGCAAGCTGACCCAAAACTCAATGGTGAACCATGCGTGGATCATGGTATCGACTATGAAAGCCGTCCGCCGTGGTGGTGAGATGTTAACTACCTCGCCTGGTATACAGGAGATCGTGGGTTCGATCCCGACCCTGACGCCTGCTGCTGTATATTTGGAGTTTGCGTTTCTCTCCGTGGTGAGATGTTAACTACCTCGCCTGGTATACAGGAGGTCGTGGGTTCGATCCCAACCCTGACGCCTGCTGCTGTATATTTGGAATTTGCATGCTCTCACTCCACGTGGTCGGATGTATTTTTATCCTGGTGCCTCCGTAATTTTTTCCCTCCATTTAGAATTGACATGCTCTAAATTTGCAAGCGATGATGATAATCCACTTGGTTGGCCAGGTCGCTTCTGACAAAATTGCTACGCAGCTCCGTGGGGCCTCACCTGGTGAAATAAAATAAAAAAGTTTAGTTTTAAGCTTGAAATGTATTAATGTATAGAGCACTTGCCCGTTACCGGGTTACACGTGGGATCTGTGTGGATCTTTCCTCTTGTCACCCCACCCCTCCCACCCGTCCGTGCCGCCACCCCCACCGCCTCACCTCTTACCCAAGGCCTCCATGGACTTCGTGGTGGAGGAGGACCTGAAGGCGCACATCACGTGCTGGTACATCCAGAAGTTCATCAAGGACAACCCCTTACCTCAGTACCTGCAGCGGGTGCAGAACTGACGCCGCCATCGCCTCTTCCTCCCACCGCCTCGTCGCCCACGGCATCCCCCCCCCCCCCTTCCCTCGCCTCCACCGGGGCAACGGTAACCCGGCAACGCCGACGGTGCCCGGCCGCGTCGCCCTGGTTAGCACGTCCGGTCCTCCGGTGGGCGGCGGTGAAGGGCGGCGGGGGTCGGGTGGTGGTGGTGGTGGGGGGGGGGAGCTGCCATCTCCTCGCCGGCGATGGTGCCCGAGCGTTTGCCGGGAGACGCGTGGGACTTGTGCCGCGCGTGCGATGGACGGCCCCTGCCGCCGCCGCTGCCGAGGCGGAAAAGGCGGCGAGGACGCAGGGGGGTGGTGTGGTTCCCGAACTGTTCGGCGGTGGCGGCGGCGCTCGAGAGAGAACTTTGGGAAGCGCGCGGTGGCACGGTCGTTGAGGAGGAGTGCCCACCGTAGCCACACGACGGGCGGAAGGCACGGGGGCGGATGAACTTGACACCGGACGACGACGACGACGACGACGCTGCAGCCGTTTTTATTCCCGCCGCTTCGGCATCCCGGTTTCACCGCGCCGGGGGACGTCGCGGGCGCGAGGGCCCGCGGTGCGATTGCCCGGTTGCCCGCGTTGTCACGGAGAGCGGTGATCCATGGAGGGTTGTGCGTAGGCCCTCCCGGGGGGGGGGGGGGGCAATGCTGTCCATAACGAGACCGAGTGTAGCGAGTCATTGGATCGGGCAGAGTGATTGATTGGCCTGTAAAAGAAAAGTTTTTGGGGTTGTGCAGAGAGACATCGAGCGAAGGATGCGTCACGGCACTGGACAGAGAGTCATTTATCTGCGCAGGGCCATATAGCTGGATGGGGCTGGGTAGATGGTCATTGGACTGGAGAGACAGTTATTGGGGTGGGCAGTTATTGTACCGGGTGGAGAGTGTTTGGATGGGTAAGAGAGTCGTTGGTTTTAGGAACACATCATGGGACTGTGCAGAGACTCATTTGGCTGTGCAGTCATTGGGCTAAGTAGAAATTGATTGGGGAAAAGTTCAGTGGAGGGAGTCACTGGGTAGAGAAGTCACTGGGTAGAGAAGTCACGGAGCCTGGTAAAGATCTTCTTGGTTCTTTCGGTAAAGTCACGTAGAATGGAAATAAAAAAATAAAACATAATCAAATAAAATTCTCACGACGTTTTGCCACAACACAAGCAGCCTTCTTCAGGTGAAGGAACAGAACTGTCGGGATGACAGCGCTTCAATGAACAATGCTAAGCTTGGCAGCGTCGTTTAAGCTGGGTGGGAGGAGCAGAGCGCCTTGACAAAGGAGTTTACATATCAACAGAAGAATTTAGCATTGAAGTAGCTGTGTTAATGTGTTGGATTAGCAGGGTGTTAAAGTCAGAAATTAGCATGTAACTGGGAGATTAGCATGATGTTAGTGTGAGGGATTAGCATGTAACTGGTCACGGAAGTAGCTATGTTAAAGTCAGAGTTTACATATCAACAGAGGCATTTAGTATATTGACGCTAAAGAACTGCAACTACCCAACTATCATACAATAAGCCGATGTGAAAGAACTACGTGTAAACTACATCAATATAATAAATGTACTCAATATATTCTTCAATAGGTTGAGCTATTAACATAAAGGTGTAAAGATGTCGTGGTGTCTGGTTAGAAAGTCCGGTGGACTAGGTAAACGGCATCGTGGTGTCATGCAACTGGGCGAAGTGATTCGTCAAGGGGCCGGGTAGCGAATCGTTGGGTTGAGTCGCGCGTCATCAGACCGGGTCGCGAGTCTTTTTGGCTGCACAAAGACAAAGATCCCCGCCCCGTGTATCCTGCAAACAGACTGTTGGGGCAAGTGCGGTTAGCGAGTAGCGGCACCTACGAAGGCCGGCACGGCGCACGAAGGGGGTGGGTGGCCAACGCCACGCCCGGCCGCTTTTGTCTCCCCGGTGGCGATGTTTACGGACCGCACCAGGTACTCATTCGAGGCCGAGTCGACCTAGAGGGAGACCCCGGACCGGTTCAGATAATCGTCACCGGTGTTGGCCGTGAGCGGTAATCGAACTTGGGCCACAGGGAGTTCGTAGTGCGGCTGCGCTACCGCTCCCCGTTTCGGGCTGCAAATGGCAGGCCGCGCCCGCGAGTTCTGCTGGAGCCAGGAGGAGTTTGAATTTGGAGGGCAAGGCCATAAAATCACTGGAGCTTCTGTGGGCTCTTGAGCTCGACACTATCGCGCGCGCTCTCTCTCTGTCTCTCGCGCTCCTCACTCTACCATCACAATCTCCGGGTTTATTTTAATGGTTGTGCCCAAAACCCCCGTTTGACGTCGTTATTACTGTCGCGAGCATGGTCCAAGCTTCGCATCCCCCCCCCCCACCCTCCCTCTGCCATCCTCGACTTAGTGCCTTAGTTTTTATTTATTGTCTTAGGTAGCTAGTATGTGTCCGTGTGTGTCTGTGAGTCCGTGTGTGTCCGTTTACGCGCGCACGTAAGTCCGTGCGTGCGCGTGTGTCCGCGCATCTGTAAGTCCGCGTGTCCGTGCGCGCGCGTGTTTTCCGTGTTGGATTTGTTGTGGTGCTATTTAGATTTTTTATTATTTTTTACGAGCATTGTAGTCTTTCTGGTCTGTAACCGTATTCGATGGCACGTCGTCGTCGTCGTTGTTGTAGTTCCCAAGCTTTTATTATTTGAACGTCCGCCCCGATCGTCACACCGGCGTCCACAGATCTGGCGGGTGCGAGAGGTGGGGGAGCGGCGTGTAACGCTGCAAACTCCACGGCGGGGAAACGCGATTTTCGGAGAGACGCAAAGTTCTCCCCGGGCGGAGACGACTTCCCGGAGAGACGTTTCGTCGAGTTGGGCCGCGAGCGACGGTTTGGCGTGGCCGCGCCGCGCCGCACGGCCATCCCCGGCGGCAGTCACACCGCGGTGTGATCGTCGCCGGGAGAAAATCGATTCCAAAAATGGCTTTTGACGCAGCGGCGAACGACAGCGGCCTCCGTGGTTTGTGCGGTGCGTACGATTGGATTGCATCCATATACGTGCGTATGTACGTTGAACTTCTTTCGCACCGTACGTAGCCAGTCGTGCTAACCGTAGGTGCAATGGAAGGACAACAGACTAAACACAAAAAAGCACTTGGAAAGAAATTAGTTTTCAATCTCGACGATTTTAAAGTTTCATAGCTCCAGCAGCGCATCTGAATATCGGAAGGAAGGGCGTTTCCAGACGGCCACAGAAGCGCATCTGAAAGCGCCGCGCGTTGCGTTGACCACCGCCTTTGCTCGATGGCTTAGCCAAAAGCCGCTTGCGAGGATGACCGGAGTTTGCGTGATGATGGTTTATGCTTCTTGACGAGATCAGCGGCAAGGTATTGTGGTTCATTTGTGGCGAGCACCTTGTGTGTGTGTGTATAAGGAGTGCGATGGATCAAAGCATCACTACACCCCTATGTTATTGGTATAAATTAAATGTATTTTATTTAGGCTACACCGGAGACTTCTACTATCAATCGTGCGCAGGGCGATGGGCAAGTTGGTACATCGCAGGACCGTGTGGGGACGGTCGTCGTCCAGCAGTGGATTGATCATGGCTGATGATATTGATGATGATGGTGATGATGGTTTGTCAGTGGAAGATGGGTCTAGCCGGGCTCAGCGGAGGGGATGTAGGCGGGCATGTTTCCAGAATTGGAATCTTTGTTGAGACCAGAGGAATCCGATGAGCTACAAAGCTTAAATTTTTTGTTTTTTTATTACCTATCACAGATGCCCATCGACGGGGTGAGAGCGGTCCGACCGCTGCACCAGCGGCAGGGGAAACCTTTCGTCCGTGTCGTGGGCAACAATGGGGGCCCTTGAGCTTTTGTTGCAGAACGCGCGTAAGGATCCCGCACCCACCCATTAGCAAGGTTTGGCTACGTGCGGTGCGAAAGAAGTTCAACGTGCAGGAGGGGGGCGTGGGTTCGATCCCAGACCCCGACGCCTGTACGTGTGAAGTTTGCATATCTCTCTCTCTGCCCCTCTCTCCCCGTGGTTCACACGCAAAGAGTCGTTTCGTTTTTGGACATCAACCCCCCCCCCCCTCCAGCCCACAAGCCATTTCGGAGACTTCAGCGCACTCCGGCTTCCGTCTTACACCCGTGTGCAGGTCAAGCACACGTGCAGCCCTTGGGACACTCCACCGCCGGACGGGCGGTTCGCCGCGCCACTCCGCGCCGGTCGCGCGCGTGCCAGTCGGCGCCGGGTCAGCGCGTGGCGTCGGTGAGGTGGCGGTGGTGGCGGCGCTGCCGCCACCGGCGGCGAGGGGGGGAGCGTAGACGCGGGAGCGTGGAAGTTGAGTACACTGACGACAACGGACGACGACAACGGACGACGACGGGATCTTCTGCGAGGGCGCCCTTCCGGGGCGTCGCGCTGGCTCGGGGAAGGGGACCGGGCTTTGGCTTTGGAGAGCCGACGCGACGGGGTGGGCGAGTTCGGAGTTGCGGGCGAATCGGCGGCCAGCGGCATTGCGGCGGGGGGGGGGGGGCGGGGGGGGTTCGTCTTTGTTGTGCTCGTGATCGTGCCGTGCGCCGTGCGTGTAATCGGGGGTGGGAGGGGGGGCGGTGGTGGGGGGCAAATGGGAGGTGGAATGGGGGGGGGGGGGGGTGGGCGGTGAGTTTTAAAGAGGTGGAGGATCGAGATGGGGGGGTAAGTGGTAACGCTGGGGTCGTGTTTGCGGTGTCTTGGAGTGGAGTGCGTTGGTGCTAAGGGAGGATCGTTGTCCAGGAGATAAATAACGAGTTTGACCGTGCGTGCGACCTCGCCTCATTTCAACCCTTTCCCGTTCCGCTGACGTACGTGAACATCGTCACGTTTTATTCAAAATGCCGTTCCGGTGACGTGCGTGCGCGTGCGTGTACGTCCTCGGAACGGAAACGGATGACAAAATAAAATAACTTCATCGGTGACGAGGCTCCCACAAGGCCACGCGGGGAGGGGCGTGCGGGCACAGCGTTGGCGCCAAGCTGTCGTAGAGAGTGCCACGGTCGCGTCGTCACGGTTCTCTGCGGCAACGTCTTTTAAAAAAACAACGTCGCCGCTGCTGTGCCTCTCTAAATAAAAGTCACGGCGAGCCGCTCGCGCGTTCCCGAGATTCGGCGACTTGCAGACAGTCCCGGAATGGCAAAGGGGTTTAATAAATCGTGATCACGACTATTTGACCGGTTGTCCGTAACACGTGCAGCCCATCGTCCCGCCTGGTTCGCTAGAATAAGGAACACTGCTGTGGGGGAAGGTCGACTGTCTTGTAGTTTTTTTTTTAATGCTCGTTCTCCCGTCATAGGAATGTGGAATTTCCAACACCGCTTCACGGCTGTAATACGACAATTAGCACGGTTGGCTAAGTACGGTGCGAAAGAAGTTCTCAGTACACACACACACACAGACTCCCATAGTCACTCACTCACTCACCTACCCTCCAATTAGCACGGTTAGCTACGTATGGTTGCGAAAGAAGTTCAACACACGTACATCAGAACAGGAAGTCATCGTGGGTCATTTTGGCCTCCGCCAATGCTAGGACTTGAAACGTTTTAAGAGACATCGCACGTTTTCACTGTCCTGCGGTCGCTCCGCGCGTCTTCGCGCGTCGCACGCTGCCTCCTGCCCGAGAACGGATGGGGAGGGCGAGTCGCGTATCCGTGCATCCGATGTTGAGAGTTCGCTTGGGAGTTGCCGTCGTGAAGTGCGACGACGACGACGACGACGACCCCGAGAGCGGACCAGACGCGCGTTCGGCTCCCCTCTCCGATTTGTCGCGGCTGACTACGTACCGTGCGGAAGAAGGTTCTACCCACGCACGCACGTACGAGCGGCGACGTCACACGGTGGCGATGGCGTCGTGGTCGCGGGTTAAGCTGCTCTGAAAATAAAATAAAAACACCGTATGCAATGGCAAGTGTTCTTCGGTCGTTATCACTCGGCCAACCGCACGCTCCTATCCCGGGTGCAACGCGGCATCTGCGTATCCCACTCGCCGAGGACGAGCTCTGGGCGGATATGTGAACATCGGATATGTGAACGTGAGCCAGTATTTCGGGCACAGTGTTAAGACCGCATCTCATTTCTAGGCAGATCAGCCTCCGATGTAAAAATCTTTTTTCCCTTTTCCCATTCCAATTATTTCAAGCGTACGTCATCGGAACATAATCGGAAGGAAAACTAAAGTGAAGTGACTTTATCGGGAGGGCGTGTGGGCACAGTCTGGCGCCAGCTATCTTCTAGTGGCGGTGCTGCTGCTGCGCCTCTCAACAATAAAATTAACGCCGAATTACTCGCACGTTGCGAGATTTGTTAGTGAACGGGGGACACCCACCCACCCTGCAACCTCCAGACAGTCTTGGAACGGGAAGGGGGTTCATATTTTTAATAATAAGCGTGCAGTCTGGCAGCGGCCATCGTTTTCAGGGCCTCGCGATGACGAACGATTCAGAAACTCGGGGTCAATGACGAGTGAAACGGAGCAAAATCTCCACAATATTCATTTTGTTTGGGTTACATCGCGTAAATATAAATGTGTCGTTTAAACCCGCCACCACCCGACACAGACAGTTATTAAGGCTTGTCACGTAAACAAAACGTGGCCAATTCGTCATTGGCACAGCACACCGGTTGTGTGTTGGAGAGCAAATGCACAACATTTACAGCCCGAGTACGACGTTTCGCCAATAATTACAACGGGCATCATCAGGCGACAGCCAGATTTGTGGAGACATCCTTCTTCTGTTTCGATCCAACCGGCAATGGATACCCATTGTAATTTATACGCATTCAATAATTCACCCCCCCCCACAACCCCGTTGCACGTGAAAGGCCTCGCAAGTGACGTCATCACATCTACCCCTCTATTTAAGGAACGAAACAGGAGGATTTCTCCACAAATCTGATGCCGGTTGCAATTACTGGCGAAACATCGTACTCGGGCTGTAAATGTTGTGGATTTGCTCTCCAACACACAACCGGTGGTGCTGTATTCATAGCGAATTGACCACGTTCTGTTTACGTGACAAACCTTACCAATTTGGCTGTGTCGGGTGGTGGCGGGTTTAACAAAACATTTATATATTTATGCGATCTATCCCCCCAAAAAAACCTACATTATGAACGATATTGGTCGCGAAAGCGTACGTGTTAAACGGAAACAAAAGCTGACACGTTTTGTGCACCCGCGCGCGATCAGGCTACGCGTCGCCTGTGACACGGTATGTAACCACGGTCCGCGGGGAATGTCCACGTTTTGTCGTTTGCCCGTAGACCAATGTGTATTTTTTTTGCTATTTTGTGTGTCCAAAACAAAACGAAAAGAACGATTAAAAGTTTCTGTGTACAATGCCGGTCCGTTTGAAAATTTGCTCCGTTGAAGTCGCGAATGTCAGTGTCGCCCCTCCACCTTTTTTTTTCGTTTGATCCGAGAAACTCCTCGACATGTTCGCCGATAATAACATTCCTGCGACGGGTAACGTTGTGGCCAACGGGCCTTCTCCAGGGAGCACCAGCTGACCAAAGATGTCTTTGCGAGTTTGTTCTTCGTGCACCGCGGCCGAAGAAGTACGACCGAATAAGTCGAGGATCGCTTTTGTTGCTTCTGCTCTCACTCTGGTCCATCGCCTTGCTCGTTCCAGTAGCCCGACGGTTAACATTTGCGAACGTTTAACTTTTTTCGCACCGTACGTAGCCCAACCGTTACTTAGTCGGAGGTGCGGCGCGGACGGGTGGGTGGGAAGGACAACAAACTAAACACAAAGAGTAGTTTCTAAAGAAAGAACTTTTCAATCGAGATTTAAAAGTGCATAGCTCCCATTGGCTTCCTCATATCGGAAGAGCGTTACAGACGGCTGCAGAAGCTGCTTCGCAACTGCCAGGTCCAGGTTAGCGGCTCTTTTGGTGTAGGGGCTTTTTTGTTAGCGTGGCACCCAAACTGTGGACCGCCTCGCCACTTGCAATCGGGCAGTCGGAGTCGGTAGATAGATTCAAGTCTGCTTAGAAAACCCCAGCTCCTTAAAGTGGCCTTCTTCCCTCTCTCGTTTGGTCGGTTTCCCCCCCCCCCCCCCCGGTTCTGTGTTTTTGTTTCCTGCCTTTCATGCATTGCGATCCTAGGATGCAATGCGCATTGTACATTTGAATTATTAAGCGCATCTGAAAGTTGCGCGATGGAGTGACCGTACGTCAGTGTGATGGAGTGTCAGTACGTCAATGTGATGGAGTGTCAGTACGTCAGTGTGATGGAGTGACCGTACGTCAGTGCGATGGAGTGTCCATCCATGTTCGACGGACGGCCACTCCACCGCGCAACTTTCAGATGGGCTTCATAATAATTATTCAAGTGTACAATGCGCATTGCATCCTCGGATCCCAATGCATTAAATGCAGGAAACAAACAGCCAGGGGTGGGGGGTGGGGGCAACCGACCAAACGAGAGAGGGAAGGCCACTTTACAGAGATGGGGTTTTGAAAGCAGACTTGGTTGTTTCCTGCATTTCATGCATTGCACATGTTCGATGGTCAGCCGAGTGCCACGGCGAGGGTGACCCGGAGTTTGCGTGACCGTCTATACCCCCCGACGAGGTCAGCAAGGTAACGTAGAGTGTAATGCATTTACCTTTTTATCGATCCACACAATTGGGTACAATCGTAAATGCAGCTTGTAAGAGGCCGCACAGTATTCTCTCTGTAAGAGGTTTCTGGGTTAGATCGCATGTGTCGTTAAAACCCGCCACCACCCGACACGGCCAAATGGTAAGGGTTGTCACGTAAACAGAACGTGGCCAATTCGTCAACTAGTACAGCACACCGGTTGTGTAGGAGAGCCAAGCCACGACATTTACAAATGAGTACGACGTTTCGCCAGCAATTACAACCCTTACTAGTTTGCTGTGTCGGGTGGTTGGCGGGGTTTTAACGACACATTTATATGTTTACGCGATCCAACCCAAAAACCTCTTATGGATGATATTGGTCGCAAAAGCTGACTACGTGTTAAGTATTCTCTCTCGTGGAATGACTCGAGCGAGGTACAGAGGGACCACCGCCGAGCGGGAGGACAGAGTTGGCGCTACCAACAGTTGAAGCAATTGGCGGGACCCCGGGGTCCCATCACTGCCCCGGGGTGGGAAAGACCGCGTAGTGTCAATCGATTGGCCTCGTCCAGAGCTACTCGGGGCACTAAGTTTCGTCAAAAGTTGAAAAATTACATAAACACGTTAAATTCACTGCGCGGGGGGCGGCGGGCTCGCCTTGGCAAAGAAGCTGAGGATCGACGGCTGACCGGAGGGCGTCGTCGCCGCGCGTGACTGCGGCGGACGCCCCCCAGGGCTTGCGTTTGGCCGGTGGGGTGGCGCCCATCGTGTCGATCGCCGCCTGCTGGCGCTTGTTGGCGCGAGTCTGGGCGGGCGGCGCGTTGCTGTCGGGATCACGAGTGGGCAGACTGAAAAATAATAATTATTGACCTGATTTTTGCGGGACCCAGGGTCCCGCCAAATGATTCAATTGCCAAAGGATCTGTGGGCCCTCTCTATATTAAAGTTGTCAACAACCTCATGAGCGTTTAAATGTGGGAAGAAACCTGCCCGTGGGGAGTGGTAGCTAAGTAATCATGCGATTAGCATGCTCGCGGCCAACACCGGTGACGATTATCTGAACCGGTCCTAAACCTCCCCTAGGTCGACTCGGCCTCAAATGAATAACAAAGGGGAGCGGGTATGGTGTTGGCCACCCACGGGGTTGTGCCGCGCCGGTCTTCATCAGTGCTCACGAACAGCACTTGCCCCAAAAATCTTAAGGCTACATACACAGAGAAAGGTCTTTGTCTAGGCAACTGGAGCACTCAAACCAGTGGTAAGTTTTGGCTGAACTGCCATATGGTGGTAATCCAGGGTATGGCAATTCCTTGATAACCTGCAATCCACCAACCCTCTCTACTTGCTGCCTCCAGTGCTGGATTTGCACGTGCCTTAAAACGTGATGCACTAAATCATGTTAAACACATAGTAGGCTTTCACGACTAATTCTAGATTTAAAGCTTTCGCGACTGCTAGGATCCATACTCTTTGGTTCTATTGGGTAAAGTCACGACTAATATTCATAAAAGGGATTTTTTTGGGGGGGTTAGATATATGGGTCAACCCGCCGCAGCCAATTAGAATGTTTCAACACTTGAACAAAAAACGTGCCAGTTACTACGGCACTAACCGGTGTTGGGGGAGTAAATTCACATTTACAATCCAAGTACTGTGACGTTTTGCCGAGGATTACAACCAGCTTCGTCAGGCAATTTGCCAGAATTGTGAAGAAGTTTCCCTGTTTACTGCTGGATAGAGATGGGGGGGGGGGGGGGGGTTTAGGAAACTACCTCCCCCCTTTCCTTTCAACTGGACGTAAAAATCAAAGCGGCGAGGTGTGGGGAGCAGGTCCATTGTGCCAACAGTAACGTCACTCGGGACCAAAATGAAAACAAAATGACAGCTTTCTCTGCGCGTCTTTCCAGTAGTTTTATTATAAAAGCTTACAATGAATAAAACGCATCGTTACAAAGGCTTACGATGAAATCATTGATCCAAGAGTCCAAAACCAAATAAGTTGAAATTTTAAGGAAAAACAATATAACCCTACACTCTGTTACACATACACTCATTCACCTGCTGGCTTCCAAAGCGAAACCAAATTAAGAAGGCCCAGTGCGTCTCCCACAGAACGAACGAGGGACATTACATCAACGGAAATATAACAAGCGACAGCCGATTGGCTCTGCTGGTCGTAGCACGAACCGGGTTCAGGCCCCCTTGTTCGCCAATTTCAAGAGGCCCTCTGCAAAGAAAACACAGGGGCAGCAACACAACAAAGTGGAACCCACACAGGTGAGGCATGCAGCAACCTTCAGCAAATTGACAAAATCACGAGGTTTTTTTTTTTAATAGTGAAATTTTTATTGGGTGGTGGGGGGCCTGTCCAATTACCCCCCCCCCCCCCCCACCTCCTGGGCACCACTGATCCCAGCCGTTAAGGGTGCCACGGTGGCTAAGAGATGTTAACTACCTCGCCTTGTATACAAGATGTCGTGGGTTTGATTTTAACATTGACATCTGTATATTTGGAGTTTGCATGTTCTCTCTCACTCTTCCCGTGGCCGCGTGGATTTTTCTCCGGGTCCTCCGGTTTCCCTCCCTCCACATTCAGAAAATTAACATCACGCATTTTTAGACTATACAGCTGCTGCTATAAATTTTTTGCACACGGCGATGGGCTTCTTCGTTGAGCTCGCATACCGCTGCGGGGAGGCGACCGCCTCACACGAGCAGCCTCTCGATGCTCTGCTGCGCCGCCTGGATCTGCGGCTTGAGCTGCGAGCCCTCCTTGATGGTGACGGAGCAGGCGACGACGGGGCGCGAGACGCCGCACGCGCGGCCCAGCGCCTGCTTGGAGCGCACGAACACGTACGGCACGTTCTTGTCCTCGCACAGCAGCGGCAGGTGCAGGATGATCTCCAGCGGCTCCGCGTCGGCCGCCATCACGATGAACTCGGACGTGCCGCGGTTCAGTGTCTTGGTGGCTGCGTGCGGGCGGGATGAGGGAGCGAGGAGGAAAGCGAGAGAGAGGCAGAGGGGTTAGAAGAGGAGGGTGAAAGCAGTAAGGCAGGGTGGAGGAAAGGAGGTAGGGGAAGGCGAGGGTGTATGTAGTGGGGGGGGGGGGTGGGAATAAGTTTGGTGGAATCGAATTGGGAGTCCAAATTGTGACAATCTCTCAAAGTGTGCGAATCAGATTATTCATTGTTATATTAAAATGTATTACGTAACGTAGCGAGTGGCACACCCTGCAAGCTTTCATTATTTTTATAATGATGACGGTTCACGAGCCTTGTACCGATCGGCTTTTAGGTTCAAGGTGGTTTTGCCGCATCGCCTCAAAATAGTAAAAAAATACTTTATGGCCACGGGTCCGTCAATCCATCCTCGGATAAAATGCCACGCCAGTCGCGGGGGAGGGGGGCGTCTGACCATACTTCACCCTGCTGGTCAAGCGTGGCTTGGTAAAGATTGAGGGAGCAGGTGACCCCAGGAGCAGTTCAGATTTCACCTGTGACCGACGATGGCCATCGCGAGCGATCGAACTCCCATCGCACAAGCCCCACCACACTGCTATTCAAAATGCTCACCATGAACACACGTGTTATGTTAGAACACACGTGTTCTAACATGACATGCTCCGCAGGTACAATGTTAATCGATATTGATACCTGTCAACCCCTTATCAGTTCTCTTCCTTATTACAGACCTTACTGGTCACCACGTGCCCCTTATAAATACCAACGTTTGTCCTACAAAGTCCCATCACAAGGGAGAAACGCAAAGAAATATTTTTGCCCGTATTGAAACGGCTGTATGGCGTATGGACCTGAAAATTAAATTTCCCTGTACAATAATACGGGCAGGCCGTATGGGTTGACAGGTATGGTATAGTAGTGTAATGTATATTAAACCTGTCAACCCCTTAGTGCCCCCTACCTTATTACAGACCAATTCAGACCTTACTGGTCACCCCGTGTCCCTTATGAATCCCAACGTTCATCTTACAAAGTCCCATCCCGTATTGAAACAGCTGCACACCGTATGGGCCTAAAAACTCAATTTTCCTGCACAAGAATACGGGTCGACCGTATGGGTTGACAGGTATGGATATTGTGTATATATTTTGTATGGATAGTGTGTGTATATATAGTGTATACGTATATCGTGTACATGTATATAGTGTATACGTATACAGTGTATACATATACACAGTATCCCCTTTGTTACTCATGAGGGATACGTTCCGGAGATTCTCGTGAATAGCAAATTTTGCGGATAAATACAAAAGCTATTAAACACTTGAAAATGTTAACAATATGTTTTTGTTAAAATAAACAAAATAAATAATTTAAGGATAACCTTACCTTAAACTACGATAATACTGCCCTCTCATCCCCTCTCATCCCCTTCGCTCTCATCCCCTTTCCCGCTCTCTCAATGCGGCCGTGTAGAAGTCCCAGGTTTGCGGACTTCGCGGACAGCGAGGATCGCGAACAAGCGAGGGAAGCATTCTGTTCGTGCAAGCCCCCCCCAGCCCCCCACACGTTCTCACCCTCGTTGGCCCCCTTGCGCAACTGCTTGTAGTTGGATGCCTGCTGCACCAAGTCCAGCATCGTCTTGGTGAGGGTGGCGTCCGCCAACGGGTACGCCTTGGGGTTCACCTCCGATTCACTCTGCAAAAAAAAAGACAAATAAATTCATTCACACCCACCGACCCCCCCACCGTATGGTGAAGAAAGCCAAACTACCTGTGATGGCCGGGCACGGCGGCGCCCTAAGGGGGTGGGTGGCCAGCAACCACGCCCGGCCGCCTTTGTCTCCCCGAGTGGCGATGTTTACACACTGCACCAAGTACTCATTTGAGGCCGAGTCGACCTAGGAGAGGCCCAGGAACGGTTCAGAAAATCGTCACTGGCGTTTGGTGGCCGTGAGCGGGGAATCTAAAAAAATGGTTCGTAAAAGCGCAGCGTAGGGATACACTACCCCCCCCCACACACGACTGGGAATAGAACTACTTTAAGGAGTTCTAGAACTTTAAGAATGAGTTCTAGAACACCCGTGCGGCACGCCACAGGCGGCGACATTACACATCGCAAACCCCTGGACCCACAACAACGAGACCTACACGCGAACCGCAACGATTTTGCGAACCAAAAACCCCGCCCCAAAATCTCTTAAAAGCCTGACTCATTAACACAAAACTCTAACCCTGAACCCCCTAAGGCCTACGAATCCCAAGCGATGACCCTCTTAAACTCTAAGCCCGTAAACAAACACTAAAGCAGCAGATTACTGGAATATTTAATCATCCGAAACTGTTACCATCACAGCCACCACTATACAATCAACTACCAAAAATTACAAAGACCCCCCCCCCCCCCAGCATAGCCTTCAATAGGCTGTTAGCGAGCACCTATGAAGGCCGGCACGGGTACACGAGGGGGTGGGTGGCCAGCACCACGCCCGACCGCCTTCGTCTCCCCGAGTGGCGATGTTTACACACCGCACCAGGTACTCATTTGAGGCCGAGTCGACCTACGCGAGGCCCAGAACCGGTTCAGATAATCGTCACCGGTGTTGGCCGCTAACCGCTATTACACGACCGCTCCCATCAGCACCGCCGCTAAAATGCAGCACCGCTATCACTACCAAACAAATTAAATGGTTGTGCTGCGTTATAATTTCTGTGCCGCAATAGCACGCATGAAAAAAAACTCGCAACACATTTATCACCAAAGCGTTTGGCCCTTCATGTTGAAATGTAACAGGCGACAATCAGGGTCAAGGGCCCTTCCTCATAGATAGCCCCCCCTCGCTAACGTGATATTAAAAATCCACTGCCCGAAAACGTCGCTTCTTATACAGTTAGTCATTTCAAGTTTGTGTCGCCGACAAAGTGTTTATCGCTTACAACCCCAACTCTCCTCGCACACGTGCGCCGCGAGGCCTGCGCGACCAGGCCGCACCACGCCGCGTGGAGCATTCGGCTCCACGAGTGTTCCTCACCATCGCGCAGACGTAGGGGGGTGGGGGGCTGATGGATGCTGTGCTCGTCTCTCTCTCTGAGCGGAGTATCTCCCGGTGGACGGTAAGGAGTTGTGGTGGGTGGGGTGGGGGAAGAGAACGAAACGAGTCGCTCGGTTCCTCTCGGCGGCGTTTCGCTTCACGGAGGAACCTCGCGCGTGCGGGAAGGAGAAGCGACCACGTGGGAGTGAAGTTCCCCGCTGCGGTGACGCCACGCCCCCCACCCCGATAAGCCCGCCCCCCCCTCGCCCCCGTCACGCGATTGGACCGACCTGCGTCCGCTTTAGCCAATCGCATTTAAGGTATTCTCTCAACAATTGCAGTACTTCATATTCTTAGCTCTTTCGGTAAAGTCACGTTGAAGGGAAGCAATACAATAATAAAAATAATGCAAGTAAAAAATATAAATATATTATTTATCAATATTAATAAAATATATTTTATTAATATTAATAAACAAGCAATAAAATAATGAGAAGTATTTTATTATATATTTATTATTGTTAAATAATAAAATATATTTTATTATAAAATATATTTTATTATTTTATTGTTTCCCTTCAACGTGACTTTACCGAAAGAGCTAAGAATAGGAATTACTGCAGTCACGAAAGCTTTAAATCAAAATTTAATTGCAGTACTGTTACTGTTTTTTTTACAAATAAAAATTTAATACAAATTATTATTATAACGCACTCGCGAAAGGTGTTTGAACATCTTAACGCCTCCAGTTTTATTGACAGGGTAAAAACATAATCTTATTTTTAATGCTAATTATTTGTTGATGACGCTGGCGGTGCACAAGCACACGTAACAAAATAAATGTTTTTTTGCCTCTTAGTTGTTCTTTAACGGAAGTACTGTATAGGGTAAACAGCTTGGAAGTTCAGAATAAAGCGCGAGAAATTATAGATGTAAACACAAATGTAAAGTTGTGATGGATGGAGCGTATTGAACAGATGGACGTTTTTTTTCTCTTTCTTTTAAGGCAGCAGTTTTATTGACGAACGTGTTTGAGATTTTGTTTCCTAGAAGGTTAAAGTTTAGTGGGGGTGTGAGCGGCCATCTTTAGTGGGCGTATGTGAGTGGCCATCTTTAGTGGGGGTGTGTGAGCGGCCATCCTAAGTAGGTGTGTGTGAGCGGCCATCTTTAGTGGGGGTGTGTGAGCGGCTATCTTTATTGGTGTGAGTAACCACCTTTAGTGTGTGAGCGGCCATCTTGGTTAGGGAAGTGTTGCAACAGGACACAACGTCACCAACGGACGCCTGGCCATGGCTCTTCCAATCCCAACAGATTCAGAATGTTTATTTATCCTGGAGAAATACGATGAGCTATAAAGATGTCCAGTAAGGGGCGAGTAAGAAAGTTACAACAAACAATACAAAAAAAACAACGTGGAGTACAAAGTAAAGGAAAAGTAAGCAAATCACTATAAAAACTAAAATTTAACGATTTTTTTTGTATTTACCAGGAGAGGCCCAATGAGCTATTATAGCTCAACGAAGTGGCTTATCACCTGCACATTTATCGCAGCAAAATACTCTTAAACACCACGTTGATTATAAATGTGGAGGGAAAAGCCGGAGTCGTTAATCGATACATATTCCCTAACGATTCGATCAAGGCATCGTCGGCCTGATATAACAATCGACATGCAGCGTAAAATAGCAGCAGCTTAGATATTCGGTTTTCAATCACAGTTTAACGCATAATCGACCTCAATCCGTACAGTCTATAGATGCATCGATTAAACAATGAAAATCGATTCACGCATACTAGCGATTAATCAAACTGACACTTCAACGAAGTCGAATCGAACTGGGTTTAATCCACACATTTTTTAAATCTCTCCCAATTATCGAATAAATAAACGTCGACTTTAATCGATTGTTATTAATCGATTCAAATATAACGCCTGATAGATATCGTTTCCGATAATCCCCATCCATCGTGATGTATGGGTAAGCCATTGAACCGACTCCCGTCTTTAGACTATCAAGAGGACATCCGTGAAGGAATGAGCTTCATAGCTCATCGGATTTCTCCAGTCTTAATTACGCCAATAAGGGGCCGTCCGTAAATGACGTCACGCGATTTTGGACGATTTTTGACCCCTCCCCCATCGTCACATGGCGTCACAAAGAGCCAGACCCCCCCTCAAATATGACGTCACAAAGCTCTGCCCCCCCCTCCCCCCCCCAAAAAATAAAACGTGCTTCAAATCGCTTTAAACTATTGTCATTGTAGTGCGTATTTAATGTGGCGCTGCACTCTGATGTTGTAGGAGAAAACATTTATTAAAACGTCTATTTAATTAACGGAAGTGACGTTACGCGATAGAGAGGGGGGACCGCCTCTGCCGGAAGTGCGGCTGCACTTGTCACCTTGGAGGCCGCTGCGGGCACGAGAGAGACGAGGCGATGGCGGCGCTCAGGAGATCGGCTTTGGCGCTCGGGCCTCAACTCGGCGTGAGCCTCTCTCCTTGTCTCCTTTCTCTCTCCTTACAGTCTTCGGCCGCGGTTTCACACCACCCACGCCACCCCACCTTCCCCCGCCTCTTTTGCCGCCGCCGCCGCTGCTGCAAGAGCTCGTCCACGCAGAGGTCGCGGCTGCGGCCAAGCGGGCGAGGCTTCGTTCGAATGTTGGCCACCCACCACCACCCCTCACCACCAGCCCCCCTCACCACCAGCCCCCCTCACCACCAGCCCCCCTCACCACCAGCCCCCCTCACCACCACTAACCCCCTCACCACCACCCCACTCATCACCCCCCCCCTCACCACCACCACCCCCCTCACCACCACCACCACCACCCCCCTCACCACCACCACCACCACCCCCCTCACCACCACCACCACCTCCCTCACCACCACCACCACCACCCTCACCACCACCACCACCCCCCTCACCACCACCACCACCCCCCTCACCACCACCACCCCCCTCACCACCACCACCACCACCCCCCTCACCACCACCATCACCCCCCTCACCACCACCACCCTCACCACCACCCCCCTCACCGTCTCTTTCAACCCTCGACTCTCCCTCTCGTTCTTTCTTTCTCGTTGCACTTGGACACTTGAAGTTTGCGATGACGAGCTGCGTGCAAGCCGGGTGTGTGTATGTGTGTGTCCGTCCGGTGCTTTGAAGCGTCTTACATGAGGCAATTCAGAGGCGAAAGTTAGGTCCGTGTGTGCAAGGTCGCAGTGGTGAATTATGGTCATTTGACCATAATGAAGGGTTTTTTTTTTGGGACGTTAGATCGCGTCAATTTAAATGTGTCGTTAAAGCCGCCGCAGCCACCACCGCCCGACGCAGACAACTCGTAAGGTTTGTCACGTAAACAAAACGTGCCAATTAGTTACGACTTCGGCACACCGGTGTGTTGGAGAGTTAACCCACACCGTTTACAATTGGAGGTTACAACCAGCCTCATCAGAATTGTCGCCTGATGAAAAAAAAAAACCTTAATTGTGGATAATATTGGTCGCGAAAGCCTAAGTGTTATTATGGTAAAATATATTGGCCGTGTTCAGCAGAGCTGTTGTTAATCACTGAAGCCGCGTCCTGTAATTCGAGAGAGTGAACAGAAATGAAGTCACTGTCCAGGTGCACAAGGTCGAAGTGTGGTTGTGTAGACCCAGTCGCACGGCGTGTGGAGGCCCTCATCCAGCAGTGGATCGACGATAGCCGAAGATATTTCCTCGATAAAAGCGCACCCGTGACCTGAGCGCAGATGACGTTAACAGCATACACACGTGGCAAGGGAAACTGCATGCATATACCACTACGGGATTTGAACAATCTCTTGAGATGTGGTCACATTTGGGCGCTTTGTGAACTATGGTTATGTTATGGTCAGTGGGTCTGAATGTACCGGTATACGACAAATGGCATGCAGACACTTCTCAAAGCACCGACACGTGTATACTAGCACTTTTCAGAACGTTTTTTTTAATTGCTAGATCATGCACGGCTCTTATCACTAGACCGTTGTTTCCATTGAGGGGAAACATCATGGTCACTGAGCAATGTAGCTATTTTACACGCTTTTATTTAACTCTATTTTAGAGTTGTTGTATCCTCAAATATTGTAACTCAATTTTTACCCACTTCCCAATGCGGTATCGACTACAACCTTGGTATACTTATGTCATACTGATGACAATACTATATGCTATCATAAAAAAAGAAAAAAATATATACTTTTAAACATTATTTTTTATATGTTATGTTTCGGCTTGGGTCTAATTTTCCACGCTCTACTCACGTTGGCTGTAAATCACCACGGTCCCCTTACGTTGTGGCAAGCTTCGGGGCCACTTCCTGGAGTCGCGGAGTTCTGCCATTACTAGTACGGTACATTTCATTAAAGCGAGTTTTTTAAAACAAGTTATTTTTAAATATTACTTTTTTCAGAAGAGACCTGGCAACACATTATAGCTCAACGAAGTGGCTGATCATGTGGAATGTTGTATCAGCCAAATACTCTGAAAGCATGTTTCTAAATGTGGAAGGAAAACCGGGGAGAACACGCAAACTCCAAATATACAGGCGTCAGTGTTGGGATCGAACTAAAAATCAGAATGTATTTATACTGGAGGAATACGTTGAGCTATAAAGCTCTTTTTCACAGATGTCCAGTGGGGGCAGGTAAGAACGTTACAGCAACACAATACAATTGGAGTGCAAAGTACAGTAAATGTAAATCACTTCATAAAACATACAAATAAAGCTAAACTATTTTTATCTTACCACTGAGCTACCAGCTTCTTTTTCATTCGTGACCTGGCCACAAATGATAGCTCAACAAAGTTACTCATCATGTGGACATTTATAGCAGCTACTTAATCGAAACACATGTTTCTCAATATTAACCTACGACCTCTTCCATAACATGTGTGGGGAGATAACATCTCACCACCAGTGGGAAATGAACATGGGCTGGACGAATATGTTTCATACGGAGACTTGTACACTCATATTTTTACCGATTGGTTAGAAATGCGTAGGAAACTAGGACACACGATCACATTTTAGCACATTTTTTAAATGGTGCCTTGCAACACAAATAAGGCAAAACGCAGTTTTAAGCATGGAAAGTTAATAGATTGTATCCTTTTTATGTCAGGTAAATATGGAACAACTGGTATAAGAGAAGATTGTGGACAGGTGATATCAGGTGTCCGACATTGAAATGCATACCTGCACACAATACATG